CGTGTCGGTTAAAGCTGAGTAAGATTCCGGGCCAAGCAGGAGAGGAAAAGGCTGTACAGCGAGGAGGGGGCAGTGGCCCGACGTTTGGGGGCGGGCAGGGGTGGGAAGGTATGGGCGTTGTGCGGAGTGGGAAGGGGAGGCTGAAGGCGGGTTGTGGGTGTCCCCGATATGAGCCAGGACATCATTTTATAGGCATTCTGATGTTACTGTGCCATCTCTAGAGTGAAGGTTTTTAACCAAGTCCTTTCTTCCAACGGAAGTGTGATGGCAGCCACACTGTGCTCCAAGGCCCTGTTGCCCGGGCCTGGGGCCTGTTCTGGCACACCACCTCTCCACATTCCTCTGGGCCAGGGTGTGGGCTTTTTTTTTTTTTTTTTTAAGTTTTATATATTTTAATTGGAAAGGCAGATGTACAGAGAGGAGAAGAGACAGAGAGGAAGATCTTCCGTCAGATGATTTACTCCCCAAGTGAGCGCAACGGCCGGTGCTGTGCCAATCTGGAGCCAGGAGCCAGGAACTTCTTTCTGGGTCTCCCATGTGGATGTAGGTTCCCAAAGCTTTGGGCTATCCTCAATTGCTTTCCCAGTCCACAAGCATGGAGTTGGATGGGAAGTGGGGTTGCTGGTATTAGAACCAGTGCCCATATGGGATCCCGGTGTGTTCAAGGCAAGGACTTTAACCACTATGCTATTGCACCGGGCCTGTGGGCTTATTTTTAAAAGGTATCAGTCTGGCTTGTCTTTCTTTTGCTACTCTGGATGGGTGTACCTGTGTGACCAGAGTGGCAACTGCACAGTGAAGTGCCGCAGGGAGCTGGCCTGCTGTATGAGTGGTTCTAGAAGTCTCATGTATGTTGTTGCCTATGTATAGTCCAGTTTAATTTGACTTAGGTGTGTAGAAATTTTTTTTTTTTTTTTTTTACTTTTTCAGTTTTTATTTAACTTGGGGAATTGCTTTAGCTTCTTCAGAAGGAAGGTGCATAGCAGATTGCTGCTGTTTTTGGAAAACCAGAGAAGACAGTGGAACAGAGACCTGTGTCATGTTGAGATCCACACAGCAGTGAAGTGCCCCTGGTTGGTGAGGCCCAGGTGGACCTTGCTTAGGAACAAACGTTCAGGACCTGGTCAGCCAAGGCATTTGTCATGGAAGCAAGATTTCTGAGTTCGGCACCTGAGCCTGGTGGATTGGATCCTGAAGTCGTTTCTCACCAAAGCTCCTGAAGTCACTAATCCTGCCTGGAGTCTCTATTGACATAATAGTGTCGTTGGATCTCCCTGATGAATATGTTTATTGATTAAAGACAGTAGAGTTGACTTATACCTTTGGTTTTGGTGCATAACCACTTCTTCATCAGCCACATACAAATGCACGCATTTCTCCAATAGCTGGTGATTTTTGCATAACAGGTACGAGTCCATTGAGATGGGGAAAGGAAGAGAAGTAATTTGTCTTTCAAGTAGGTGAAGACATTATATCGGATGGTATTTTCTCCAAGTATTGTATGTTGACATCAATAAAGCACTTTCCTTTTATTATAAATTGAAAGTTTGGAATTTCAGGTAAATAACATAGTCACAGAATCGTGAACGGGCATTATTTTACAAGTTTTTGTTTTGTTTTTAAGATTTATTTATTTGAGAGGTGGAGTTACAGGGCGAGAGGAAGAAAAAGAGAAAGGGAGGTCTTCCATCTGCTGGTTCACCCCCAAATATTGGCTGCAATGGCTGGAGCTGGCCCAGGCCAAAGCCAGGAGCAGGGGGTTTCTTCCAGGTTTCCCATGTGGGTGCAGGGGCCCAAACACTTGGAGCCATCTGCTTTTCCAGACACAGTAACAGGGAGCTGTATCAGAAGTGGAGCAGCTGGGAGGTGGACCGGTGCCCACATGGAACGCTGATGTTACAGGTGGTGGCTTCATGTGCTGTGTTACAGCGCCAGCCCCTTTTGCTTGCTTTGTACCTACTGTTTCATAGTATTCCTCAGTGACCACAGGAAGTGGATGTGCAAGTTGAGATACTAGATGTAGTCGCTTGCCTCAGACTGACAAATGTTATTCACTTGCCTCAGCTAACAGACATTTTTACTGGTGTGGTATTTAAATAAATAAATAAAAACAACATCGGGATGGAGGAAAGGAGGAGGGGAGAGAAAGAGAAAGCAAACGCAAAAGCAGGCTGAAGTGAGGACCTACACTGGGTATTGAACCCTTGAACTCTGATGTGGGATGCTGGGACAGTAACCACTCAGTTTAAGGCTCATCTCAGGTTTTAAGTTTTATAAAATATAAAATTCCAATCTGGGGAAAGTAGAGACCATTAAAATGTCCTCCATGAGTATGCCACCCCTATTTTACAAATGCTAAGGAATACCATTGAAGTCTATTTTGATCTGTTTTGAACTTCATCTTAATTCCTTAACTTTGTCTGTGTTTTTTTGGTATACCGAGAAACTCAAAAGCTGGAGGGGCGGGGCTGGAATCTCTTGCTCACTCACTGTTGCTGACTTTGGGCTAAAGGTCCCAAACTTCTCTCCCATAGACTTGGACTGCATTTAATAGGCAGCAAGTGGCTGGAGAGCAGGTTGGCAACGGGCAGCACCAGGTTGTCCTTATCTAGACAAGGAGGCCAGTGGAGAGTACCAGAGTGGCTGCAGATGGGCAGAAGGGACAGAAAAGGCCCTCGAGGCGTTGTGGGTAAGGTGGGAGTGCTGGGAGGAGAGGACGTGGAGGCAGCAGGACCAGCAGTCGCATGTTCCACAGGGTCACCAGGAGTCAGCAAGACGACCCCTGCAGCTGTGTTGTGATTGTCGGGGAGAAGGGGTTATGTGCTTGGTGTGCAGGGCTTCTGATCTGCTTTGCCGGTGGCTGGGGAGAGCCATGCTTGTGTGCTCACTGTCTCTCTGAGTGCAGTGTCTCACTGATCATGAATAGTGGCAGAGCTGGCTACTTCTTAGCCCTGCAGTTTGTTTCTTTGCTTTCTAACAAGTTCTTCATAGCACTGATTTTTGGTAGTTTTCTGTATTGATATGCTTTGCTCCTTTGGCATTGGAATAATAAGGGCCTTGGATCTTTTATTTTTAAAGTATTGTTTATATAGTTGAAAGGAATACATGTCCATGTGGGCCTTCGATTAACATGGGGAGGGTCGAGGCATGGAGGAAGGTAGGTGGTACAAACGTTTCAGTGTTTTCTTTCTCTCTTGTGCCCACAAAAGGGGGAGGGGAGGGCCACTCCTTGATGTCAAACTGCATTGGCACTCGGGATGAGGGGTGGTCATCGGATGGTTTCTTAGAGACCCTGGTATGGGAAGCAGTGTTCTGAGGGTATTACTTAATGGTTTTGGTAGTTCTGAGACATTACCAGCTTTGTTGCACCAAGGTTGAGAAACCTTTCTAACTAAGGTCTGTGGGTTGACCAAGTTCACCTTAGTGCGTTCCCAGTCCACAGACCCAGACACTTGCTACAAAGCTTGATCAGGAGAACTGTCCAACCCGTTCTGCCTTTCATCCTCTGATGAGGAGCTCCTTGTCCTCTGCTGGCCTCAATGAGCTGGCCATCATGTCCCCATGTGCATCTGGGCATGCTGTCCACTGCACGGGTATCAGCACTGATCAGGCCCATTCCCAGCACTGCAAGGTCAGACCACATATATTGTGATTTTCCCTGTGGCCAGGGTTTGAGTCCAGTGTTCTTGTCCTCCAGGAAATGTCTGGGGCAACCTCAGACTTGACTCCTGGGTATGCCAGCCAGTTCAGGGTCAAGTTTTGTATGTTACCTGTACCAGCAATGCACACACTGGTGGATCCAGTTGCCTGGTTTGTTCCACCCAGCCCTACCGCTCATGCGAACGTAGCTTGGTTCTTGGTGTGATATTCGTAGCTTCTCCTACCCCTCTGACACACTATGAATCTCGGCTGTATATTTTTTCCGCTTGGTGATTTGCTTGTTCTTTTTGTCCGAGCTCTCTCTCTATTCTCTGGGTAGTGAACTACCATTCACCCTTGGGGGCAGCTCATGTCCTCAGGTGCGTGGTGTAAGTCTTTCTGGGAATTACTCATTTGTGCTTAGGTTCTCTTGCTGGAGTCTGAGTTTCTTGAAAGCAGTGACAATGGGTTCCGTATTTGCCTCCATTGCCGCTCGCTCCAGGCCTGGCCCTTAGGAATTGTGACATGTCAGGCTTCTTTCTTAGTTTTTAAAAAAAATTTTTTTTTAAGATTTATTTATTTTTATTACAAAGTCAGATACACAGAGAGGAGGAGAGACAGAGAGGAAGATCTTTTGTCTGACGATTCACTCCCCAAGTGAGCGCAATGGCCGATGCTATGCCGATCTGCAGGCAGGAGCCAGGAACTTCTTCCAGGTCTCCCACACGGGTGCAGGGTCCCAAAGCCTTGGGCCGTCCTCGACTGCTTTCCAAGGCCACAAGCAGGGAGTTGGATGGGAAGTGGAGCTGCCGGGATTAGAACCGGCGCCCATATGGGATCCTGGTGAGTTCAAGGCGAGGACTTTAGCTACTAGGCCATGCTGCCGGGCCCACATAGTTTTTAAATTGGTGGCAGAAAAGTCCTACTTGGTATAGATTTGATTTTTGGCAGTAATAGTCACAGAATTATGAGACTGAGATTTGGAGGTTTGGGCATGAGATATTTTTATACTTTGGGTTAAAAACAAGGAAATCCTTTCTGGATTATTACACTTCCTGGTATTGAAAAACATTTCATTTATATGTTTTCCCCAGTTACACATTGCCCCGGTTACAAATTTTGTATACCATTGTTGCATTCCTGGCTTTTGGTTGACAGTTTGCTTGGCTCTTAGTGAATACTTTGGAATATGGTCAGGGAGGTATAGATGTTGTGGCCTCAATAGCGTTGACTTTGATCAAAGGGCTAGTTGAGAGTAACTATTCAGATGGATAATTAAGCCCGCTGAGATTGGAATAGGACAAGACTCGTAATTAACACAGTGTTATTCCTCTCTCCTTGTTCCTTCTGCCTGTCTGTAGGGTTTTTGTTCCTGAGTCATGGAAGACAGCAGAGCTGAGAAGTCATGTGAACGAGCCTGTGAGTCCCTGCAGAGGCAGGACTATGAGATGGCCCTCAGGCACTGCACAGAGGCCCTGCTTTCTCTCAACCAGTCTCCCATGGCCGACTTCCCCGGGCCGTGTCCTCTGGAGATAGAACGCATCAAGATCGAGAGTCTTCTCTACAGAATCGCCTCATTTTTGCAGCTGGTGGGTAGACATGGTTGATAACCTGCTGTTGAATCATGGAAAATGGCTCTTTTTACCAGCTGGGGACCAGAGCTGGGCACTCCCTATCTTGTATAAGTCAGGTCATTGTGGACTAAAGGGATATAAGTGGAATCTTTGTTGACAGCGTCTGTTTTTATTGAAACAGTGGAAATGGAACTACTTGTGAAGCATTTGTGAATGAGTCATTCTTTTACTAGATATTTATTGGGCACATAATATTTGCCAGACACTGGCCTAGGAAGTTGGTGTACACATTGATGAAAAAAAGGAGGAAAATCCCCCTTAGTAGGAGTGACACCAACAGTAGACATTAAAAACAGTTTCCATGGTTCAGATATGGTAGCCACCTGAGAAAAGAACAGGGCTAGGAAGATTGGAAGTAACGGGTCAGAGATGGGCTTGGCGTACTCTTTGGCAGAGTGGTCAAGGTGGGTCAAAGGAGGTTAGTAGGTGAGACGTGGAAATCTGGAGAAACAGATTTGTAGGCAATGGGAGCAGTCAGCGCAGAGGCCCCGAGATGGAAGCACACTTGCTGTGTTTGTGTTGAACAGTTGGGAGGCCGGGGTGGCTCCCACAGGGCAGAAGAGGATGGGGGGAGAGGGCTGGAGTGTGGGGGACTTGTGTCCCTCTGAAGATCTGGGTTTCTGTTCTCTGGGGGCACTGGGCACAGAGGTGATGTCATCTCATTTCACAGGAGTGCTTTGGTTTTTGTGTTGAGAACAGCCTTGAGAAGGGCAAGGGTGGATGCAAGGAAACATGTTTGGAGACTGTTGGAAGAATCCAGTCCTGAGCGGACGGTGGCTGAGACCAAAGTGAGAGAAGTAGGCATAGTGACAAGTTGTGGTCTCTAAGTTAAAGGTAGAAACAACAGGATTTCCTAGAAGTGTGGATGCAGGGAATGAGAGAACAGTCGTGGTCACCTGCCTTAGTATTTGTTTTTGTCTGAGCAGTTTCTTTGAAGTCAGAAAGCTGTAGCTGTGGTTTTATGGAGGAAGGTGGGAGTTTAGTTTTGGACCTATTGAGTTCTAGATGTTGTTTAGATAATCCTGCTAAGACATTGTACAAGTAGTTGTATTTGCAATATGGAGTTTGGAGGAGAAAGGAATGTGAGTGTGGGGTGTATAAAGTCTAAGGCCTGAGTAAGTCCACCCAGTGGGGCTGGGGAGTTTTCTCGTTTATCCATATCAAAAGAGAAGAGGCCCAAGGACCTAGTCTTCTGTTACAACAGTGCAAAGAGATTGGAGAGAAGAGAAGGAACCAGGAGCTCAGTGTCCACAGCAGTCTGGGAGTTAAACTAGAGACAGTTGTTGGTGAGTTTTGCCACACAGAAGCACATACACATTCATACAGAGAGCCAAAAAAGAAAAGTAGCTAGTGAGAGAGTGAAGTCGTGAATAGGACAGTCTTAAATGGGAGAAATAGCAGCATATTTGTTTATAGGCATAAAATGACCAAAGGCAAAAACTGGTGATGTAGGAGGAACCGGAGGCTTGCTGGAGTGGTGTGCTTGGGTAGGGGCAGAGCACATCTGGGTACGTGGCAGGACTGATTGTAAACAGAAAGATAGGTAGCCCACCTGCCCACAGCTGGAAGGAAGACGGTGTGTGTGTGGGAGTGAGTGGGCATGGTAGTGACAGTGCACAGCAGTTCTCTACTGCTGTCTTGGGTCTTCTAAGTAAAAGCTTTTACTGCCTGGAAGGAGGTCTGGTGAGGTGGAAGTTAGAGGGAGGTGAGAAGTGAGGGCATGAGCCAGTGGAGTAGGGGACCCATTCTGGCATTTACCTGTTGTGTTGTATAACTCCCAGAGCTCCAGGGTTAGCTTTGCTCCTTGAGTATTTAATTTACATCAATGAACATTAAATTTGCATTAATAATTTAAAATTTGAAACAAACACAAGCTTTTCTTTAATTCCATCTCTGTTAAAGCAGGCCTTGAATGACTTAGCTTTACCTTGTGGCTTTTATTTTACAGAAAAACTACGGGCAAGCTGATGAAGACTGTAGGCATGGTATGTTTGAAAAAGGGCCTCTTTTCTGATCTGAAGACTTTGAATTATTTAATTGAGCAATGTTTAAGGTTTGATTCTTTTCTATCAGTTAATCTCAAGTGGTTACAATGTGGTGGCCCGTGACTGATGGGAGTGATGGTTTTCCTGCTGTGACAGGTGCACAGGGGTGGGGTTCTCCTGTTACTTCCCTGGGAACATTCATAGTGTGTCCTCGCAAAGTTTGTGTGGGTAGTTCCAGCCAATAGGAGCAAAGCTTAAGAGAAATAGCTCATATTGATGAAAATTTTGGACATGGGGGCTGGGAACAGCGAGGACCTTGGGGTACTAGAAATGCTTTGCTTTTATGGATGTTGTGTACTTAAGTGCACTTCTTGATAGATACCCTGTGTTTTAATAAAATGTTTTTTAAAAATGTTATGCTTGAACAGGTGGGCCTCCTCAGCCCTGCTAAGATGCTTTCCCTCTTTGTCAGAGTCTCCTTAGGGCTAAGACTGGTCAGAATGCCGTGCTGTGGTTGTCTTGTTTTCTTTTGGAGGGAAGTTGAGATTCTTGCCCTTGAGTAGTCAGGGCAAGGATCCTTTCCAGGAATCCTTTCACCACGTTCATCCTTTCCTCAGTGAATGTGGCCATTTCCCTCAGGTTGAACTAGGGACACGTGGGAGGAGAACGCCATGTTGAGTCGCATATTCTTGGTGCAAGTATTGACTTTTGTGACTTGTATGTAGAATGTATCATTGACCCAGAGTATGGAGTCGTTGGGGGTGTTGAAAATAAGTTTTCTAGTATGCCTCAAGTCAACAGTTTGAAAGGCATTTTTTTCTTTTTTTTTTTTTTTTTTTAAGATTTACTTATTTTTATTAGAAAGGCAGATACACAGATAGGAAAGGAGACAGAGAAAGATCTACCCTCTGCTGATTCACTCCCAAAGTGGCCACAATGGTGGAGCTGAGCCTATTTATTTGAAGCCAGGAGCCGGGAACTTCTTCTGGGTCTCCCATGGGGGTGCAGGGTCCCAAGGCTTTGGGTCGTCCTCGACTGCTTTCCCAGGCCACAAGTAGGGAGCTGGATGGGAAGCAGGTTGGCCAGGATTAGAACCGGCGCCCATATGGGATCCTGGTACGTGCAAGACAAGAACTGTAGCTATTAGGCTACCATGCCGGGCCCCAAAGGCCTTTTTTTTTCCTTTTAAATCTTACAGGACCATATTTCATCATCCTGTGGTGTATTCAACGTAATTTGAGTGTTCATTGCAGACTCAGTGGCCTCTCTGAGATCCTTGCTTCGTAGAATGTGTGGTTTGGGGATGGACTAGAATGGATGGGGTAAACTAGCACAGTCTTTCTTGAAAGAAAATTACCAAGAAGCACAAAACAGTAGATAAAGGAGGCAAGGTGGAACTTCTTCTCTTTCTGAAGAGATCACTGTTATTAGTTTGCTCTGTCTTCCGCCTCTCATTCGCTGTAGTGGTATGCAAATGCTTAGACTATGTTAGAGTGTGAGTGTCACAACGTAGTCCGCTTTCTTACTGAGCACACTAGCTTACCTAGGTATCTAACTTAACCACACTGACTCCAGTTGTTCTTCCGTCCGCAGTGAGGGTGGGCTGTTGATGATAACGTCTAGTTATCATCATTAATGGTCCTGTCACAAACCTGCCTTCTTCGTTGTTTGTCTTTGCTTCTGTGGAGTCGTCTTCAGTGCTGGATTTCCAGGTTTAGGGTATGGTTAGTCAGTTTGAAATGCACACGCCTCCAAGAGTGTGTGAGGATGCTGGTGTTCTGGAATTTCCCTCTACTGAAACTGACAGTCTTAAAATTTTGTGTGTCTCCTGTGTGAGAAACAGTCCTTCTTTCTTTAATTCTCACTTCTCTGAGTACTAGTGAAGTTGATGCGGTCTTCTCATTTTGGAGATGTACCAACAAAGATCCCCGAAGCTTAGATGGCTTGCAGAAGGTTCAGGAACGCAAACACTATAGTTGGAGGGAAGTGTTACATTTTCTATTAATTGCCTACTTAGCACTTTAGAATTAGGTTCTATTTTACAACTACTGAATTACCAAAGTAAAAGTTTAATCCTTATCTAAGATAAATTGGTAATGAGATGAGCATCCTCTTGTTGTGTTGGACAAGTTTGAGCTGGAATGTAATATGTTTATACCCTTTGACTCACTAATTTCATTTCTGGGGTGCTATCCCAAGTAAATAATGTAAAAGAAGCAAAAAGTTGAACAAAAAAGTGATATCCATTGCAGTAAAGTGTGTAAAAGTGAAAAATTGGCCAGCTTTACACTTTTGGAAAAGAGTTAAAATTAGTTAAATTGTGTGCATTCCTTGTTCTCCTTATGTAATTAGGAAGAACATGGAAAATGTTTATTTTTTTAAATGTACAAAAACAGTAAATACAGACTTGTTCATTTGAAGTAAACATTTCGAAATCTTGGTCAAGATTATGGTTGCTAGTTCTGCTTTTACACATAGATTTTCGTTTTTAACTTTGGTAATGCTATCTTTATGTGAGAGAAGATCCTGTGGGTGCGCCTGGTCAGTGATAGAGTGTGAGCTGACGTCCGTGTCTTCGGTCCTTTTTGATGCGCTTCCCTGTGCGAAGAGGCTCCCAGGGATCGCTCCTGTCCCGGGCTCCCCCAGCCCCACCTTTCTGTGTTCATGTCTTGTATGTGGTGTTGTCCTGATGTTTGTTCTCCTTCTTTCGGGTTGTTGGTTTACATCGCCTGGGAGTCTCAACATGTCTCATTGTGACTCCCCTCCCCTCCTCATGTTTGCCACCTCTGACCCGCTGCAGGCAGGAATGCAAACTATAGGTCTTTCTTTGTCACAGAATTCAAAAACATTAAATAGTTTTACTATGACAGACTTAAAAAGATAGGAAAAAAAAAAAGGAAATACCTAGTATATTAGGCATTCATATTCCCAAAACCAAAATCGAACCGTGAAGTTTTGCTATGTTAAAAAATAATTATAGATCTGATATTTCCCTCTAAATAATTCAGTGTGCATTTCTAAAAGTAAGGCTATTACTGCATAATCATAGTATTATTAACCTCATAAAATTGACAGTAATTCTCTACTTTTATATAAAACCTAGTCCGTAATTAGATCTACCTGGTTGTCTCCAGAATGTTTTGTATACCTGATTTGTTTAAACCAAGATCTAATCAGAGGGTCATAGAATTTTAAATTTGGAATTCCACCTTAAATAAATAGGCTCTGGATGAGTATTCCAGGACATTTTGAAAACACGATGCCTGAGGTTTCAGTATGTGCATTGTAGTTCTAGGTTCAGTGGTGTTTTCTGAATTGAGAAGGTTGTTAAGCCACAGGGTGGGCGAGGAGGTTAGGCACTTTTACTGTCAGAATATAAACTGTGTTTGGCATTGTAGAAAAACTTGCATGAAATATTCTTTTGCTGCCTTTGAAATACTCATTATATGGGAAATGTAAATTTTTTATACCAGCAAGATGAATGAGGTAAGTGGAGAAATGGCATGCACTCTCCAAATGGCTGCTGTGGCTGGAGCTGAACCAATCAGTAGCCTGGAGCCAGGAGCTGCCTCAGGGTGTCCCATGAGCAGGGTCTCAAGGCTTTTGGGCCATTCCCAACTGCTTTTCCAGGCCACAAACAGGGAGTTGGATCAGAAATGGAGCAGCTGGAACTGGAACTGCTACCCGTGTGGGATGCTGGTACTGCAGGTAGTTTAACCTTATACACCATGGCACCAATACCAACAGTATAAATTTTTAAAAATCTATTTTGAACTGGGGCCAACATTTTTTTTTAAAGATTTATTTTTATTATTTTTTTCATTGGAAAGGCGGATATACAGAGAGGAGAGACGGAGAGGAAGATCTTCCGTCCGATGATTCACTCCCCAAGTGAGCGCAACGGGCCGATACTATGCCGATCCGAAGCCAGGAGCCTCTTCCGGGTCTCCCACGTGGGTGCAGGTTCCCAAAGCTTTGGGCCGTCCTTGACTGCTTTCCCAGGCCACAGGCAGGGAGCTGGAAGGGAAGCGGGGCTGCCGGGATTAGAACCGGCGCCCATATGGGATCCCGGGCGAGGACTTTTAACCACTTGCGCCACCGCGCCGGGCCCAACATTTTTTTTTAAGATTTATTTTGTGTTTATTGCAAAGTCAGATATACAGAGAAGAGGAGAGACAGAGAGGAAGACCTTCCATCCAATGATTCACTCCCCAGTGACCTCAACAGCCGATGCTGTGCCAATCCGAAGCCAGGAGCCAGGAACCTCCTCCAGGTCTCCCACATGGGTGCAGCATCCCAGGGCTTTGAGCCGTCCTTGTCTGCTTTCCCAGGTCAGAAACAGGGAGCTGGATGGGAAGTGGAGTAGCTGGAATACGAACTGGTGCCCATATGGGATCCTGGTGCAGTCAAGGCGAGGATTTAGCCCCTAGGCTGCTGTGCCGAGCCCCGACAGTACAATTTTAACTTTAAAGCTTAGTGCCTACCTTAGTAGGTTAAGAGAGAAAATGACAGATTAAAGGCCAGAATTGAAAGGGGGAGATAGCAGGGATTTAAGAAAGAGAATAAATAGTACTTGTATTTGAAACTGTTGATGAATGTCTGTTGAAGATTTGTTTTATTTATTTGAAACAAAGGGAGTAAGGATGAGAGAGAAGTATATTTTCCAAAATGATAGAATGGTACTTTCTCTCTGCTAGTACAATCTTCCATTGGTTACAGCGACAAGAGCTGGAAACTCCATCTTTGTCACCCATGAGGGAACAGATGCCCATGTATTTGGGCCATCATCTGCCTTCCCAGATGCATCATCAGGAAACTGGATGGGAAGTGGAATGGCTGAGGCTTGAACTGCTCTGATACGGGATGCGTGCATCGCAGGTGGTGGCTTAACTCACTACGTGGAAACACCAGCCCATGGAGAGATGTTTAGCGGAGGTCTAGAATAGCTACTTGTGAGCAGTGTTAGGTGGTTTCAGTTTCCATGTGCACTGTATAAAGGGGACATGTTTTCTACAAAGATAGGGAGGGCCGGTCATGCCCTTTTGTTTGAGAGCCTGTTCATGTACTGTTATGGACCTTCTGCCTTATGTCTGTATGTGGACGAGACGTTTATTGCTGAAAGTGAAGACTGACATTTGACAAGGGAATTTATTTTCATTCTTGATTCAGTTCTAGAAGTGTTGGTTCTGAGTGATTTTATCTAAGCAGTGAGTGGTTTTACTTCATTAATAGCTTGAAGGCTTAGTTCTTTTTTTTTTTTGAGGATTTTTAATAAAGTACCTTAATTAAATGAAGCTCTTCAATAAAACAATTTGGAAAAAACTAAGACTTTGATAAAACAAATTCATATAATCACACTCCTGAAAAAATACGTAGTCAAAATTTATAGTATTTTAAGTTTTTTGTAAAAAGATTTATTTATTTCTATTGGAAAGGCAGGTCTACAGAGAAAAGGAGGGAGAGAGAAAGAGTAAGTGTGCTTTATCTGCTGGTTCACTCCCCAAAGGCTTCAATGGCTAGAAGCCAATCTAAAGCCAGGAGCCAGGATCTTCCTCCTGGTCTCCCACGTGGGTGCTGCATCCCAGGGACTTGAGCCATATTCCAGTGCTTCTCGGGTCCTAAGCAGGGAGCTGGATTAGAAGAGAAGTAGCCAGGTCTTGAACCAGTGCCCGTATAGGATGCTCGTGCTACAGGCAGAGGATTAACTAGCTAAGCCATTGTGCTGGCCCCGAAGTTTGTTTTAGATTACTTTTCTTGGGTGAGTGTTTAAGTGTGCTGGGAAGCAGCAGGTAATAATTCAAGATCTTGAACCCCTGCCTTTCCGGTAGGAGGCCTAGATTGAGTCTGGGTTCCTGGATTCATCCTGGCCTATTCCTGGCATGGGAACTTGAGTAGGAACCCAGTGATGGAAGCTCTCTCTCTCTCTGTGTCTTTCAAAAAAAAATGAATTAAATAAAAGTTTTAGAAAAAGATTACTTTGCTCATTGTAGATAATTCTTTACAAGTAAGAAGAATTGCATTTTTAATCGTTAATTCTCTCCTTGTATTGGTCAGAGACTATTGAACCCTAAGAATATTTTTATTGAAACAGGTAAATGATTACCCCATTTGTATTACTCAGTTTCTAGTCCAAAACATTAAAAGGCAAGAAACACTTCAAGCGTATAGATCTACAAATCAAAGAGTGCTGAGAAGGTCTTTCACCGCCCCCCCCAATCCCCGTCAAGGACCCTGGGATGGGTGGGAGGCTGGCTGGGGCTTCTCCCTTTATCTCCCCCCTTCCCCAGATACAGAAAAAAAAAAGAGAGAGAATGTGGAAACAATGGTTTTACCCACTTTCCTGTAGCCCTTGACCCTTTGTGCCCTAATCAACTATGTAAAGATTATCACAATAAAGTAATAATTAAAAAAGAAAAGGAGTACCGAGATTTCAGTGCTGTTATAAGGCAGACGCCTAAGGTGTGCAGAATTCCTTTTTTGTGACTCTCAGGCGACAGAAAACACCAGTTCAGTCTGAGATCATGGGTAGGAAGGGACATTGTCCCCAGGAAATTGGACTTCTTGACAGTTATGAAGGTTAGATTGTATGTTAATGTCATCTCTTTTGGTAAGTTCAATTATTATAGTTGAGACAAGTTTAGTATCTGTGACATAAAGTTAATAAAGGATCAGTTTATAGCATTGCAATTTAATTCTTTCACATGATACTGTGAAAAAATGTTTTTTTATCTGTAATTATTTACTATTTATCATAGTTCTCCATCTGGACTCCTTTAGGACATAAACAGGATTTATGTCGCTTAGAATATAAACAGAATTGCATTTAAAGGAACCAGTTTGAACAGAGTTTCTCGGTACTGCTTCTTGTCTAAAATAGAAAAGGGAAACACATAAACTGAGTTATTCAAACACCAGTGGGGGAACCTTTGCAGCATAAAGCTTAGCAGCTGCCTTGCACAAAGCCAGAGAGCTCTGAGAGGTGTTTGTGAAATACTGTGTGCCTCAATACTCTAAACATGACATTATCATCTGGCGTTGAAGTAGTCTCACGTTTCATTCTCTTGTGGCTTTCAAGTGTTGACAAGTGGTTCCTCAATATCCCAGTAACTGAAAAGGAACAAGGGATAATTCCCAACACTGCTCTTATATTTTGAAGGAGAGATTGATATTGATGGAACCCTTATACAAAAGGTTTTGCTAGTCACTTCATGTGATTGTAGCCTGCAGAAATATATAGAAATAGTCAATAATTATAGATAAAAAGCAGGGTTAATTTTGGCCACCTGCTTATGAACGGACAAAACATGCTGTGCAAAATGTCACTTAGCTGGACCTCAGTTGTTTTTCCTCAGAGAACTGTCCTTGCATTATCTCCTTGGATCCTCGTGACAGATTTATACACATCTCTATTTTAAGATGGCCACTGTGAGAGCCAGAGAGCTGCAGTGACATGCCCAAGGCCATATCTGAATAGTGTTAGGAATAGTAAGTTGGAGGCAGTTGTGAGCTTACCTTGGACTTTTATAAGATGCTCAAAACTTTTTGTTTAAATATTTGTTTGAAAGGTTGACAGAGGAAGGGAGGAAAAGAGGAAAGGGTGTGGGGGAGAGAGAGATCTTGCATTTGCTGATTGGCTCCCCAGTTAATCACAAAAGACCCCAGGCTAGGCAGGGTCAAAGCGTCAAGCCAAAATTCCAGTTGGGTCGCCTGTGTGGCTGCGGGTCCCTTGGACTCTGGCCATTTTCTGCTGCATTCCCAAGGCACATTAGGAGGGAGCTAGATTGGAAGTGGAGCATCTGGAACTGGAACTGGCACCCATATGTGATGCCAGCATTGCAGGTAGCAGTTTAAACAACTGTATTACAATGCCAGTCATTCAAGACATTTTAAACATTTTTACATGGTATTTTATTGAAGTTCCTCATTACTTGGAATGATCTATTGGCAGTTGAATAGATGAGTAGATTATAATGTTGTTGAAGTGAGAAAGTCAACTGGCCCAAACTCAAAGCAATTGATGAAGTCATTTTAAATACAAATAGACTTCAACTTTCAACTTGGAATGATCTCATTCAGCAAAGGATGTTTTTAAAAAAGATGCTTGTTGCAGTAGTATTTGCAATAGTTGAAGTTGGAATCCTAGGAGTACAGTGAGTTAAAGTTCTATTGGAGACACTTGTGACCCTTATGAGTACAGATTTGTCCTGGTCCCTGGATGGCCACAAATGGAGCTGAGCTCATCTGAAGCCAGGGGCCAGGAGCCTCTACCAGGTCTCCCATGTCAGTCCATGGGCCCAATACTTTGGGCCATCCTCCACTGCTTTCCCAGGCCACAAGCAGAGAGCTGGATGGGAAGTGGAACAGCTGGGACAACATGAACTTGTGTCCATATGGGATGCCCATGCTTACAGGTGGAACATTAGCCTGCCAAGCCATTATGCAGGCCCCTTTATGTAGATTTTTATTAGTTCTGTTGTAATGTTTGTATGATAAAAATTGAATAGGAGCATACATTCAATAAAACCAAAATAAATATATTATGAAAGGAATCAGTGGGCCTTAAATAGACTTGTATGTTATACTTCAACATTGCCTTGAAAATCATTTGGAAAACTGCAGTTTCCAAAACGTTTTCTTTCAGCAAATCATTTTCTTGCAAAGAAAGCTGAAGTTTAAACAAACTAAGAATAGATTTTTGGAGTTGGCAGTGAAGAAAAGCAGTTTCTGTGAGAAATCTTAAAATGACATGACAAAAATAAATGTGTTTTGTGTTGTTAGAAATAATTCTTGTGGTTATATTAAATTTAATATGCAAACACTTGTAAACATTTTGGATAGCATTTCCTGTGGTTATTGGACAGTTGGATTTTTTAGTTAATTCTAGTGTTGATAATGGCTAATTTAATTGTTCAGGGATATCTCATGTTGAGATTTGTAGTTTCTTAATGGAAAAGGGTCTTGTGCTTCTGTAAAGAAAAAGCACGAATTTTATTCAGCTAATCTGTAATTTACAAAGGCCTCGTTTAGAAAGAAACTTTATAGTATTGTTCACTGGAGAACTTTCTTTTTTTGGGGTAAAGATTTAATTATTTGAAAGGCAGAGTGAAGGGAGAGAGAGATCGAGAGATTGAGATCTTTCATCTGCTGGTTCACTCCCAAAGTCTGTCAGAGCCAGTCTGGGTGAGGCTGAAGCTTGGACTCAGGAACTCCACCTGGGTCTCCCACGTGGGCAGGAGGGACTCAGATGCTGGAGCCATCATCTGATGCTGCCAGGTGCATTCATTGGAGCAGAAGTTTCAGGTGGGACTGGACCTGGATCCCAGGCACTCAGAGATGGGAGGGTGTCATCCCGTGGGATGGCTTAGCCTGCTGTGCCACGACACACTCATCGCCACTAGAGAGCTTTCAGATTAAGTTTCCATGTGATGTGATGCTAACTGACTGTAGACTGCATTAGGTTTGATATATTCATTGCTACATTTGTATTCTTTCATACATGTCTTGGACAGAACTGAATCATCATTACTTTGCTTTAGTGGTTGAAGTTACTCTCTTAGCATATAAGAAGTCATACTTGTGAAAACACATGGACGGTTATAATCAACAAGACCATGTTGAATGCTCTGTGGTGAATGGTCACTGTTGTCTCATGGCAGTGCTGGGAGAAGGACTGGCCAAGGGCGAAGGGGCCTTCCGGGCCATGCTTTGCTGCATGCAGCTGAAGGGAAAGTTGCAGCTGGTCTCCGCCATCCTCGCCAAGTCTCTGACTGGAGAGTCCCTGGTACGTTGCTGAGCTCTGCTCCGAATTCCCAAAACTGGATTTGTGTTTGTATCTAGAGGTTACTGTATTTCGCATCTGTTCTTCCCCACCCCTTGCAAACAGATGCCATGAATGTCTTTAGATACTCATTTCTGTTGAACAAATTGATGTTTAGTCATTTGCTTTCTATAGCTTGCAGTAACATACACTAAATTTCAAATACTCTTATAAATTTGAAACTAAAATTCTCTGATTTTTAAAAAGATATCCGAACCTGGTAATGTTTTTGGGTTCTAAGGTGCTCTTGTGGACATGCAGCTTTCTTACAGAGTTTTAAAACCATTTATTAAATGTTTAAATCTGCTTAAACTAACGATTATGTTGGTTTCTGAAGATGGTTTGGAAGTCAGGAGCCATAACCATTCTCATGGGGCTGTCCAGTTCTATTCAGACTTTGGAATCCAGTTTTCAAAACATAGCATTTAGTTTTCTAGATTCTTCCTCCCCTTTCTCTCCCCATTTTGGTGAGACAGTTAAGACTACTTTTTGGGACATTAAAGTTGATGATCTATAGAGACGGAAAGAAAAAAGACTTTTTTTTTTCCCACTAGTAAGCATTTGCCATCAGATGTGCTGGTATTGTTTTTGGAGCTGCATCAACAAACAGAAAAAGCAAAAAAAATATATTTTTGCTATGCTGAGTTAAGCCCACAAATCACACAGTGTTCCCCTTACTCATTCTGCATTGTTCTAGATGCTGACAGTCTGCAGCATGGTTGTGCTTTTGCTGAAAGGAAATAGATTTGGGCAGAAAATAGGATTGAGCATGGACTGGCTTATTGTTGAGTATCATGTATTGATCCACCTCAGAGTGATCGAGTCAATGCCTGGTGAATTATTGTTTAATCAGCTTAGCAATGTCTTTTTCCTCCAAATTCATAAATGGATTTGAAAGCTACAATGATTAATATAGCAAAATTGCAGAACTGTTCTAAATTAGATGATAAAAATGTATTTTTGTTATGAAGATGCTTATTTTTCAAAGAGGTTTATTTACTTACTTCAAAATCAGAATTCCAAATAAAGAAGTCTTCCATTCATTGTTTCATTTTTACTTCATTTTCCATATAGCTCTTGGATCCAACCTGGCTTTCCAGGTTTCCCATGTGGGTAGCAGTGGCTCATACACTTGGGCCATTTTCTGCTGCTTTTTCCAAGCCATTAGCAGGGGACTGGAATGGAGTGGGGTGGAACCTGAAATGGAGCACCTGCGATATAAACTGGCACCTTTTGGGATCCCAGTGTGTCAGGCTGTGGCCTTACCCACTGTGCCACAAGGTTGACCCTTAAACTTTAAATAGGTTTTTCGACTGTAGGTCCACCATAGTATAGTTTTTACCTAGTAGATTTTTAGATTTAAAAGTAATCCAAAGTGGTTTGCCTTTGAATCTCAATTGAAATCTGAATTTCAGCACAGTGAATATTTTCCTTCAATAACTTTATTAATGAGCCATATTTAAAACAGCATGATCACTGCTTGAGTATGAGTGACTCTAAGTTTGCACTTTAAATAAAAAAATCTTAGGGAAGAAGGTAGAAGTTTAAGTTTATTTTGTCACAGCTTATCTTGCTCTGCAGTAATATCTGTTTTGAACAGTTCGTTAGCGTTTATTTTTAACTCTTGTGTAAAGTAATTACAGTGTTTACCAGACACACAGTGTAGCTTTTCCTTTTCCTTGTGGGTGTATAACTCTATAATAGCCGTTAATAATAGTGGGGATGAGGAGTGAGGATTGCACTGTTTTTTACAGATACATTTCAGAAACCACTGAGGTTGTAAGCTAAGTTGCCATAGCCAGAAACTACTATACTAATTGGTTTTCCTCATTTTCTTAACCCTTTTAGAATGGGATGGTAACAAAAGATTTGACGAGGCTGAAATCACTTCTCGCCGAAACCGAGGTAAGATTACTTCAGCGGATCTCTTGGGAAGCCCTTGACCCAGTCTGGCTTAGTGAATCTTCTGCATTACAATGCAGGAACTCCTGTAGTGTCAAACAGGAAGGTGAGACTGTCTAGGGGGCCAGTGAGACCTTTTGCCGTGCCTCTGGAGCCAGTCCTGGCCATCGTCAGAACCTGGCTGATTCTCGCGTCTCCTCTGCACCCCCTGTCTTCCTTCTGTCCCTAATTCCTGGGAACTGTTTATAGCTAGAAAATGGTAGCATGACTGGAAAATTTTAGTTTTCAACTAATCTGGTTGCTAGAAAACGGTCTTATTGGAAAAGAGACTAAAAAATGAGATACTCCTTAAGTGTCTGTATTCTTTTTAATGATTCATTTATTTGAAAGGCATCTCTCTCTCTCTCTCTCTCTCTCTCTCTCACACACACACACACACACACACACACACAGATCTCCCATCTGCTGGTTCATTTTCACAGTAGTCACAATGTCTGGGGCTGAACCAGGCGGAAGCTAGGGTCCTGGAATTCCATCTGGGTCTCTGTGTGGGTGGTAGGTGCTGAAGTACTTGGGCTGTCTTCCACTTCTTTTCCCAGGCCATTAGCAGGGAGCTGGATTGGAAGAGGAGCAACTGGGACTTTAACCAGCGTTCATATGGGATGCTGGAGTGGCTGGTGGGACTGAACTTGCGGTTGTTCAGTGTGTGAGGATGTACTTTGAGGGAATTTGTTCAGGAAATGGAAGTATGTGACAAGGTAACAACACTGTGCTCCATAGAAGGACAGGGAAGGCACTGGAAGGCCTGGCCAGGGCATGTAAGAGATGCATAACTTTGTAGGTCTTAAATTCCTATTCCATATTTCAGCATATAAAAATAGTTCTTTTATGATCTGTTTAAAAGATAGCCGTTGTGTCAGCTGTGATCATAAATGGAAGCCTTGGGGGCTCTGGTTTAGCCTGACGGTTAAGATACAGGCCAAGATACCTGTATTCCCTTAGGAGCAGCTGTGTTTCATACCCAGCACCATCCCCAGCTGTACTTTCCTGCATTGATAACCCTTGAAGGATGTAGTAATGGCTAAGTGGTTGGGTCCTTTCTTGTGGAATACCTGGATTGTCTTACCTGGCTGGACCTGATCCCAGATGTTGCTGGCGTTTGGGAAATGAATTATCAAATGAGGCCTGTCTCTGTTCTCTCTGTTTTTGTTTATCATATAAAATGAATCGTAAAAGAAATAGGGAGCTCATGCAGAGCGATTGATTAATTGATTTTGTTCAGTACTTGAGCACCTACTATGTGTGCTTGATGCTGAGCAAGACTCCTATGGTCCTGGAGCTCTGGAAGGTTACAGTCTATCTCAGGAGATACATGGCAAGTTAATTAACTAATTAAGCAATTGCAGGTGCGATTCATTTTCAGGTGGGTGATGGGAGGGAGAAGAATACGTTTTGCTGCTGCAGAGGTCACTGGATCCGGTGGTCAGTGACAGCGACAGTGAAGGCAGTAGCTCTGATTTGGAGGGGCAGCTTGCAGGGAGAGAGAGAGAGCAGAGCCTGGGCCTTCTGCCTTGACCCTCGGTGGGTGTGATGCCTTTCCTATTCCAAATCTAGTGTGCCTCCTGGCTCATGCTAGTGGTGGTTGGCAAGCAAGACAGGGGCTGCCCAAACTTGGTGCACCAACTGCATTTGCTAGTGTTAAGCCCTCTTTTTAAGTTATCAGTTTTTCTGATTGATGTTACCCTTCAGTGAATTAACCAAGGAAATTCTGGTTAATTTGAAAGCCGTTCCTTTCCCCATATGTGTGAACATCTTTTAAACTTGCAAGAAATAACAGAAGAAAATTATAAATATTTTAGACTTTAAAAAAAGTGATAACATGGCTGTATTTTATTATGATTTTCAGCTCATTCTTAGTTTTTATTGCCTTAAAGTTTTTTTTTTTTAATGTTTATAAACTTGTTGCATGTAAGGACACAACTCATTTGATTTTTTGTGTTTTGAGCACTGTGCTTTTGGAATAAATGACTTAAGTTTTATTTGTAATTATTGTTCTATGTGACCAAAGTAATATTCATTTTGGTTAGTGAATTGACATAACAAAGCCCATGTAGAAAAAGCTAGCAAACAATGCTTTCTCTGTTTATTATTGCATATAACATATTAAAAGATAATAGCAATTTGCTAAACATTGGTCTGTGCTTATATTTAACTTGTCAATTCTAGTGAATGAGAGTGAAGATTTGAAACTAAAGACTGATTGAAAAAGCAAAAGCAAATGTTCTTGAATAGAACAGAAAATACAGCAGTAGATACAATTGTGGAGCTTTGAATTTTCACACTGTAATCTTTGACTGCTTTCCCTGATGATGTCAGTAAAGACTGAAGGTCATAAACCATTTGCTATTGCCCTTCTCTCTTGGGGTCTCAGCATGTAAAAAGAGTGCTTAAAAAGCATACATAGGGCCTGGCACGATGGCTCAGTGGCTAAATCCTCACCTTGCATGCTCTGGGATCCTGTATGGTTGCAGGTTCATGTCCCAGCTGTTCCACTCCATTTTCCATCCAACTCCCTGCTTATATCCTGAGAAAGCAGTGGAAGACAGCTGGAGCCTTGGGCCCCTGCACCTATGTGGGAGACCTGGAAGAAGCTTCTGGGTCCTGGCTTCAGATCGGCTCAGCTCTAGCCATTGTGGCCACTTGGGGAGTGAACCAGCAGGTGGAAAACCTGCCTCTTCTTCTCTCTGTAAATATGTCTTTCCAATAAAGATAAATAGCTCTTTAAAAAAAAAAAAAAAAAGCAAACATAGCACGTGGCACTGCAGAGTAGCAAATTAAGCCACAACCTGCACTGCCAGAATCTCATATGTGCACCACTTCAATCCCAGCTGCTTCACTTCCCAATCCAGCTCTCTACTAATGCACCTGTGAAAGCAAATGACATGGCCCAAGTGCTTGGATCCCTGTAGTCACATGGGAGACTAGGGTGAATCTCCTGGCTTCATCTCTTTCTGTCTATAACTGCCTTTCAATAGACAAACATAACAGCTTAGAACCTGCATGCCAGGATGGTCGAATACACAGGCACACTCAGCTTACTCTGCCATCTCTGGTGAGGATGTGCCAGATTGGCACTAGTCTGAGAACTCCAGTGATGGCTTAGCTTGCTCTGCCCCTCTGTGGATCATTCCCGGCGCTGATGTGTGAAACATCCCAGATTTTTTCCCCTTCCAACAATTGAGCAAATGTTTTAGGCTTTATTTTACAGGCTTAACATGATAACTGAAAGAGTGGTGTTTGCATTCTTTATCTTGCATATATGGTAAATTTATTTTGATAAGTTTTTAAGAAGAGGTACTTGAAAATTGTTATACTTGAAGGGAAACTTTAGCTTTCATATTATTTGTGTAAGTAGAATTATAGTTTAAGGGCTGATTTGATAGTACAGCATCTTGACCTTGCTTGTAGAATTAATGCCTTTAGAATAATTTTTTTGAAATATAGGATATTTATAATATAAATGGTTTCTCCCATTTTGTTAGTTTGTTTATTCTTATGTTCAATCCTTCGTTTTATTTAAAAAAGTGGATTATCTTTGAAAAATAAGTAGATTAATTTAAAGTCAGAAGGCATTTTCCTATCCAAATTATATTATAATGATTTAGTCACAGCCCAAATCAAAAAGTTAATTTAATCAACATATATACATTGTTGTGATATAATTATTTCAGTTATAACCAGTCAGCTTTGGGGATAGTCATCCATGTCCCAGGACATTCCACATTGCATGTTGGGCTAATGTTTCCTCCTCAATTCATTGAACATTAATTGGGCTCCTGTGCTGTTCCAGACCCTAGAAAACTGACAGTCCTATGAAAAGCCATCTGATGAGGACAGGTGTCATGGCACCACAGGCTCAGCTGCCGCTTGGAACACATGCATCCCATATCATATTGCCTGGTTTGAGTCCCTGCTACTTCATGCTGCTGCTAATGTGCCTGAAAGGCAGCAGAAATAGCCCAGGTTCTTGGGTTCCTGTTACCTACCTGGAAGTCCCAGATTGAATTCCTAGCTACTGGCTTCGGCCTGTTTGTGGGGAGAGGCTATTTAGGAAATGAACCAGTGGATGGAAAATCTCTTTCCCTGTCTCTCTTATCTTTGTCCCTCTGCCTTTCAAATATGTAACATACATAATATAATAAGAAGTGATCTGATAGGCCTGTCCAACATGCGTGTAGCTAATGTATATGCAGAAGGTAATGTAGTTGCAATACTTGCAGAGCAAGAAGAGATTCACACTTTACAGGAATCATGGCAGCACAACTGTGGGAACCAAGTGTAAAGAATGAGACTAGCTAAGCAAAAACCCAGATGCTTTGGTACAGGCTTAGATTGGCAAACTTTTGGTTGATTGCGGGATCAGTGAAATACATGGCAGTGAGGGTGAGGGCCTTTAATAGGACAGTGGCACTGGAAATAGTGTGAGAGAGATATTCTGAACCTGCTTGGGCAAGATTTGAATACTCATAGCAGGAAAGAAAAGAGTTGACCTTAAAGATGTCAATCTGGATCTCTTTGTGGGGAGAAGAATCCATTACCCTAGTAAGGGAACTGGTGGCGGATCAGGTTTGAGGTAAAGCTGATGAATTTAACCTTTGACGTGCTTAGACCATCTGTCCATTCATCTGCCCATCCAGCTATTCACCATTCATTGCTAAGCACCTGTTATGTGCCAAGCACCCTGTGAGGTATAGGAATGCACAGGCAGTTGCAGATTGTGGACAGTAAACCCATATCCAGTATGCTCTGGGCTGCATTTTCATTAGGGATATGTGCTGTGGTTGGCACTTGGTTCAAGTTGGGCGGTGGTCTGTAAAGTAGGGTCCGGTTAGACCCAAAGGTGGAGGTTGCAGATGGATCCAAGATACAGTGAGTAGTTCTGCAGCCTGGAACTTCACTGTGGGAGAAGGGCATGTTCCATGCTGCGGGGGACTTGGCAGAAAGTGCGCCCAGGTCCCGCAACCCTAGTGCCCCATTACCTGCAGCAGGAAAGGCACCTCTCTGGTAGGCTCTGGTTGGGCATTCTGTAGACATTGGGAAGTGGAGAGTAAAATTAATGAAGTGCCTGGGCAATGCTACTCCTGTGAAGTCCAGGATTGGAATCTTGGCTTTTCCTTCCTGTCTTACTAGGTAATTCTGCAATAAGGGCCCACAAGGGTTCCTTTTCCACATGTATTAACATTAACATTTACTATAGAACAAAGAACAAAAAATATCCTTTGCAGTTTATTAGTTCTTAACAATTTCTAATGATTTCAACTCCATCTTTAATATTGCAAATTTCATTCAACATCAGCTGGTTATTTATTTTTAAAATGTCTTTCATTTGAAAAATTGCAGACAGCAACTAGTAACGTCCTCTCTGGATATCATGTGGAAGACTTAGATGAGGGTGAGTACCTGCTTATGTAACTTTGTGATTGCAGGCTTTGCTGCTTGACTGATCATTGAGGAGAAATATATTGAGTTATAATACATGTAAATAGAGACATGGGAGAGAATATAAGGACTGAATTTTAAGAAGTAGGTATGAATGAAAGCAGTTTTCTCCCTGGGACTTTTTTTTGTAGAATAATGCAGTAATGGAGATAGGAGTTAACTTGGGGGATTGTCCAGTTCATTTTCTTGTGTCTGTACATAACTAAATCTTAGCAATCTCTAGAGGGAGGGTTTTTCTTTCCTGCCTTGTCTTAGGCTAGTCCAGGTGTTAACTTTCTGGGAGATCAGGAATCTGTAAGCTGAGCTGACCTTGTCCCAACTACTGTCTACAATCTCCTCACCTCTCCTCTTGTCTGGGGACGGGATGCGAGACCAGAAGCAGTAAACCCTTGGTCTTTGCTGTGTCCTGTGATATTGGCTTTCACAAACTTAGAGTCCTCTGTCTCTGGTAGGTGGTGAAGTTCTAAGGTGTGTATCACGCAGCTAGTGAGGGTTGAAGCACAGCTCAAACTTAACCTGCTTGAATATCTTTTTTTTCTTTCTTTTTTTGGGGGGTTGGGAGGATGCAGAGACCACGGTGAGTTGAGAAGAAATGGGAAATGTCTGTGAGGTTCTTAAAAACTTTCTTGCTTAACAATTAGCCTAAATGGTTTTTGCCTTTTCTGTCTTAAGCCTTGTTTCCTTTATCTTGTTTTTGCACCTCATCTAAATAAGTCAAAATTCATTATTTTCAAAGGTAAACATGTGTTATTTTTTAGCTCCTGTGTTAGAATTTAACTTCCAATATAAAAAAGGATTATTCTGTACAGTGACTCATGAAAAATCCTGACGTACATGAATTATGATGTGGAATCTCTTATTTAGCATGCAGTAGTGGAATCTGTTATGTCAGATTTCCTTCCAGAAATTCCTGAGGAATTCCCAGTGGAGACTCATTCCAGGCTGCAGCAGTGGCAGGCATGCCACACTCCCCTTCTCAGCAGTCGGGGTCACCAGTCGATGGTTGATTGATTTCTCAGTTGCTTGGTGTTGGTCCTGCTGTTTTGATAGAAGCATAGGGATTACATGCTTTTTGCATAATTTGGAGTGGTGTGTCTCTGTGGATGTGTCTGTATTTTTTCAACTAAGTGTCAAAGTTACTAGGCAGCCTCAAATGACAAGGATATATCCTGATTACTCCATAGGGTCTTGTAATGGGTGGCATTTCCGCCCCCCACCTAGGGGAATCACAAGCAGCGAGGAGTATACTTTGTGTAAAAGGTAATGTGAATTCTTTTTTTAAATCAAATTACATGTTTTTGTTGAAAGGGTAGATAATTTTGCTAATAATTCAGATTTAAAGATTATATATTAAAGAAGAAAAGGTATAATAAGTACAGTAATTTATTTCCTTTTGCAACAAAGTAAAAAATATCATTTTCATTAAATAATAAAAGTCAAAACACTATCCAGAAGCCACCTTTTAATTAGAAACAAGTGATCTAAATGTAGTTCATTGAAATTTTATTCAGAGGCTCTTTATAGACCACATGTAATATTGTGGTTGAACTTAGTTGCTGGCCTTTTGTTAATGTGTAATTTATCTAGGTTGTGGTGATTGAAATTACTTCATGTAAACTGAAGTAGAGTGTGAAGGAGAGATGTTCAATTATTTTAATGTTGTCTAAAAATGCTTTCATGTAATAACTGTGCAGAATTCATGAGTAATTTGCATTTAACGGCTAACCTTTTAAAGTTCAGTAATGATGTATTAATGCAGAAAGAGTTATTAAAGTCACATATAACCAGGTGAATTGTTAAATCCTCTATAAGAACTAGCGCCTGGGGGGAATGTAGACATAAATTCTCACTCTACATTGTTTTTGATAATAAAGAAAATTTGTGTGACTTTGGTAATTAAGACATCAGATTTGATTTTATAATAGAAATTGGAAATCTATATAGAAATGGTCAAAATTTCTAGTAGCATCGTATTTTAAGAGAAATGGGACATAAGCATATGAAAAGGAAATATGGGACTAATAGCTTAGATAATAATATAAACTTTGTTAAGAATTTAGAACAAACCAGTATAGACATAAGCAAACATAAATACATTATTTTAAATTTGTTTTCTGCATCATAAAATAGTCTAATAAATAATATAAATTTCAGTACTTTGTTGTATCATCAGAAGAAATGTTAGATATACTCATCTTTTCAAATATAGTGAAGCATTTAGTAATTTGCATTGTGCTAAGTTTTATTATGTATTTCTTATTTGCTATTTTTTTTCTAGTTGAAATTTATATGTCTGTGACCATTTTGCTATTTATAATTTGATTTTCATTTTTTCTATCATAGGAGCATACAGATTTTTAAAAGTGTTCTTATTGGTTTAAGCACTAATTGTACCCATAATTTTGTAAAACATTTGAAACTTAAAAAAAGTCAGTGATCAGAATCTTTTATTTTTATTGTTTTTATCACTCTCCTCCCTGATTTAACAATTAGTTTTTGTTTTTAAGAAATTATTTCTGACTGATAAATGATTATATTTATATATGGGGTGCACTATGATGTTTTGATACACTTGTGTCTGTATATTGTATAATGGTCAAAGCAGTATAATTTGTATTGAAAATTTGAAAATTTTTAAATTTCTTTATGGTGGGAACATTCCAAATGCTTTCTTCTTGCTGATTGTAAGTGTGTACTGCATAATTGTTTGCTATAAGCACTCTGTTGTTCTCTCACAAAAATTAAAAAGTCATTAACCTTTATAATTGATATTTGTGAAATTTACTTTGAAGAATTGAGTATGAGTTGGGCAAATTTATGGCTATAATATAAAATGCATTCTAAATTTACTTAGCACTTATATGCAAATTAATATACTCCAATATCTTTAATGAAATATAAATAGTAGTTCATATAAGAAAGAGTTTTGCATTAAAGGTGAAAAGCAGAAGCCCTAAAATGGCAATTTAGTGATATGCTATTTTTTTCAGAATGAAATTCATAATCCACTTGTGGTCAGTGGTGCTTTAAGAACAGTTCTAGTTTGAGGGGAACTTTGCAGTACAGTGGAGGCTATTCCTCAGTGCCCTTGTGTGTATTTTCTGTCCTCAAAGCTTCCGACTGTAATCTGCATAGAGGTGGGCAGTGGAGGTAGGCAGTTGAACCCTGCAGCTCCTCTCCTGCGGGTTCAATGTGGCCTTCCCGAAGTGTCTTGTTTTTGTTATTGAAGAGGCTATGGTAAAAATGCTTCAGAGTGTATGATAAAGCAGTCTTTCCTGTCCTACTTAGATTTTTAGAGCAAGGAATCTGTAGGTATGGTGCCCAGTGTACTTCAGCACATTCCCAGGAGGAGCTAGCAGAGTGGCAGAAAAGATACGCCTCACGGTTGATCAAACTGAAACAGCAAAATGAGAACAAACAGCTCTCAGGCACTTACATGGAAGCCTTGATAGAAAAGTGGATGAATTCATTATCTCCTGAGAAAGTGGTGAGGAAATAAACTGCTTTTTGTTTTTAAAAATTTTGTTTGTGTTATACAATAACTTAGTTAAATCTTGACTTACTATGTATAATGTTTTTGCTTATTTCTTTATCTTCTATATGGACAACTTGATTCTTGATAAAGTGATGTTTTTAGTGACAAAAGTAGACCCACTTGATAAAGCGCAGAACTAGACCGTTTGATTGGAGACCTGCAGGTACTATGTTAATCGCTGTCCTTCAGGCAACTTTGTGCTGCCAGTTTGGGATTGTTGCTTCTTTTATTTTTAAGCATTTTGTTTTTGTAAAAAGCTAAAAATGAATGTATAAAAATGCATTCCTTGGTAAAACAGTTCCAGCACACACTTTTACTGTTGACGTTTATTTGCCACGCTAAACATCTTTGATTTTGCTTTAGCACTAAAAGGATAACGTTAATTGGTCTCTGTTTTCAGCTTAGTGAGTGTATAGAAGGGGTGAAGGTTGAACATGACCCTGACCTGTCCGTTACGGTCAGCACCAAAAAATCCCACCAGACATGGACCTTTGCTCTCACCTGTAAGGTATGAATTTTGTATTAATTAAAGCACATCAGTTTTGTTTAGTTTTTTTTCAAGGTATTTTTAAATCCTTAAATCTCTGTGACAAGAGAGTACTGAAGTTGTTTTTGTCTAAATACGTTTCTGTAGATGCTGTATTGTGCTAAGGTGTATTACTATATTTTGATAATTAGAAGTATATTTTTTGAGTTGGAGATAAGATCTTTGTAGATTTTCAGAATGCTTTCTTATTTGATAAAGAAGTCTTTGTCATGTTGGCTTCTAAACTTGGAACATAGGATGGGGTTCATGGCTTGCAATTAACTTTAAAACACTTGAATTGTTTAATCTGGTGGTTCTAGGATTTTTAAACAACTTTTTTTTTATTTGGTTTGATGAAATCACAAATTCTATAATGGATTTTTAATGTGAGATATTTCTGTAGTGTTTTCCATCTTGAATTGTAATTGTTACAGTTTAGTGTAGAAATGAAGTAAAAGATTCCTAAGAGTGTCTTCAGTGGAGAAGCTTTGTGCTTTGTGATAATGCTTCCACTGTCCCCTCTGTATTTTGGGATGAAAAATCAGTCAACATTTAGCTTCAGCCTTGAACCCAATCCAGTGCTTTCAGAGGTAACAGCCTTCTTATGAAGGCTCCCTGCTAGAGGCTATATTAAACTTTTTTTAGGTTAAGGCATGGGAAGTTGGAGGTCAAGTGCAATATAAGATGATAGCTTTTGTCACAGTGAGAGATGGACATATAACAGAAGGAGCAGGGAAGGCTAGTGATGTGACATAAATTTATCTTTTTAAAAAACTGATTTTTAAAAATCATTTTGATTTTCTTATTTTTCTAAGTGGCTTGTGAGCACAATTTGTGTTTTTAACAGTGTATCTTAGAAGCATGGGAAAGTAGAAGTCCCTTATGAAATTATTTTCATTGAAGAGCCCAATTACAATTGGATTTTCACCCCCTTGTACTCAATGAATTATTTTAACTTCCTTGTAGCCCGCAAGAATGCTGTCTCGTGTAGCATTGCTTTATGATGCTCATCGTCCTCATTTTAGTATCATTGCAATATCTGCCGGAGATAGTACTACCCAGGTATCACAAGAAGTCCCAGAAAACTGTCAAGAATGGATAGGAGGAAAGATGGCCCAAAATGGATTAGATCATTACGTGTATAAAGTCGGGATAGCATTTAACACAGAAATATTTGGAACTTTTCGCCAAACCATAGTTTTCGACTTTGGATTGGAACCAGTACTCATGCAAAGAGTAATGATTGATGCAGCTTCTACAGAAGGTAATATTTAGACTTTTTTCCCCTGATACGATGTGTTAAAAGGCAACATTAAAAGATGTATTGGCCCTCAACTATTCCAAGGATAGGGAGGGAATGATAAGATTGAGTAGTCCCAAGTTCACTGATTTGGTTACTGTGTAAGGGGCTTAGAGAATGGTTCACGTTGTGCCCTATCTCTTCAGTTATCAGGCAAAGCTTGATAGAGTTTTCCAAAATTGTCTGATCAGATCTATTTTGATCTACCAATTTGATTTTTAAAGTAAAATTATTTTAGTGCAGTGAAATCTTTTAGTAGTTTGAACAGTGTGTGATCTTTTTAATTGTAATTTTGTATATACTTGTAATGTCTGTTTCCATGTCCTGTTGACTGTGCAATAAGCTTCGCTGACGTTAGGTGCAGCACATTGTCTCTGATGGAAGCCTCAGACGTTAGTTTGATAGTCACTGTTCACTAGGATGAAGGACCAAAGTAGTTTCAGTAGGATCTGCTGCAGGTTCTTGGGACGAGGTCCCTGGTTTCAACATGTAAGCAGTAACAATAAATGAATCACTCTGTATGTTTTCATATTACTGCCAGTCTTTCAATGTTTTGCTTCAGTCCAACAGGACAGGGTAGGATACATTAGCTAAAGTTTCCTTGGCTTTTGCTTGGATTTGCACGTGTTTTATTTAAGATACACTAAGTATTTACTCTGTAACTGACATTACATACAAGAGAACAGTAGGAAATTTGTTGTTGTGTTGACTTTAGGTTATTGTTTATACAGCAGTGGTCCATTTATGAGAACCTGTAAATTTCTTTTTTAATTGAGCAATTGCTAGTAGGATGTTATATTTGCATGTAGTGAACAGATAGAAAAGTCTTCCTTTTTAAAGCTGCTAGTGAAGTTAAAGCAATGTTTGTGCCTAAATTTAACAAGTGGGTGCAGTATTTTTGTGTGTTGATAATACCCAGAACTTATTTGGTACTGATTTTGATACTTTCACCTGTTTTTAGTCTATTAAATATATCTTTGTGATCTTCTCAGTACTCTTTGAAATTATAGTAAATTAATTTCCATAGCCAAGTATTTATGATAGTGGGCAAAATTAGTATTTGGTCTCAATTAGCCCAGAATTTGACCTGTTCTCTCCGTGGAGGACCAGACACTGTATATTGTAGGTCTGCTGGGCAGATGGTCTTGGACAGCTAGCCAGCACTGTGCTACGTCGGGACAACAGCCACTGAACAGGGTGCTAATGCCTCAGTATGACAGCTTCAAAACCGCTGTGCACTAGCTTGGACTGGCCTGGACAGGATTTGGCTTGTTTGCCATCATTTGTTCACCCTGAGGCTAGTAAATTGTTTTTAGAGATCAAAACTTGAGAGCTACTCGGAAGCACCCTTTTTAAATCATAGACTTAAATCATTGGAGAGATCAGCAGGCATCCCCTGGCTCTCAGGTATTCTTCATTGACACGTGGGCTATATTTTAAGATGTTTGCTTTTTAGATTGGTGCTTTATAACTCATGACTTGTTTCCCTGTGGAAATAAGTATGTGTTGTCAAGAATTCATTTTTGTTAATGGAAATATATTACAGTATTAAGTATCTGCATAGAAAGTGAAGAAAGAAATGATGCTATTGCAGCAGGTGAGGAGATGGTCCTGAAGCGGATTTCAGGCCCTTGCCTGGGTTGAGAAGAGTGAAGGGAGCTGAACCACTTTTGTCTTAGGTATAAGTGGTATTGCAGTTGGAAACGAAGGGAACGGAAGAGTTAGACTTGAAACCCGAGTTTCTGTTTGTTTTCTGTGCATCCCAGGGCAGAGTTCTTTGTATCTCTGAGCTTCATGGCTAAACCTCTGTCAGACAGAGTTAATAATATCTGTCTCAGAAGATTCTAAGTAGAAATAAGCCTCACATGACATTGGCTCATGGTAGGCATTTATTAAGTAGCAACTATTCTTTTTGTCATTAGCCATGATTAGGATAATTGTTAACTTATGTGCAGAATGAGGACAGCAGGAAAAGGGTTAGCCTTTGTTCTTCTTTTTAAGTGAAAACTGGGAGCTAGGGTGCTAGTAGAGGAGCAAATCAGCGATAAAGACAGAGCCAGCAAGGCCCACGACGCCTGCAGACCGTGGCCGGGGAACACAGTGAAGAATTGAAGGGGGAGCTGAGTGATGTTCTGAATCTCTTAACTGGAAAAAATGAATCTCCTCTCTGATGCTTCTAATACATCGGTTCAAAAATACAATTAATTGCACATTTCATGCAGGGATTAGAGAGGGAATTAACACAGAGAAGGATGTCTTTCTCGTTTATGACACCGTATCCTTTTTTTTCTACATGATTTCTTGGTAGTTTGATATCTTTGTTTTCTTTCAAATAAAGTTTCACCTTAGTAGTGATGTAAGGGAAAATAATTGAAGAAAATTAAACATTTTCTTGAATGCATTTGGAATCACTAATGTAATTTCACATAGTGAAAATTGTTTTTTGAGGATGGAAGTAAATTGAATGTTGTAAGAGAGCAATATAAAATATATTTTCTGATGTAAGATCTTGAACATGTTAAACAAATGAACTTTGGGCAAGTTAGTTGGCATTTGACCAACTTTTTCTGGTCATTACTTAAATTATCTGACTTGTGTTAGTTTTCAGTTTTGTTTAATTTCCTTATTCTTAAAATTGATGTTATTGAGCAGCTTACTGTTTGTTAGTGTCTTTACTTACTTTCTGCATGATTCCATTTGCTTCATTATGATTTTGTTGAGCGTTCTTATAGAATTCTGATGAAAGCAGAATATAAATAGTATAACATTTGTTTCCTGTTTCTATCTTGGTAATAATGTGCTGATTATTACAGCAATGTCCTTACCACCAAAAAATTTGAGAGCAAAAAAATTTTTTTATGTTAAATCACATTAAGAAATATTTGGAATCCATAAGGAAGCAAAGTGACAGTGTCGCATTTTGCACCTTTTCCTGGAATACCTATAGGAGCATTGAGAACAGGATATCTGCTTTGTTAGATTGGCAGCAGAGTGACACTGTGGCCAGTTTGCCTGCCATTCCTAGCCAGTTTTTTTTTTTTTTTTAATTAGCTTGTCTTGGAGTTAGGGGAACAGTCATTCCAGATATAATATATTGGCCATAATGCAGGCAGAGTTGGAAATTAAGTCAGAGCTCAGCTGTGACATATGTCCATACAGTTTTGAGAGCATTATAAATTATAATACCATTTTGTTTCTGTACACACAAATTTAGTGATGGTGTGAAACTGAAATTTGAATGGGAAATATCTTTATATTTATTGCCTCTACTCCATGATTAATTGTTTATTGTCAAGCAAGTTTTTCTCCTCAAATTAATGCTGGAAATACATTTCTCTTCCATAAGCTACAAATTTGGGCCTTGCTGGGCCATCTGTCAACTCAGTGTTTTCTCACCTGTGTTCCACTGAGGATGATAGTAGCGCCTGTGGCAGAAAGTTCCATGAACAAAGAAGTTTGGAAATACTGCCTGCTTTGTTTTTCTCTTAGACACTTCCAGGACGCCTTAGTGGTCTGAGGTACTCAGTGAACTGATCTGGTCATGGGACTTGGTTTTGTTAGTGTGTAGCCTGTAGAAGCATCTCGGCAGACATGTGTGTTTCTCCAGTGCATTGGTTAGTGTTGAATTAAAAATCCCATTATTAAAGAATACAGATTTGAACTTGGGGGGAAAAATCCATCTTTGTTTCCCTTTTATTATTGTCATGATATTGAAAGCATGCAGACCTTTCCTGTTTGTGTCCATGAATGAATATTTTTCCCCCCTGGACATTATATGGCAATCCTGCAAATTGTTCAGGAAATATGTGTAACTTTAACTTTGCTTTTTCCAGTTTTTTCCTTGTTGGTGAGATTTAGGTTCAGAAAAAGACACTATGTACTAAGCATTTTTTTGCACCAAAGATAAGCCTTTCAAAAATGTGTGGCAAAAGCATCTACAGAGAAAGGAAGTTAGTGAGTTTTCCCCTTGATTAAAAAATAAACTACATTATATACTTTATACCACAACTTTGAGTAATGGAAAACTTGTTCCTGGCAAAATTGATTTGGAATTCTGTTTTGAATATCTGGAAGCAACATGTTGAAAACTAATTCACATTTAAATCTGAAAGCTTGATACCATACATTTCTCTACTTTGAGTCTATCAGGTATGTTACATTATTAAAAGTTTGTATGATTTAAAAATTATCCCCAACTGCCAAAGTTGTTGGTGAATTAGACATATGAGATGCTTACATCTATATACTATTATGTAATCAGACAATATAAAAATAGATTTTAAAGGTACTTTGTCATTAGGAGATAAGTGCAACTGAGTTTACGAAAGTTTGAAATAATCTTGTGTGAATACTCTGCTTTATTATTATTATCATTATTGGTTAGCCTCTTTAAGAGAAACAGAACTGGGTAAAGCCTGGGTAAACAGGGCAATCACCTTGCTTCTCTGCGGTAGTTTTGGGGAAGGGAAGGCTATTGAAATTGACAGCTAAAGTGGTAGTTTGGGATTACCCTAGGGTTTTATTTTATTGTTAATTTGTATAGTCAAAATTTGTAAAGCCACAGATCAAATTATTTCCAAGGAAGAAAAAGGTAACGGATTTCGAAACTAGGAGGCATTTCACCTCTTTTTTAAAGTCCTAGATAAAAGCTCCGTTTGGTACATAGTTACAGAGTTAGTGCTGGTCCACTTTCCAGGTCTATTAAAGATAGTTTTTATGTGGGTTGCACTACACACCTCAGAACCAAAGCAAATCACCCTGGAGCCAGGGGTGCTTTGTGGCTGGAATTGTTGATATTCTTAGTATGCAAGGGCTGGGGAAGTCAGGAAGGGTATCTTGCCTGTCTTATTCCAGCTTTGAATTTTGAGAGTGACAGCTCTTCCAATTATCTTTAGCTTTTTCTTTAAAAAAAAAAATTAAAAAGGTTTATTTACTTACTTGAAAGAGAGGGAGGGATGAAGGGAAGTAAAAAGAGAGGGAGGGGGTCTCCTGATTGGCTAATGGAGACCCAAATGCTCGAACCAGCATCTCTTGCTTTTCCCAGGCTGTTGGCAAGTAGCTGGACTGGAAGTGGAGCAGGGGAGGAGGTAGTGGGGACAGCACTGTTGGGGAAGCTGGCGTTGCAGGCAGCAGCTTTAGTGACTCTGCCACAATGCTGGCCCCTTACCATGCATTTATTATACTTTCCGTCTGAAACATTGCTTGGTACCAGATACCATAAATTTGTGCAAAATCACTCAGTAAACAAGACGTGACAGACATGTATGCCTACTTCAAAGGTACTTTAGGATATCTTCTCTATCTTTGTGCTTTGGAACCTAATTGTTCTTTGTGTGAAAATATTATTTTATGTTCAAATTTTCACCTAAGAAGTGAAGCCATCTTTGCAAACTTGTTGTTTTAAAAACTGGGTCTTGGCTTCCTGCATTGGTCAGGCAACCCTGTGCTTCTTTGCGTGAATGTCCCTCCCAGCTGAATACGGATGTGTCCCATGGGTGTTGGTAGCCTGTGCTCACCCAGGGCTCGGGGTTTGTCACTGTGGCTCCCATGCTCTGCTGGAATTAGACTCCCTTTGTGTCAGGGGTGTCAGAACTTGAACATTCATTTGGTCTCTGTGTTCTGTAACTGAGGCTAAAATGGAATTTTGGAACATGGCATTTGAATGGCACCAAAGCACATTTTAATGAGAAATTAGTAGTGTTGAACATGAATGTTTTCTAAAAGATTTTTGTCTGCACTAAGTTAACTTTCAGATGGTTGTTCTTTACCGAATAAGGAAAGATTTAACCTTTTTTATTTTCTTTGTTTATCATGGTGGAGATACTGGTAGTTGGAAGAGACAAGTGACTGCTGTCAGTTGTATCATATGAGGAATTTATCCTAGCTACCTCTTACAGATTAGGTTTCTCTTGATCAGAATTAAATTTCAAATGCCAATTTGTATTTTACAAATCTAACTATTTGCTGATGTCCAAGCCTAATGGAAAAAAAAATTTCTTACATGGATTGCTATTTTGTTAAAAATGCATCAGTACTATACTTAACATGGATACAGTTTTATTGAAACACAAACATTTCTGATATGGAAAAAGTCTGTTAGTGTGTTGTATTATTTTGTTCTTAAAAATTTTAGCTCTGCCATATAAAATTTTCTTATCAAAATTGTGTAAATGTATTTGAGAATTTTAATGTTGTGTTCCTTTATAAATGTGTTCTTTGTTTCCATTTAGATCTCGAATACCTGATGCATGCAAAACAACAGCTAGTAACCACAGCCAAGCGTTGGGACTCTTCTTCTAAGACTATTATAGATTTTGAACCTAATGAAACTACTGATTTGGAGAAGAGCCTTCTTGTCAGATACCAAATCCCACTGTCCGCTGACCAGCTGTTTACCCAGTCCGTTTTAGACAAGTCATTGACCAAGAGCAACTATCAGTCGCGGCTGCATGATCTTCTTTACATTGAGGAGATAGCCCAGTATAAAGAAGTTAGCAAGTAAGTTCACAACAGAGACATTTTCCCCCTTTCTTGCTTTTTTAAAAATCTCCCTTTTAGGTGGCTTTGAAAGATAATTACCTATTCTAGTTTATTTATTTTTTCAACAGATTCTGTTTAGTTCTAGATACAATGTTGAGGACATGATATTCCCTTTTCCTGCCTCTCTCTCTCTCTTTTTTTTCCCAGTTTCTGAGCTAACATATTTTTAATTGCTGTTCCAGTCACGGTAATGCTTGTAGTGGCATTTTTAATTTTGAAAATTGAAGAGTGCTTAACTCATGACAGGAAGCAAAATGATTATTATTTTGTGGCTTTTATTCTTAAATTAAATATGAGCTTCTTAAGTCAAGAACCGTATTCTGCTCCTCTTGGTATCCCCAATGTATGGTATATAGTTTTTTCCCACAAGATCTTATCACTCATCACCTGGGGATGGCACTTGGCCCTGTGTGCCATAGACTGCCACTGGATACCTGTGGTCCCTGCCCAGGACGGCCGTGTCAGTAGCAGGCACCGCAAGTGTGCAGTGAATGTCGGACAGACTTACGCAAATGGAAGGAACATCATCTTGAAAGTTGTTTTAAGAATGAAATCATTTAAATCTTCAGGAAAATGGTTTGGTAATATAAATGCTTTATAGCACTTTCTATGAATGTTTGAACATATTTTACATTTTACCTATATACCACAGGTGAAGATCAAGTGCTTAAGTAAAAATTTATCTGCTTAGTGAAAATAGCCTTATAAAGATTGAGCAAACAAATCTAACTGAAACAGTATTATATTTAATGGTACCTCTCTACTTTTTATTTTTGATTTAATAAGGCTTTATTTTTCCAAATATACAGTTGATTGGACCCGTTCATGCATCTTCACCAGCTGCTGGTACAACTCTACCCTGGGTGTTTCTAGTGTTAAATTACTTGAACTCTGTGCTTTGAAACCAGTTAGACAAGTCGTTTACTCAGGAGCTCCTGCAGGGCTCCTGGCCAGGGACCCACGGGTCTTGAATCTCTCTGAGACCACAGCCAGCATGGTGAGCTTTAGCTGGGGACTCCTTGCAGAACTTGTCATATGTGGCTTTGTCAAACAGAACCAGGTTGTTGTGCTTGTCCTGGACTTTGCCGTTGGGCCGCTTCTTCCTGGCCTTGCCCCCTGACTTGTTCACCAGGTCCTTATCCTTCCTGGTCGACTTTCTGGTGTCTTTCTGCTCTTTATCGTCCTTGGGTGGCATGGAGAGGTGTGGAGAGTGGTGGTGACCACTTAAGCCCTGCAAGCTGTTGGCCACAAAGGGGAAAATTTCTACTTTTTGACGCAGTGACACTAGTCTTAAACACTGAGCTATAATTATGAGACAAGACTAAAATTTTACAAGTACTTTTTTTTAAAAGTATAGCTAATTCTAACTTTTTAAAATCCAAGCTCTTACTGGTACTTTATGATTAATATTAATAGATTCTGAACATTTATTAGTCTATTTGGAAAAGAAGTAAACATTTTAAAATACCTTTTTTCATTGATTCATGGATTAAATGCAGTTTTACTTTTAAAAATGTCTTAATATATGTAAAATACATGTAAAAGTTCTGGAGCCAGAACGCAGGCATTTGGCTTGACTGTTACAAGTGCTGGTTAGGATACCCAGGTCCCACAGCTGCATGTCTGGGTTCCACTCCTGGCGCTGGCACCTGAGCCCAAGTCCAGCTTTCTGTCACATAGTCACTGAAAAGCAATTGTGGGTTCTGCTAGCCAGGTAGGGGACCTGGAGAAGTTCCTGGGTCACAAGTTTTGGATGCCTGGGGAGTGAACCAGCAGGTGGGAGCTCTCTGCCTCTCACCAAAAAGAAAATATGTATGTGTTATATATATATATATATATATATATACACACACATAAATATATGAACACACACGAAAATTACAGATGCAGTGACTTCTATTATCATGTACATTATTCAGTGTTAATATGCATGTCTGATGTTCACAGTATCACATTCCCTTTCCTTAGGAAAGAATACTATGGTAAATCATAAATATTGAGAAGAAAGAATTTAAAAGCTTAGCAGAATCCTGAGACTGTTTTTGAGCATTGTACTATAATATGTTGATATGTGGTATCTCTTTAATATAATATTAAAGCTTCCAGGTTATACCTAAGGGGGTGGATGATGTGCATCAGGTTAAGTCACCGCTTGGGATGCTGGTTCAATTCCTGGCAGCTCTGCACTTTGGATCCAGCTTCCTACTAGTGCACGTGGAGGGCAGCAGAGGATAACTCAGTCACATGGGTTCCTGGCGTCTTCATAGGAGGCCCAGACAGAGTTCCTGGCTCCTGGCTTCTGCCCGGTCCAGCCCTGACTGAGACAGCCATTTGGGGCTTGAACCATTAGATGGATGGTATCTCTCTTTTGTATCACTCACATTTGATACAAATGGATAAATCTTCAAGAAGTGAAGCGGAACTAAAAATTCAATAATAGTAATAATGTCCTTTGAAGGATTACCTATTTGTATTTGAAAGACAGATTTACAGAGAGAGGAGAGACAGAGATATTGTACCTGCTGGTCAACTCCCTGAATGGCCACAATGGGTTTAGCTGGGCCAGTCTGAAGCCAAGAGCCTGGAGCTTCGTTCGTATTGCCTGTGTGAGTGCAGGGACCCCCAAAACTTAGGTCATCTTTCTCTTTCCCAGGCATATTAACAGGGAACCAGATTGGAAATGGAACAGCTGCACCTTGAACTGGCACCCATTTGGGTTGCTTACACCGCAGTTAAAGGCCTAAATTACTATGCCATAGTGCTGGCCCCGCAAAATAAATAATAAAATCAAACACCTTTCAGGGGCTGTACCAGCATGCCATATCAGAGTGCTGCTTGGAGTCCCAGACGCTCAGTTTCCAATCCAGCTTCCTGTTAGTGTGCCTGGGAAGGGGTCAGATGATGGCCCTAGAAACCAGGCTCCTGTCCCCCCTGTGGGACACTCACGTGGAGCTCGAGGCTCTTGGCCTAGGCCATTGTGGTCATCTGAGGAGGGAACTAGTAGATGGATGATTTTTTTTTTCTTTTTCCCATCTCTTTGTCTCCCCTGTCACTCTATCAAATAATATAACTTTTAAGAAAAAAGGGGAACTTATATATAATTAAAGGCACTAACACGTCTGGATTGTTGTCTTAAAAATACCTTTACAAATGGAAATTTGGGGGCAGGCATTGTTATGCAGTGGGCTAAGCTACAGCTTGAAATACCCACATTGGAGTGTTGGTTCAAATCCTAGCTACTCCACTTTTGATACAGCTCCCTTATTAGTATGCTTGGGAAGCGGTAGATGGTGGTTGGAGTGCTTCCACACACGCAGCAGATCCAGAAGAATCCTTGTTTTGGCCTGGCCCAGCCCCAGCTGTTGTGACTGTCTGGTGAGTGAACCAGTGGATGGAAGATCCCCTCTTTACCTTCCTCCTTTTCTTTCTCTCTTTATCCATCAAATATCAATCAGGGCTCAGACAAACCCACAAGGAAAGAACCCCTAAGAAATTGTGACAAGATAGAATGTAAGCAGTGTGGTAATATAAGTGTCAAGACAATGGATAGCCTTTTAAAATAGTCATGTCTGAGCTTTTTCTCTTTTTAAAAAATGGATCATAGTTATTGACTCAAATAGTGATGTTTATATGTTGACTATAAATCAGGATCTTTTAAGAAATATTGATTTGAGAGACAAAGAGAGAAAGAGATAGTGCTCCTGAATCGGCTGGTTCACTCCTCAGTGCCTACAACGTGTGGGACTTGGCTGGGTGGAGAGCAGCAGCCTGGAGCTCAGTCCAGGTCTCCCTTGCGGCCAGTAGGAGCTTCATGAGGCGTCACTGCTGCCTTCCCGAGTCTACGTCAGTGCGAAGCCGGCTGGGGTCAGTAGCTGAATTTGGAATCAGAACTTTGATTGGAAGGCGGATGTCTTAATTTTTTGCTAGGGCAGACACGGTTCCAGAAGCATCACTTTCTGTCTGCTAGGTATGCAAGCTACAGAAGAGTATTTATTTAAGAACCTTAGCGGGCACGGTGCAGAAGCCTAGTGGATAAAGTCCTTGCCTTGTAACCATATGGGCAACAGTTCGTATCCTGGCTGCTCTACTTCCCATCCAGCTCCCTGCTTGTGGCCTGGGAAAGCAGTCGAGGACGGCCCAAAGCCTTGGGACCCTACATCCACATGGGAGACCAGGAAGAAGCTCCTGGTTCCTGGCTTCAGATGAGCTTAGCTCCAGTTAGTTGCCAGACAGAAAACATATTTAAGAAGCTAGGCAAGGGACAAATAACAGGTGTAGGTTGTAAAGACTTCTTTAAGAAAAGAATAAGGCAACAAATTAAAAAAAAAATGAATTTAGGGGAGGTTTTATGCAGTTATAAGTAATGTGGGCATAGAAACTGGTATAGTGCAGGGTTCAGCAAACTTTTGCTGTTCAGGGCTAGATAGTATTTCAGACTTTTTGAATCTTTTATTTTATTTTTGTTTCTTTGTGAAACCCATTCTTGGCCATGGACTGTAAAACTGTCTGCGAGTTGGACGTAGCCCTAGTCCACCCTGCTGTAGGAGTGACTGGGTGGTTTTGCTTGTCTGTTCAGCTGGTCATCAGAGCAGGCTCCAGTTTAGCTTAGAATTGTGAAGAACATTCTGTTGCAGTTAGAGACCTGCTTTAGAGGTAGAAAGCAATGATGTGGATAAATGGACACATCTTTTTAAATGACTCGGTGCTGTTTTTTTTTTTTTTTTTTTCCTTTTTTGATGGTGTGTTGTTCTGTGTGCTCAGAAATAGGTCTGCTTGGGAAGTTGTAGTCAGAACTGATAGGCTCTTTGTCAGGGTTCAGGAAATCTGTCAGGCATCTGACAGTTCAAGTAGAATATTCTAATCATGAAGGTAATGTCCAGAGAGTTTCTAGTGTTTTTTCAAGTTTTGGTGGTAGAGGATTTCACATTGCTGGTGTGTGGGTCATCCATCACAACACTCCTTGCTCTAAAGTGGATGTAGTGAAAACTAAGAAAAAATGTTTTTTTGGCTTGAGCCTGGATTTAGTAATAGAAATTTTAATTTTTTTTAAGAGGTGATTTTTTGAAAAAGTGTTTCATAAATTAAGATTTCTTCTTATGTTATCTTTTTGTGTGAGATGTGTGTATGTAGTAAGACCAGTACATCGCATTCATTTCATGTAAATGTTGGAAAATGCTTCTGAATATGTTTAGAGATTTTTTGTTTTCTGTTTGTACTTCACTTACTCTCAACCACATGATGGTAAAGAAGTATTCTACCTTGAAGTGAAATCTGTTTGATTCCAAAGAGATATATTTTCAAAAGAAATTGACTTTAGCTGAAGTGAATGTGTCTGTTAAATTGTGGAGTGCCATGCCTAATCGGGTGTTTGTGCCAGGCTTATCAATACTCACAGCCGGCAGGGAGGCTAGTGTGGGATGCACATTTCATCCATACGATGATGCAGAACTCCTGTGGGTTGCATCATGGTTCAGTCATTCTGCCTCAGAAAGCCCAGGGATTGCCTTACTTGTTGATTTTTTATTGTTCATGTAATCAGAAATTGCATGAAACGAAATTTACTATTTAGCTTTGTGATTTCTTTTTACTAAGTTTATTTTCATACGTTGAAAACATAGAGCAACAGGGAGGAGAGGGAGAGGTGTTATCTTCCATATGCTGCTGTCACTCCCCCAAATGCCCGCAGTTGCCAAGACTGGGCCGGGAGGCTGGCATTCCACCTGCAGCTGCCATCGGCAGCCCTCCGGGACACATCAGTGGGAAACAGAGTGGCCTGGAGTGAAGCAGGCACTCAGATGAGGCATGTGCCTAACTTGCTGTGTCACAACACCTGCCCCCATTTTTTTTTTTTTTTTTAAAGATTTGTTTATTGGAAAGGCCAATTTACAGAGAGGAGGAGAGAGAGAGGGAAGGATCTTCCATCCAGTGGTTTACTTCCCACATGACCATGATGGCCAGAGCTGAGCTGATCTGAAGCCGGGAGCTCTTTCTAGTCTGTACATGTGCAAAGGGCCCCAAGGGCTTAGGCCGTCCTCTGCAGCTTTCCTAGTCCCCTAGCAGGGAGCTGAGTTGGAAGTGGAGCAGCCAGGCCACAAGCAGTGCTCATATGATATGCTGGTGCCTGTAGGCGGAAGGTTAGCCAACTGGGCCATCACACTGACTCCCTCCCCTGAAGTTTTTTAAAGCCAAAATACCACGTAAGAGCCATAGGTATTGCCTGAAGCTCACTCTAGGTAATATTTGAGTGCACCTGTGTTTTAACTGTATGGCATTTACAGTAAGCTTGATAGAACAATCTTTCTCATCAACCAGAAGTGTGATTTTACGTTCATTGAAAATTTGAGTTTCATTCTACCATCCCTCAGAATATTAGGAATTTGTTTTATAGTTGATTTTGAAATGTGAATTGCAATATTGGAAAGCAGGAAAGCTATGATTAAGAAATAACTTTGTTAATTGTAAGCTATATTTTATATTTTAGGGATTTCAAAGTTATGAAATTTCAAAAAATGCATAGTTGAATACCTCAGAGAGACTACTAATTAAGTCTTAGTTTTTGGTCTGTTAATCATTCAGAAAAATTAAATATTAGCAGCAATAACTTCTAGAAAGTCTGTTATAGAGTTCGTGCTGTGGCATAGTGTCATAAGTCACCACCTGCAGCACCAGCATCCCAAATGGATGCTGATTTGATTCGCAACTGCTCTATTTCCGATTCAGCTCCTTGCTAATGCACCTGTGAAAACAGTACATGATGAACCAAGTGCTTGATGCCCCATACTAATGTGGGAGACCTGGTGGAAGCTCCTGGTTCCTGTCTGGTCTGGCCCAGCCTGGCCGTGGTGGCCATTTGAGGAGTGATCTACTGGGTGGGAGGTCTCTCTTTCTGTCTCTCCCTTTCTGTGACTCTGCCTTTCAAATAAATAAATCTTTAAAAAGCAGTCTGTAAGGTCTGCATCTTAAACATGAAATGAAACACATATGGGAAAGACTGTATTTATTGATTTAATTTTCACAGCTATTTGTTGGTTTTTAAAAAAGATGTGTTAATTGAACAGGCAGATGTACAGAGAGAAGGAGAGACAGAGAGAATGCTCTTCCATCTGCTGGTTCACTCTCCAGCTGGATGCAACAGTTGGAGCTGAGCCAGAAGGTTCTTCCGGGTCTCCCATGTGGGTGCAGGGTCCCAAGGATTATGGGCCATCTTCCACTGCTTTCCCAGGCCACAAACAGGGAGCTGGATAGGAAGTGGAGCAGTCGGGATGTGAACCGGTGCCCATATAGGATTCCAGCAATTGCAAGGACTTTTAGCCACTAGGCTACCACGCTGGAATTTGCCATTTTGGGGGAAAAAAAGCACAAACAAACAAACAAACAAACAAAAAAAAAACCAAGAAAAAAACCCCCCAAAACAGAATTCACCTCTAGGATTACATTTTTTCAGATTCAGAAGTGAGGCTAGAGTTTTGTTCCAGGAAACAAGATAATGACAACATAAAAATTTCAAAGGCTAGTGTTGTGGTGTAGCAGATAAAGCTGTTGCCTGTGACCCCAGCATCCCATCTGGGCGCAGGTTCAATTTCTGTCTGTTGCTCTTCTGATCCAGCTGCCTGCCCATGCACCTGGGAAAGAGTCAGAGGATGACCTCAGAGCTTGGGCTCTGCACCCATGTGAGAGTCAGGGACTAGCTTCATGCTGCCAGGCTCTGGTCGCTGCAGCCATTTGCGGAGGAAGCAGAGGAATAACTCTCTCCTCTCCACCTTCCCCCTCACCATGCAGACTCTGACTTGCAATGATAATTATTTTTTCTGAGAGAAATTTTAGGATGTAAATAGTCTTTATAGTTGCCCTGGAGTATATTTTGTGGTCGAGCTTATTAGGAAAGAGAGAGAGAGAGAATGCCATTTCAGCCCTCCCCTCAGAGCTGTGGGAAAGTCGCTGGTTGTCAGACTCAGCATTTTATGATCCGCTAGTGGTGGTGCAGGGAGTGGGTCTGAGGCAGGAAGGCACGTTCAGCTTGTTGCAGGGATCTGTGTTAACTGGGCGAGGGTGCAGATGGGTTAGGAGGAGGAGAAATTGTCAGGGCTTTTGGAACTAATCATGCCTGGTGGTTATAGGATGAAGAAGCCCACGTCCGCGCGGGTTTCTGTCTCGGACAGCAAGGTGGATGATAGTACCATCATTAGCCCTGCTCAGTACGTGGGAGGATTGGTGTGAGGGTCATGTTGGCGAGACGAGGTGGTGATTCAGGTTCAGCTGTAGTGAGTGGGTTTGGAGAGCTAGTCAATACAAGTATCAATTTGACAGCTGGCTTTTAAAGCCTGAGGCAGGAGATTGGCAGGAGGGGCAGCCTCAGCTGTGGAGAGCAGCAAGGTGTGGCTGGAGCTGTAGATGGTGGTTACTCTTATCCAGAGGCAGGTGTAAACAAGCATACCTCTTTACAGAAGTCGGTGAAAGAGGTGCCTGGTGCTATAGCCTAGTGGCTAAATCCTTGCCTTGTAACTGCCAGGATCCCGTATAGGCACCGATTCTTGTCCTGGCTGCTCCACTTCCCACCTAGCTTCCTGTTTGTGGCCTGGGAAAGCAGTGGAAGATGGCCCAAAGCTTTAGGACCCTGCACCCGTGTGGGAGAACCAGACGAAGCTTCAGGCTTTTGGAGTGAACCAGTGAACATAAGATCTTTCTGTTGCTCCTTCTGTCTGTATATTTGGCTTTCCAATAAAAACATTTTTTTTTTAAGAGAGGAGTTGTTTCGGGAAAAATGGATGAAATTGCCTTTAGCCACGAAGATCCTTTGTAAATCAAGAATGCAGTTGTAATAAGTCTCCTCTGAAGAAGGTTTTATTTTAGTTTAAGCTTTTAAGTTGTTAGTTATTTGGAAGGTAGACAGACAGACACAGGGAGAGGTCTTTCCCCTGTGGCTTTCATCCTCAGATGCACAGCAGATGAGGCTGTGCCAGGCCGAAACCAGGAGCCTGGAACTAGGTCTCCCTCGGCAGGGGAAGATACCCAAGAACTAGACCCCTCACTGCTGTGTTCCAGGGTCTGTAGGTTTTATGTGAAAGCTGCAGTTGGCAGTGATGTCAGGTACGATATGGAATTGTGGGTATCCCACGTGACATCAACGGTGTATAACTGAGAAGTTTTCATTTTTGGTATGTTCGTATTTGATTTATTTTGCTCTACCTGTCTGGTTTTATGTTTTTGATGTATAATATTCAAACTAAGTTTCTACTTCTGATGTAGGTTCAACCTTAAAGTGCAATTGCAGATTCTAGCAAGCTTCATGCTCACTGGAGTTTCTGGAGGGGCAAAGTATGCTCAGAATGGACAACTTTTTGGTCGTTTTAAGCTTACTGAGACACTTTCTGAAGATACTTTGGCTGGACGACTGGTGATGACCAAAGTCAATGCTGTGTATTTATTACCAGTCCCTAAAGAGAAGTTAGTACAGACCCAGGGAACCAAAGAGAAAGTTTTTGAAGCTACTATTGAAGAGAAAACAAAAGAATATATATTTTTAAGGATATCCAGGGAATGCTGTGAAGAACTTCATCTTCGGCCTGATTGTGATACACAGGTATGTTTGAAGGCGGCAGCCTAATCCTGCTCACTTAGGTCTCCTGGTCGGCGTGGGAGCCTGCTCAGGGGCTACCAGCCTTCCAGCAGAACCAAGGCTTACTGACTTTAAAGTCTTATGTTTTTGAGTTGACAGTTGGAGCTTTTGTAACTCTTGAAAAAGAAAATATTTTTAAGTAGCATGCAAGTGTTCTGGATTTATGTAAGGTTAAGATTTTTGATTAGGGCGTTAAATCAGCAATGGAAAAGTACATGAAAGTGAACTATATTAAGCTACCTCCTGGAGGTACGTCTGCTGTACTTGGGTACACCCCTGTTCTCTCTGTATGAGTTTTTAGGCGAATCCTAATTGAATCTGCCATTTTTACTAGAGAGGTAAGTTGTTTTCTAAGTGTAAACTTTGGTGAATATGGCTCATTCATAATACCTAGTGCCGTAGGGTTGATTATCACTAAGGATGTGACACTTTGGCACATTCTCTTGATTGTTTTCAAGTGTCTTCTTCAACGAAATGGTACAACCAGAGAGCTTTTATCTAGAGGCCCATTTGCAAATGCCTCAGTTTTGTAATACATAAAACGAAATTAATAATAGTGGTTACATCATCAATATTATTAAATGAGATGATCTGTGCAAAATACTTACTCCAGTGCTCAGTGCTAAATAAATATTTATAGAAATTATGGTTAGAATACGATTAATCTCTTAAAGCACCTACAAAATTGTAAAGGCAAATGTTTGTTTTTACAAAGTATTTTAGTGAATTGCCAGCACTAATATTTGCTTTAAAGCTATTTAAATTTGGAATGTATTTTGTGTTACAGGTTGAACTTCAGTTTCAGTTAAATCGATTACCCCTCTGTGAGATGCATTATGCACTAGACAGGATCAAGGACAATGGGGTTTTGTTTCCAGACATCAGTATGACTCCTACCATACCGTGGAGTCCCAACAGGTAAAGCAAGGAGATGCGTTATTAAAGGAAGTTATTGTTGACGTTGAAATTGACTATATCAGGTCATCAAGCATACTTTTATTAGGAAAGTTTGCCCACATTCTTCGGGGACATTTTATTAAAAAAGGACAGGAAGAGGATGCTTTGAATGAAACTTCTGAGATTCATCATCTGTTCTGTTTTTCTCAGAATCTGTGTAAGTTGTGTTGCTTTTCTCAATAGCTCTAGTTTGATAGGCTGCCAAGCAATTTCGAGCTGTTTCCAAGTTGACGTTGAATGGGAAAGTTAAGGCCCCTCGGAAGTGGTGCAAATAGTTTGTTTCAAATAATTTTAAATGTAGTAGATATTTTAGTAACCGAGCAAAATGGAACAAGGTGTGTTGTGCTGCTTGGCTCTTCTTTGGCACATCTTTATGTTGATGGTTTTATTTTGTTTCAAGGATAGATGAAAGTGGTCGTGGCGTGGCTGCATCTTTATGTTTTCACTGGGTTTTACCCCTTGGATAACTCATGACATCCTTTTTTTTTTTTTTTTAATCTTAGTGACTCATCAAAATGGAAGTTTATCATTTGTGTCAGTCCAAGCACAGTGGGGAGTGGGGTGGCCCCTGACCCATGACTGATGGAAGCTGTAGTTTCCTTAGTATGTGGTTTCCAGGGTCACTCTGGGAGTTGATACCTAGCTGGCCGACAGCGAATCAATGAACATGACGTGTCCTGTGGGAAATCTTTATGGGCCAGGCCTACAAGTGAAATGTATCATTTCCCACCACTTTCCATTTTTGTGGTCCGAAAAACAGAGCAAACCGAAATATGTGTTGCAACACAAAAGCCAAATCATTTCTCTCTTGTTTTTTGCTTACCATCACTGCCCTGTCCTTTTACTGCCTTAAAAGGGTGTAGTCTGCATATTTCCAGTCTTTTTCTTTGTTATATAATTTCTGCTTTCCACTTATTCTCTTGAAAGTGATCTGTGTACCACAAATTGTGAAAAGCCCATCATGTCTTGGTTCTCATTTGAGTTGTTCTCTGTGCATCCCTCTCTTCTTTGCGCTGTGATCCAGACAGCATCTCGTTTAGACCCGAACTGTCTTGGGAACCTTCTAGTCGGTCTTGTGTCCATGCTCTTGTGTCCAACCCACATATTTCTTCCAGAGTTCAGTTTTCTGAAACAGTGATGTTATTTCACCGCTTACAAATCCCTCAGAGCTTCTTTTGCTCAATCTGGAGTCAGCATCCGACCAGCCCAGTTGTGGTTGAACCTCATTGTCCTCTTCAACAGTACCTTTCAGAAGGATTTTTACTTTTTCCTGCTTGGCACTGTCTTTGTTCTTCTGCGCCCCATGTTCTAGGCATATCTAGTTACCTTGAAGTTTAATTTTTCTAAATGTATTCACCTCCCCCTTTTGAATTTTTAAATATTTATTTATTTATTTGAAGAGCACAGTGGCAGAGAGATGGAGATATCTTCATTGCCCAGATGGCCAAGTCTGGGCCAGGCTGAATCCAGGAACCAGGAAACGTCATCCAGTCTCCCTTGGAGATGGGCAGGGACACGTACCCTCGGACCATCTTCTGATGCCCTTCCCAAGCCATTGGCATGGAGCTGGGTTGGAATGGAGCAATTGGGACTTGAACAGTGCTTGTGGGGAATGCCACCATTGCAGGCAGCAACTTAACTTGCTGTGCCAGTGCACCAGCCCCCTTCTTATTAAAAACAACAAAAACTTCAAAGAATTGGGATAAAATCCAAAAAAAAAAAACATAACAAGTGCTATCTTAAGTGTTTTAAATGTGCAGTTCAGTAGTATTAAATATAATAAGCTTGAAGCGACGTTATAATGTGCAACTAATCTCCCATATTTTTTCATTTTGCCAAACTCTCTCATCTTGCAGTGATTTCCTCCCCAAAGTGGTCTTTGACCTGTGTTAGTAGGCTGAAGACCTTCCTGTCCCTGAGGGTTTAGTTCAGCTCAGGTGTTCTGCTTCACGTACATTATACTGACCCTTTCGCTCCCGTGGCGCTGCAGATGCTTGTCGAGTGAGTGCCTGCCGTGTCCTGTGCTTGGTCGGTTCTGGGCTCCTGGCTTGCACCTGGCCCAGCCTTGGCTGTTGCAGGCATGTGTGGAGTGAATCTGTAGAGGGAAGATCTCTGTGTCTCTTACTGTCTCGCCTCTGACTCTTATCTCTCTCACTCTGCTTTTCCAATACAACAAATAAATGTATATATATTTAAGTTAAAGGAAATGTAGCTATTGAATATTCTAAGAAACCATTAGCCATTTAAAGTCTTTTTTGGAATAATATGAGTAAGGGTATATAAATGAACTTGGGGAAATTATTCTTGAGCATTACGTCTATGAATTAATTATAACATAAGACCAGGGGAAACAAGGACTTTTAATTAATTTCATTCAGGGAATAAACATTTTCATTTTATTTTACTTGGAATAAGCTTGAAGAGATTTTTCCTGTTTTAAATCCCAAAAATCAGAAATGCCTGTAAGCATGTCTGTTACAAATCTTCTGTCCTTTATTAAGCAGATCAGTGTGATAAACACTTAGAATTTTAAAAAAGTTTATTGACTTTCTGTAAATGTTCTTTTGAGATGATGGGTATTGATAATTTCTGATTTACTCTGTGGCATTTATTTACATTGAAACATTTGACAAAGAATGAGCTGTGCGTTTGTCATTAATCTCTAAGATTTGTATTTGCACATGATTTTCTGTTTCATTCTCAAATTCATTAAAGTCTCCAGATTTGAAAGATTTCAGAATTTGTAAAGGCCTTCTATTTTGGGGGCGTTTGTCTGTTGTGCTGGCATCCAAGATGGGCACTCATTCATGTCCTAGCTGCCCGACTTCTGATCCAGCCTCCCTGCTTGTGGCCTGGGAAAGCAGTGGAGGATGGCCATGTGCTTGGGCTCCTGAGCCCACATGGGAGACCCGGAAGAAGCTCCTGGCTTTGGGTCTGCTCAGTTCCAACCATTGTGGCTGTTCGGGTTGTAAAGCAGTGGGTGGAAGATCTCTCATTGTCACTCCTCTTTTACAACTCTTCTTTCAAATAAAAATTTTAAAACACAAAGCTTTTTAAAAAAGCTTTTTATTTTTCGAAAGTGCGTACTATTCAAATAATTTCATTTTTCTTAAATCCTCAGAAAATATTATTGTAATAGAAGCTAACACGAACTGAGATTTTACTGCTCAGTTATTTTTCTAAGCAGCACAGCATATCTTATCTCATTTGATCTTTTCGTCTGATGTAAGCAGCAGATCTCCAAGCAGATCAAGGCACCAGTGGGAGCGGATACGAGTGACAGTTTACCGAGCTGACTGTGGCTTAAGGAAGTAGAGGGACAGGCCGAGAGGCAGGTGGTCCCGGCTCGTTCAGGGGCCTGGAGGCCATCGAGAGCATGTATGTGGTCTTCTCTTGGCTTACCACCGTGTGCTGGCTGCAGTGCATATGCCATCAGTGCGTTCCAGGCAGAGCTGATGGGCAAAGGGAGTGACCCAGAAGGGCTTTTGTTCAGTGTTTGAAACACTACAACCTGCAAGGCTCTGTTTCCATTCCCAGCAACTTTTTCCTGCATCTAATTGCCGGCCACTGGGTTTCCGGCCCAGGGAGCTATGAGGTGGAGTTTTCCAGCTCATGCGGCTCAGCAGCAGAGGGGGGCTGTGAATGGTGTGGGGCAACCATCCCACGGTGTCTGCCTCGATGCTGAAGTCTGGCTTCACTGATCCCTGAAAACAGGCTCCTCACTCCGAGGGGGAGGAAGAGGGAGGAGTGAGGCACCTCATTCATGCAGAGGGACGAAGGCAAACACGGGGGGCAGGGGAACCTGCCTCCTAGAATGCTGGTACCACTGCTCACAGGGGCTTTTGTTTGTTAAACCTAAAATGTTTGTAATTTCAGGAAAATAAGTCCTGGCATATTCGTGTATTCAAAGTCTGTTTCCTAACATTCTTTGGGAGAATTTTTTTGGTTTGAGATTATCTGAAATAATATAACGTTAATTAAAGAAACACACACACAGTGTTCAGATTTTCCATAAATAACTAGCTGCTGATTTAAGTCAAGCATCACAGAAATGGAATTTTCCTGTCAACATTCTGTCCTATTTCAGGATTAATTTGCAGGCACTTTGATTGCAAATTTTTTAAGGGTCTCTTTACACACCCTTCCTATTTTGGTTCACATCTGTCTCATTTTTACCATACTTGTTGCAGAATTTAGCATTTTAATTGCAGTTACGAGGCTGCTGTTGATTCTCCACTCAGTTTGATGTGTCTTGGCATCTGCTGCCCATTTAAATCCCGAGAACATCGTCAAGCCATAGAAGAGCCTCTAGTGAGATGGATCCAGTTATAGGAGCCATCTGTGTGTCTCTGGTACAGGTGTGCCTGTCTTTGGAAAATAGCTGTGATAGATGCAAAAACACTAGCAAGCTTTTCATGCTATGAGGCATTTCAGTCCTTTGTTTTTTCTTTTTAAGATTTTTAAAAAGTATTTATGCATTTTTATTTGAAAGGTGGAGTTACAGAGAGAAGGAGAAATAGGACAGAGAGCATGAGAGATCGGTCCTGCATCCACTGCTTCACTCCCCAAATGGCTGCAATGGCCAGAGCTCAGCCCAGCCCAGACTGCTTCTTCTGGATGTCCCACATGGGTGCAGGGGCCCAAGGACTTCTGCCATTCACTGCTGCTTTCCCTGGCAGTGTATGGGGCCGGATTGGAAGCGAGCAGGATTGATCTACTACACCACTGTACTGGCCCCTGAAAGATTGATTTTCCTTATTTATGTTAAACACAGAGTAAGACGGAAGGTCTTCTGTCTGCTGGTTCAGTCATATAGCTGCAACAACAAGGTCTGGGCAGGCCCAAGTGAGGAGCCAGGCGCACCTCCTGGTCTCATGTTTGTGAAAGGACCCAAGTGCTTAAGCCATCTTCAGCTGCTGTTCCTGGCGCATCAGCGGAAGCTGGATAGGAATTAAAGGAGTCGGGACCTGAGCTGGTTTAGGGGATGCTGGTGTCACAAGTGGCAGCTTAGCTCACTGAGCACTAACATCAGCCCTCTTGATAGTCTAAAAAAACCCAGAATTCCTGTTTTCAAAATTAAGGTCCTTTAAGTTCCGAAAGCTTTGGGCCGTCCTCGGCTGCTTTCCCAGGTCACAGGCAGGGAGCTGGATGGGAAAAGGGGCTGCTGGGATTAGAACTGGCACCCAAATGGGAACCCGGTGCTTGCAAGTTGAGGACTTTAGCCACTAGGCTACTGTGCTAGGCCCTATTCCTTTAAAAAACAAAACAAAACAAAACAACATTTATTTACTTGGGAGTTACAGAGAGAGCTTCCTTCCATTAGTTCTTTCCCCCACATGGTCACAATGGCCAGTGTTGGAACAGAACAAACCCAGGAGCCCAGAGTTTTACTTAGGTATTCCATTGAGTAGCAGGGGCCTAAACACTTGGGCCCTCTTCCTCTACTTTTCCGAGGCTGTCAACAGGTTGCTGAGTCAGAATTAAAGCAGGCAGCACAGGATGCCCACGTGTGATGCCGGTGCTGCAGGCAGTACCACAGTGTCAGCCACCCAAATGTGATATTTATCAGTCAGGGACTTTTAGGTTTTGTGTTTTCCCTTTGTTTTAAATCTTGCTAAGAGAACTTAAGTGGACTAGATTTTTAAATTCAGTTAATTTTCCTTCTTTTATCTTCTGTGCAAAGAAACTGTTGCTCATTATACCAGAATGGTTTTCTGATTTTTTTTTTAACAAAGGGAAATTACATTTTTGGAAATGCTGCCATTATTTCTGCTGAATTAGTTATCAAAAAGCTGGAAGTTTGTGGTGTCTTTAAATTAGTTATCCAATCCTTTTGTACTTGGACTATGAATAAGATAAGTGAACGGTTTTGATTTCCATGGTAAAACCCTGTGCACTGACTCTGTTGGGTAATTTTCTAAAACATGGTTTTCAGTAAGCCTGCATGTTACAGATGTGATGTCATCTTAGTCGTTCTTTATAGTTCTGTGAAGTTTAGAATACTAGTGTATCATGTCTGTTCATTAATAAGATGCACATATGTTTAAAAAACCCTTAATTTCTTATTTTCCATAGACAATGGGATGAGCAGTTGGATCCTCGACTTAATGCAAAACAGAAAGAGGCTGTTCTGGCCATCACCACTCCACTTTCAATACAGCTGCCGCCTGTCCTAATCATCGGGCCCTACGGAACGGGCAAAACCTTCACCCTCGCTCAGGCCGTCAAGCACATACTGCAGCAGCCAGAGACCAGGTGAGGCTGGCGTGTGTGCTGCAGGCTCAGCACAGGCGCTGTCCGGGTCCTGTTATAAGTACAGACTGTGCTTCTCAAATTTAACAGAAGAGGGGGGAAAAAGAAGAAAAAGAGAGAAGTCTAAACCTCAAAGCGCTAGGATGCAAATTCTGCTAAAACATACTGTTGTAAAAATTGGCCAGAGAGACTATGGTAGTTTTTAAAGAGTCACTGAAACTTCAGGTCTGTGATACACATTAGAACCAAAAGAGTTGGGCTTTTATGTGATAAACTTAAAAGTTACTTAGGAGAGCTTCTGTTAGAGCTTAAAGAGTAATGTCATCTCCTACAGGTATCATTGAATGGTCTTGGAGGTTACTGAGAAGTTGGAGGGAAATGTATTATCTTAAGATGGCCACTGCTTTTTTTTCAATGTTGTACTGCTTGAATAGTTTGTGTTTTATCATTCTTTTTATTTGCACCATTTATTTCAGCAGGATTCTCATTTGCACCCATTCTAATAGTGCTGCTGATCTCTACATAAAGGATTATTTACATCCATATGTAGAAGCAGGCAATCCCCAGGCGAGACCTCTCAGGTATTTCCTCAAGGTTTATTGTGTTTCTGGGTCATACTTTATTATTCTTAAGAAAAGGTGTCTATAAAGGTTTTAATAACTGGAAATTCCAAAATTTTTCACTGTACATTGGCATTTAGAGATTAATGTCTTTTGAAGAAATTATTTAAATTCATGAAATACATAAAATTCTTAAAGAAATCATTTAAATTCAAGAAATACATAAAATTCATTTCTTAAACGTTAAGCAAAGAAAAAGACATCCTTTTTTAAGTTTTGTGTATAAATACGTTGTTATAACCTGAGTAAATTTTGGTATGCATCTCTAAAAGCTAGCGTGATAAAATAATGGAAACGTGGTTAACTTCTTCATTATGATTTCAGTATATTTTGCATGGCAGAGTAGTCATGCAGTGCGAATTCTTTCTGGAAACAAAACTTTCACTAAGACTATGTGTGTTACTTCATGGCCGCTTCACGTTAGAGAATTGTGAAACATTGAAATGATATCTATAACAAAATGTCACTGGGATACACAACATTTTGATACCATTTAAGAGACATAGTATTTTATCAAAGAAAATGTTGGGATGCTAAAGTTCTGAGTATGGAACGTGCTTAAAAACAGGAGTATGGGGGAATAAAAATCCTTTTCTTCAGAAAACAATAAAGAATCATTAAATGGTCTTTTATTATGCCATTTGCTTTCATTTTGTTATATGAATTAATGTTTAGTTTTGCCATTATACAAACTAATGTATCATGCCTAGATTATTCAGAACAGTTATTGCTGACAAATGAATATCTGAGCACACTTTTAAACTGTGATTCATTAACTTTTCAGGTTAGGCATAAAACAATAACATTATGCTATTTAATTATTTAGTAACTGTAGCCTAAGCCATTTGGTTTTGAGATTGCATTTCTAGAAAACAAGAGAAACAGTGCTCTTAGCCTGTTGACATAGGTTTTATGTCATACTTTCTTTTCATTCTGGAAGACAAATCAAAATAGAAATGATTATTTTAAGTAGAATCTTGTTATTTTTAATAAGAAAATATAAATGTATATCTAATCACTGCAAATGAAAAGGTGGTATTTATTGAATGATAAATTCAATAGCCAGTTTGTTTCAGATTCTAGTCCTTTTTTTTTTTTTTTTTTTTTAGCTTCTAAGTAAAGTTGAATGGTGACATTTTCTCTGAGTGTTCTGTTTGCTGTTACTTTAGGTCGTGTGTGTATGTGTGTGTTGTGTGAAGCAAGGTAGTTGCTGTTGTGTTCTTGGCTTGGAGACAGGGACAGATCCATCAACTCTGGGGCAGCTTCACTTTGGTCATTTGGTATTTGTTGTTTCTGGACATCAGAATCTGTCATATTGTTTGATGATATTTAGTGTTGTATAAGTTAAACTATCCTTTAGACTCTTATTTGTCTAACATGTAGTATATTTAAATATGTAGAATAAGAATATTCCAGGAGTACGTGTATATGGTTGGAGAGTTGAGAGCTCCAGAAACTTGCGCTGTAGCGGGAAATCCCACCTTTCTATAAGTCTTGAGGGTAGTTCATTCCAAGAGGAGAAAAAATAAATATATGCAAATACAGGTGTCATTTCAATTAGTAAATGGGGTGAGAAGAAAAATCTGAACTTCCCCATATATTTTGTTTGTCCAGCCTTATTTTGCAATGTAGTTTACCTTTTTGGAAAAGACTAATTGCAAATGTATTTCTTAGTAAAATTAAGGTATTGAATTACTAGGATTTATTATACCATCTATCATTATATTAACTCACTAATTTATAACCTAGAGACAGTTAGCTCGACTGAGAACTGTGTGGAAAGCAGCTTTGTCTGAAATCTTGGCAGGATGCAGGGGGAAGGAGCAGCAGAGGGCGCCAGGTGTCTGTGGACTTGGCTGTGGACACAGCATCCTGTGCCTGAGGCTGCTGAAGGCTGTGCTGTCTTGCAGCCAGCATGCAGCGGACCAGGCCCTGCAAAAGAGAGGGGGGTGTGGAAATGGTCTTAAACAGTATGCACTAAGTACAGTAGTGAATAGGCTTCAGTGTGCATGTTTATGATTACTATTTATAAGATTCTTTTAGTTGCCAGGAGTTACAGTATTATATTATATACAGGAGTTACTGTAAGCTGAGCTTACAGTATTTGGGGATAGAGGTTTTAGGAACCATTTTAGGTTTATTTTCAATTTTTACTAAAAAACTGAATTGTAAGATTTAAAGATGAAATGGAGGGGAAACAGTTTCTATGAAGCTCAGTATCTGGTTCTGACAAAACCAAGACAGAGCAGCGAGGCCATCTGTGTGGAAAGTGTGCCTGGGCTGTGCGTGGACACACGGCAAGTGTTTATTGCTTTTTGTAGAGGGCATTAAGAAATCCAATTCTCTAGGATTAGGTCTTCCGAGTCTTAGTATCCAATGTAATAATATGTGGGGAGGGATTGATTATTTCAAGAATTCAATATATGAAGAAAGCTTCATTGCATTAAAATCACATTTTGTCAGAGTGTCCCCTAAGAATCATAATTTGCCTGGATATGTGAATTGGTTTGTTTCTAGAAAATGTGTAAATGACTCAATTTACAATGATGTCATTATAAGCTTGAAAGTATGATTTGTCACCATCAAGTCTCTGGCTTTGAAAAATGTTAGGAAAGTATGTGAGGTGTTTTTTTTTTTTTTCTTTAAAGAGATTTGTGAATTTTAATTTAATTGAATGCGTGACAAAGAGAAACGGGGAGATTGTTCTTCCATTCACTGTTTCACTCTTGGAATGATGGAAACGGCTAGAATTGGACCAAGCTGATGCCAGAGCCGGGCACTCCTTCTAAGTCTTCCCCCATGTGGAGCAGGGACTTAGGTACTCGAGCCACTACCTACTGCTTCCCAGGCACATCAGTAGGGAGCTGGACTGGAAGACTGGCTGGAATTCCAACTGGTGCTCCAGGACGGGATGTAGAGATGCAGGAGACTGTGAGTGGTGCATGGAAGGAACTGTCGCAAAACTGGGTGGTGCTTTCCACGTTCCCTTGTGACACAGAGTTGTTTATATCCCTTGGTTGGATGGAGAGCAGGCTATGTTGACTGGTTAGAGGAGTGGCTAGGAGGTTAGAAATGGAGAGTCAAAATGGATACTACTACTACTTAAAAAAAATTTTTTTTGAAGGGTTGAGTAAAAGAGGGTGAGAAATCTTCCACCTCCTGATTCTCTCTTGAAATGGCCCCGCCCTAAGATTGGACCATGGCCAACTGTGACCCAGGAACCAAGAGCTTGGGCCCCAGGACTTGTACCATTCTGCCAGTGCCTTCCCCAGCACATTGGGTAGAGCTGAGTCAGAAGCAGGGCGGCCAGAGCTCATGCTAGCATCCCAAGTGCTGGCCTAGTCCACTGCACCACAGTGCCTGCCCCGGCTGTGAAGGGATAAGGGAGATTGGGCAGTGCCTGGAAGAGTTTGAGGAATTTCATGAGAATTCTTACAAACTGAGAGAAACCAAACTGCTTTAATTAAAAAAAAAAAAAAACATTGAGAATTAAATTGAAATATTGATAATTCCCTTTCTCAATCATGATAATGTAATAGCATTTGTTTAGATTAATATTAATGTTTATAAAGGCATCACATCCATAAAATACAAATCATATTTTGAAGTTGATAGGAAAAGAATTCTTTGTTTATGCAACTACTATCCACCAAATGTGACTCCCGAAGGCAGAAACTTTCAGTTCTCTTGCAGTTTCTTGTGATATTTGCTTCTGTTGTTCTAACATACATGTGTATATAGGTACGCTTTTTTGTGCATATTTGTTGACTTTCTGTTATAGTACTTCAGTTTTAGTGTTTTCTTTGTTACGATTCTATGGATTATTTGCTCCTAACAAATATATGCATATCCTTTCCAGTTTTTTTTTTTTTTAAGATTTATTTTATTGGAAAGCCAGAGTTACAGAAAGGGAGAAACAAAGATCTTCCATCTGCTGGCTCATTCCCCAAATGGCCACAGTGGCTGGAGCGAAATTGGGCCTATCCAAAGCCAGGAGCCAGGACCTCCTCTGGGTCTCCCACACGGAGGCAGGGTCCCAAGGCTTTGGGCCGTCCTTGACTGCTTTCCCAGGCCACATGCAGGGAGCTGGATGGGAAGTGGGGCCACCGGGATTAGAACAGGCACCTGTATGGGATCCTGGTGTGTGCAAGGCAAGGATTTTAGCCGCTAGGCTACTGTGCTGGGCCTATTTTATTATATATTTTTCAGCAAAGAAAGGGTCACTAAGTACAGACTTCACATTTTTCTTAAATTTTTAAGAAATGAATATTTAAGTAAACATATAAAATCAGGTTCTGATTGTATTTTTCAAACAGATCTATCTTATTTCTATAGGAAAGACCTATTTTACATAGGAGAGATGGACAGACCTTCCATCCTCAGTTCTCTGCCCAAGTGACTGCAATGGTCAAATCTGAGCCGATCCAAAGCCAGGAGCCAGGAGCTTCTTCCAGGTCTCCCAAACAGGTGCAGAGTCCCAAGGCTTAGGGCTGTCCTCGACTGCCTTCCCAGGCCACAAGCAGGGAGCTGGATGGGAAGTGGAATAGCCAGGACATGGGCTGGCATTGGTGTGGGATCCTGGCACATGCGAGGCAAGAATTTAGTTACTGAGCCATTGTGCTGGGCCCTCTAATTTTGTAATTTAAGGAATATCAAGAAAATATAATAGAATTCTAATATCTAAGAATAAAAGTTGTTTAATTATATCAGACAGTAAAATAGTTACATCTTTATAAAATGTTTTTGTTTTGCTTCCAAAATCAATTCATGGTAGCTCTGGTCAGATATTTAATGGACGTAAAGTAAAAACCATTAACATTAAAAGTAAGAGTTAAGATCTTAGTGACAAATTGAGGCTCAATGAAAAAAGAGAATTGTTAGTGAAATTTTAGGCTACCTGAAGGTGTGCCAACGAAGCACCAGCTTCTTATAAAAGACAGATAGTTCTTACTGATGTTCATGCCACACGTGTCTGCTGGCATCTGCGCTGCAGGTGGCAGCCCCGGAACTGGGAGCTCCCTCCATCTCTGTGGTAGCAGCAGCTCCATTCTTGAGCCATCAGCTGCTGCCCCCTGGAGGACACATGAGCAAGAAGCTGGCACTGGAAGCCAGAGCCAGGATTAGAACCTGAACGTTCAGACACGGGATGCCTGAATCACCTGGCCAAAGCTTTAACTGTTTTGAAAGCATAATGAAAATACCCTTCTGTTTTATGTGATGGTTTATCACACACTTGATTGAGAAGCGATGTGATTGTTTATTATATAAAATGCTTCTCACAGTATATACTTTTAGATGGAGTAGACAATCTTTTTACCCAGTTGCTTTGATTCATTATATTCATGTCATGATGTCACCTTTTGCACTTGTTTAATATGCACTGAATATTAATTGTGTTTGGACAAGGTGCGGAGAAGTGGTGCACTTCTGTTTGTTGGGGCGCGGATGGTGCAACCTATTGTATGTCTGTTGTCTTATTTGAGTTCCTCAGATTGTTGAGGGATTTAATGATTATGTTCATTTGAAAGTAAAAAATGAGGTTTAGAAGATAAGAATGCAGTTTTGGATCCTGAGAATAAGCCCTGAGGGTTTTGTTTTTGTAACTACTAAAAATGCGTATGATGAAAATAACAATTCAGCCTGTAACATCTGTAATGCATGCAAGGCTTAGGCCTCTGCCATCTTTGCTTGGGAGCACCCATGCTTTTTCTCTTTGTTCTGATGTACTGTCTGCTGGTGTAAAAAATACACCCAGCTTGCCTGACCTCGTCTACATTCCTGTAAGCAAAATTTACCTGAGCTTGGCACCCCCTGGACTTCCCTGCTTCCCTCGCCCTTTCCTCTCCTTCGTTTTCTTCCTTTTCTCTGTTCCTCTCCCTTCTCCTCTTTTCCCTCTCTTCCCCTCCCTTTGCTCTTCCTTAAACTCTGCTTTTAATCTGAAAGCATCACACTGATGTCACCAGTGGTTTTCTTGCCGTACAGTCTGGCGGGCAGTCCTCATGTTACCCAGTGTCTGCACCACTTGGCATAGTTTCTCCTCTGTCCCTTCAAATCCTGACTTCGTTTTGCTTCCTGTGCTGTGAGTCTGCCAGGCTGTCGTGGTTTCGCTGACTGCCCTGCCCTGCCGTTGTCTTTGACGTGCCCTCTCCTTTACTGGCCTGTAACTGTTGGTGTTCTTTGTCAGCCATTCCTCCTCCCATTAGTCTCATCTCTTCTTATTCCTCAGGTAATTCTCGTCCAGTCTCAAGGTTCAGTATTATTCTAATTGAGTATTTCTTGGCCCAGACATCCTCCTGAACTCCAAACTTACATATTACCCTGCCTTCTGGGTAGATCCATTGAATATATACTGGATGTGTCCAAATTGAACTCTCCATTCCTGTTCCAGAGTCCTTCACCATCTTTGTAAATACCTCTCTCGTCCTGCTCCAAAGGCTTGGAAGCCTCGTTCCCCTTGAAGTCGCTGTTTATCAGTGAAGTCTCTGTCATGAATCTCTACAGTCTCTGTCATGAATCTGACCACCTCTTCGTTATTACCACTCATCCCCAGCTGCCTTCTCTTCTTGTCCAGCCCCTTCCAGTAGCTTCTAACTTTTCTCTTGCTTCTTCCTCCTGTTAGTGTTGTGCCGGATCAGCTTATATGGTTTGGCAGAACTGAGCATGTGTGTGTTTCCCAAGTTCATGTTCAGTGACAGTAATGCTTCTGGCTTGAAATTGCCTCCAAGTGGTTTTTGTATAAAAGCACAAAAAGCGGTGAACAAATCGGTCCCTTCCTTTCACTGTCACATATTTAGTGGCACACAGTCTCCCTCCAGTATATTCCAGCGAAGAGAACAGAATTGTCTTTTAGTGATATGTCCTGTGACTGTCCTATTGGATTGTGATGCTCTCTGCTTAAACTCGGTGTAAGCCAAAGCCTCTACTGATTGTTCACAAGCCCTCCAACTTGCTTCTGTGCTGGGGCCTGGTAGATCTTGGTTGTTTGGATGGATGGCTTAGAGATGGATTGATGCATGCACGGGTGGATGAGTTTTGGTGTCATCTTAGTAGTCTGTAACTGTTGCGTGAGGCCTATTTACATTTTTCTTTTGTAGCTAATGGAAGAGCTATGGTTTCTTAAGACTTTTTCAGAAGCTCAGATATTTAATACAAATGCAGGAAGTAAATAAAGTAAAATGCAAATAAAATTTAGAGTAAAATGCAGATAACTTCTGAATTTTTATTGTAAGAAAGAAAATCATTAATTTTATTAGCGTAAATAATTAAAATGAGAACTCAGTTTACTTTTATAAGAATATTCTGGAAAAATAATTCCAAAAGAAGGATATTTCTAACTTTAAAAAGTATGCTGAACTTATAAAACATCCTTGTGTGTCCTTCTGTTTGAAGATTCATGCAGACAGTTAAAAATAATCAATTATTTTGTGATAGTGCCTATGCTTTGTGTTTAAGTGCTGGCTTTTTTTTGGTGGGGAAGATTATAGTGGTTACAGTGGCAGTTTTCTATATTAAGTTCTGATCTAGTAGAGTGTTAATAGTAGTCCTGTTTGTAACAATTTAGAGCCAAAAACTATGAATATATTAATAAATTTAAATTTGAAATATTATCTTCTTTTAGGGTATATTTCAGAAATCGCTGGGTGAAGACTGTCCACCCAGTTGTGCATCAGTACTGTCTGATCTCAAGCGCACATTCCACCTTTCAGATGCCACAGAAGGAGGATATCCTCAAACACCGCGTGGTGGTCGTTACCTTGAATACTTCCCAGTACCTCTGTCAGCTGGACCTTGAACCTGGTAGGCTGACCCAAGGCACAGACGTGATGTCTCAGGGGTCGCAGGCGTAGGTGTTAGCTGAGACTACAGGTTGGCAAATCTGTAGGCCAAAACTGGCTCACTGTTTTTCCTAGTGAGGTTGTATTGGATGGAAGAGAGCCCTGCTCCTTTATTTTGCTATTGGTTGTCTGTGGGTGCTTTTGTGAGTTGTGTGGTTGTAACAGGGCATTTTTTGGATATTGACTGGAAAGTTTGCAAGTCTCTCCTAGTTTAGATATGTGAGTGAATGCATTCTCATTTGTCCTCTAATTTGTTTGGTGGTGCTTATTATTGCTCATGTGAAGAATTTAAATTTGGACACTGTTAGTGAGGTTTTCAAAAATGCTTTTCTTGAGGTTTGTTTCGAAATGCTTTTGTATGGACACAGCAATTATAATAAAAATTTTTTAAAAGATTTATTTGCAGAGTGAAAGAAAAAGAGAGATCTTTGATCCACTGGTTTACACCCCAAATGACTGCAGCAGCTGGGGCTGGACCAGGCCAAAGTCAGGAGTCAGCTGCTCCTACACTTCCACACACATTCGCGGGAAGCTGCATCAGAGTTAGAGCAGCTGGGAATTGAACCTGCACTCAAGTGGAATGCTGGTATCACAGGTGACGGCCTGTATCACAACTCTGACCACATGATAGGATTTATTTTGTAACCATTCAGATTATTCAAGTAGGGCCTGGCACAGTAGCCCAGCAGCTGAACTTCTCGCCTTGCATGCTCTGGGATCCCGCATGGGCACCGGTTCTAATTCCAGCAGCCCTGCTTCCCATCCAGCTCCCTGCCTGTGGCCTGGGAAAGTAGTGGAGGACAGCCCAAAGCCTTGGGACCCTGTACCTGCATGGGAGACCTGAAAGAGGCTCCTGGCTCCTGGCTTTGGATCGGCTGAGCTCCAGCAATTGCGGTCGCTTGGAGAGTGAATCATTGGATGGAAGATCTTCCTCTTTGTCTCTCCTTCTCTCTGTATATCTGCCTTTCTAATAAAAATAAATAAATCTTTAAAAAAAAAGATTATTCAGGTAGAGGAACTATGTAAAAAAAATCAAATTAGTTTTATGTGAAGTATAGATGCAAGATGGAAATAGGCTTTCACAAATAACAGCAGAATTTAACCATCAAAAAGCAGTCACTGTGAAGTAGATGTATTGGGAAAGTTCTCATTTTTACTGTCAAATTATGATTCATTGTCTGCGCTCCTCAACACAGTGTGTGTGTTTGGCCAATCCCTCTAGGGATTGCTTTTAGAGCCAACGACAAATTTTGTGGGGTGTCTGGGTCCTTGGAAGGGATGTCTTCCCCTTGGCCCAGAGTTAGGCACCTTGCTGCCATAGCAGAGGGAGGAATGAGGGCCAAGCCCCCCCCTTTTTAATTGAGGAGCAGTACTATTAGGAATTATCAGCTCCACGCTCTAACCAACTGAGCTAACCGGCCACACGACTATTAGGAATTAAAGAGAGAGATAGACATGCCTGCCCTGTAATGAGGCACATTTTCTTGTGCATGCAGCTCATAGCTGGCTGGCGAGGGCACATACAAAAGCAAAGTTTCAGATGTGTCCTGCAGAGTGGCAGCATCCGTGCAAGCAATGCTGTTTTGTCCCAAGTGCCCTCTTTGAATGAAACGTCACCTGTTGGAAATGCCAGTGTTGATGTGTTTGTGTAACAGCCTCACTGCTTTATATCTAAATATGTACCACATAGATTAGAGGACCAAACCTCTAAAATGCAAAAATGGTGTAGTTTTTTTTTTTTTTTTTAAGATTTATCTGTTTTTATCTAAAAGGCAGAATTACGGAGAGGAAAGACAAAGATCCTCCATGTGCAGGTCCAGTCCCCAGATGATCACAGTGGCCAGCGGAGGATTAGCCTGTAAAGCCGTCACACCAGCCCCAGTGGTGGATCTTTGTGGGAAGAGTTAAGAAGCAACTGAAAGAGTTCAAGTGTGGAAAAGTGCTAACTGGGGACTGGCTAGATTTGTTTTTTTGGGACGTTGTTAAGCTTTTACTTCAGTTAATTCTCTTATCAACTCAATTGAGGCTTATTTTACTGAGAAGGAAACCAAGACTAGGGTTTCGTCAGTTTGATTCATTCAGGTTGCTTTTTCCAGCTTGAGCAACAGCCGTAACAGTTTCATGATTAATTGAGTTCCTGATGGGAACCTAGCTGTATTTAATTAAAATGTTATCCACTGCAGACGGATTTTTTTCCCCACTATCTGTTTTTCCAGTTTGTTCTTACGGTTTTGTACTTATTTCATTAGTCTTTTAGAACAAAGGCACATTTCTTCCTCAACAAGGAGAAAAATGAGTTTGTCCGTAGCCTGCTCGGGCTGCTATCATTGATTGCATGACAGCTGCTGGTATTTATACTGTCAACTTGGCTGTTTGAATGAATGCTCATGATGCCAAGCCAGTGATTTCGAAAATGCCCAACCTAAAAAAGACAGGTTGTGTCAGAAAATTGTATAAGCAGAATGTTTGGAACTTTCTGGTGTTGGTGGAAATAGAAGTTAGTATCCCGAGCCAGCTCATGATGACTGACAGTCCGTACAGCACTGGGCTCGGAGAGGGTTTTCTAACTCTGGGTCTTGTGATGTTTTGTTGGGCTGGTAAGGAGAGTCTGCTTTTCTTCCTGCCCTGTGAATTGGCAGGAGTTGGGGCAAGGGTGCTTTTTCCTTCCCAGCATTGAGGTCCCAGGGTGGGCTTGGTGTCATTGTCACCTGTTAGTGTCCCAAGGACCATTTCCTGCCCCATGCCCTGCTGTACGTGGCAGCGGCAACCGCAGTGTGGGACAGCTGCTGCTGTGGGTGTTTGCAGCTGGAACACTTGATGACAGTGTACATTTTGACATTTGTTATTAGTCACTATTTTTAAAAAGCAGGGTGAGGTCTTAGGCTAAAAAATTATATATAAATATATAATGCTCAAACAAATTAATAAATTTTAATGAAATGCCATTTGTTTTCAGTCCAGGTTGAATAGTAGCTTTCTGCTCTATGTTATAGCTGCAGTTTTGTTTATTTTAATGTTTAATGAAGTACTTTAGGGTTAAGGTACTTATGAATTACCATTGTTTCATTTCTTTTGTTTTACCAAGTGCACAGTGACAGAGCTTTGGGGTTGTCAATTTTTAGTTGCCCTTCTTGGTCAAAAACCACTGTCTTTTAAGTTGAAATCATTTCTGTATTTGCTGATTTAATTCTTAGTCTCGGAGTTGTTAGCACCTGACACATTTGCGTATTTGTTGAGTACAATAGCTATTCCTTTTAATCTGTATTTAAAAAATAATTATATAAATTGACTGTCCCATTGAGGATAAGTTTTTAAAAAATATTGTTTTTAGATTACCAGACCGAACTCTTCCTTAGCAGAAAACAGCTACATTTATCTGTACGGCTACTGTAATTTGCTTTATTGTGTTTGTACCTTACTTTCTAGGGTTTTTTACGCACATTCTGTTAGATGAAGCTGCCCAGGCCATGGAGTGTGAAACTATTATGCCTCTAGCATTAGCAACTAAAAGCACTCGGATTGTCTTGGCTGGTGATCACATGCAGGTACATGGTCTCTGAGTCCGCATATTGAAAGTAACTTTTAGTTTTATATAAATAAAATTTTGGGATGTCAGGGAGGCAGAGAACTCTTGTCCACCTGCTGATTCACTTCCCGAATGCCTGCATTAGCCAGGGTTGAGTCAGGCTGAAGCTGGCAGCCTAAAACTCAGTCTAGGTCTCCCATGTGGGTGACAAGGACACAAGTACTCGAGCTCTCACCTGGTGTAGCCCAGGATCCATCAGCAGAGACCTGGAGTTGGATCGAAAATTGAATGGCTAACATTTGAACTCTGCTCTTTGATACGTGATGGGGTGTGTGTTAGTGGCAATGTCTGCACTGTAGAACTTGCCTCCAAGGTGGTTTCATGTTCTTTCTGATAGTGGTAGAAGGCATAACCATAATGACTTCATGAGACCTTACACGTCATGAGATCAGGAGGGTATTGGTTTGTTAATTGTTAAAAATATTTTTTTTCAGTCATAGGCCTTATGTTCTACCATCCATCACATCACTTTAACCAGTTGAATAATTTTAGTGAAGTTACTGAATAGCAGTTCTTAACCTATATATAGAAACTCGAGCTTGGTATTGATATACTGTTTAACTCTTCACAGCAGTAACATTGTTCATAGAAAATCTTACTGAGTTTTCATACTTAAGCATTCCATAGGATGAAATTTAGAACATCAGGAGCTAGCATAGTGGAGATGTTTTAAGTTGGTTGAAAATACTATTTGTATATTTAGTTAAATATTCTCTGTTTGTCTGTTACAGCTCAGTCCTTTTGTTTACAGCGAGTTTGCCAGGGAGAGAAACCTTCATGTTTCATTACTTGATCGACTCTATGAGCATTATCCTGCTGAGTTTCCATGTAGGATCCTCCTGTGTGAGAACTACCGCTCCCATGAAGCTATCATCAAGTGGGTGTGCACGTCCCCTTGTGGTCTGGTACAAGACACAGATCTCTTCCCAACAGAGTAGCATGGTGTCTATTATTGCAAATTATGTTTAATGTTATGTCTTGGGAAGAACCTTCCAAAAGTCAGGCTTGTATTTTCTACAAAATTGGGCAATTCTGGAAACTAAAATTTCAGGTTCTGCTAGCTGTAACATATATATTGGGACTGACTATAGACTCATTATGAAAAACTGCATGCTGTTGTAAATATATTGACAAACTACGTAATGGTTTGCTTATGCATCTGGCTGAGTCCTACAAGGAAGCCTTTTTAAAGAAAGGAAGCAAGGGGTGGAGAATGAATTGTCATAGTAAGTTTTGCAAAACATTTCTATTAAATATAGTGTGCAAGAGTATATTGTAAGTGCCAGCAGCCTGCACACACCATGTTACCAGCACCTAAGGCAGGAAATAACGTGGCCACGCTGCTGCGGAGGGACCCTGCAGGCCCCTCTCCAGTTACTATCGTCACAGAACACTGACACTTTTTAAAGTTTAGTATAATTTATTACTTTTGATTGTGTAAGCCATGTGAAAACCATATTTATGTTCCTCTGAAAACAGTTTCGTAGCTATAATTTTATTGTTGCTGGTACTTTGCTGCAGTCAGGGGTCATTCAAGCACCAGGTGACTGTCCTCCTCAGCAGAGGATGTCCATTTTGCTGTGAAGGGTGTCAGTGTCCTTCAGCTTTGTCCATTGTTTCCGAGTCTGTGTTCTGGGTATGTGTGCTTGAGTGTATATGTTACACATAGGCAAAAATACCCATTCATCAAGAAAATATACCACTTAGAAGTTTCCTCATGGAGCAAAGTTTTCATCTAGTATAGATTTGCTATCTTCTCTTACTCCTTATTTTCAAGATTCCGGCTTTATAACTTACCCAAAGCAATGCATTTAATATTGGTATACCAGGAGCCGACTTTGTAGTTATGCTTACTTTTGGAGAAGTGTTTGGCATCATAGGTACTAGATGTTAGACTAAAATTATTTATGGGTATAAAGCAAAAATTATTAGAATGACTGATTTTTGTGTGTGTGTGGGGGGTAAAATTAACTTAAATGACAGACTCCGCCCCCCTTTTTTTCTCTTTCTCTGCAGTTATACTTCTGAGCTTTTTTATGAGGGTAAACTGATGGCCAGTGGAAAGCAGCCAGCACACAAGGATTTCTATCCATTGACTTTCTTCACAGCGCGAGGGGAGGATGTGCAAGAGAAAAACAGCACTGCTTTTTACAACAATGCAGAGGTACCTTAGTTATTTTGAAAATTGAACCATTTCTCAGGCACATAATCTGGTTTTGTTGAGCATTTTTCTAAAATTTGGGTTGACATTGTATTGTGTGTTGATTTCATTAACATGAATATGATGTGTGAAGTATATTCTTTCATGTATGACACTGATTTGTTAAGATGACTTTCCTATGGGAAATAAAAACTTGTATTTATATTTTGTCTTAGGATGAAACAAAATACATGACTTCATTTAAAGAAAATTAATGTTCTCAGATCATTATTGTGAGGCATCTGAGGCCCTGATTAAATTTTGCAATGCATTCTCAATGTGGCATCATTTTTAATGAGTAAAACTTGAATTGCAGAATCTTGTGCTCTGAAGAGGTCACCACAGAACCAGATAATGATGTGCTCCAACTGGCACAGTTTTCTTAGAGTCTCTGGCTTTTGAAGTTCAGAAGGAATGTGTAGTGTGAGGGGTCAGATCAGGCAGCTCACAGAGAAGATGGTGAAGTTCCTAGGAAGCAGAGGCCCAGCAGCCCTGGAGCTGAGGTTCTGGTGATGTAAGCTGCCTTCAGGATACCCAGAGCAGGAAGAAGTACCTAGTTGATCACTAAAGGAATGACCCTACACCTCTACCATCCTTGGATTCCATGCTTTACTCGTTTGTTCACAAGGAAATGGCTTCCATTATTTGATAGTAAATTATCCTTCCTTAAAGAAATGGTTCCAAGGCTTGTAGTTAGAAGTTAGTATAAAAAAATCATCAAAGCTCACTTGATAGAATTCTAGCCAAGAGCAGAGAAACTTGACATTTTCTTTAGTATATGCCATTAAATTTTAGGAAAAGGTAAACTCTTCTTTAAGTACTGAAGTCACTCCAAGAATCTGTTTTATTACTGTGGCATCCAGTTTGGAAGCCACCGTCCTGGACAGCAGCTGCATTCGTGGGTTGGGGCCTGGCAGGGAACAGCTGGCTGGGCTGACAGTCCGGGCAGCTTGATGGTCCTGCAGGGACATTGGGAATCAGCCGAGCTTGATCCTGAAGCAAGGGTGAGCTTTGCTGGAAGCTCATTGCTCAGCCTGGCTTGTTGCTTCAGTGACATGAGCTGCAAGCCATGCGATAAAGTGCATCTTCTTGGATTTCACTCAGCAATTGGTTTTGGGATTTTTTTTTTCCCATTAAAAAGCAGCAGCAACAACAAAGACAACATTTATGTGATTTTTAAATGTTAAGCATGTAATTTTGGAGGTATTTCAACAAGCTGTCTTGAATTTCACAGGCGCATGGCCGCTCAGTCACTCTCCCCAGCATCATGAAAGAACGCAAGTGCAGATGATGCATAAAGCACATGATATAAAATTTAAGACATGTTCCCTAACAAAGAATTACAAACAGCAAACAAGCTATAAGTCTTCCTTCAGATTGTTCTTCCATTTTGCTTTTAATTCTCCCTCTATTTTTAATTTCTCTATAAAAGAAAGGATCTCACTGTTTCCTCACCAATTTAGCTAGTACCTCCCTCCCATGCTTTTGCTTTGTTAACATAAACTAGAGCTGAGTTCAAGCTTTGAATTACATACCATCATGAAAGTCCATGGCTTCTAAAAATATCTTACTGTCCAAATATGCCTACTTGAGCATTCACATATGCCCACAGTGATACTTAGCTGCAGTGAACAGAATTCGTTAGTGGCCTGTTTGGAGCGCCCTGGGGCAATGTGTCTCAAAATATTTGGCTATGCTAACTCATGATGCTGAGAAATTCAGTCTGAAGGAAGAAACAATGGCAAAATCAATCATAAAATAGTGTAAATGAGAGGCAAACAAAGTTATATAGATAGGAGAAGTGAATGCATCAGGTTTGCTGGGACCCAAAGCATAGAGGAGAAAATGTCTGATGCATTTGGAGACTCGAGTTTGTGTGTGTGTGTGTGTGTGTATCTTTATTGGAAAGGCAGATACACAGAAAGAAGGAGAGACAGAGGGAAAGATCCTCCATCCGCTGGCTCACTCCCCAAGTGATCACAATGACCAAAGCTGAGCCGATCTGAAGCTAGGAGCCAGGAGCTTCTTCTGGGTTTTCCCACATGGGTGCAGGGTCTCAAGGCTTTGGGTCATCCTTGACTGCTTTCCCAGGCCACAAACAGGGAGCTGGATGGAAAGTAGAGCAGCTGAGATTAGAACCAGTGCCTGAACGGAGTTCTGGCATGTGTAAGATGAGGACTTAAGCCACTAGCATACCACACCGGGCCCAATTGTATATATTTTTATAATTGTGTATCTCCCTGATGAGTTAACCTTATAAAATAGTTCACTGATTTGTTTTTATTTATTGAAAAATCAGAGTGAGAATCCACTGGTTGATTCCTCAAATGTCCATGCTTGCTAGGGTAGGCCCAGGCCTCACCAGGAACCAGGAACTCTATCTGCATTTACCATAGATTAGCCGGAAGTCAACTCTTAAACCATGATCTCTCTCAGGGTGCACATTAGCAGGAGGCTGGATTGGAATTAGAGTAGAGGACTCAAACCAGGCACTCGCCTATGTGATGTGGGCAGCCCAGGCAGCAACTTGAATCTCGGTGCCACAATATCTGCCCCTGAATGGACTCATTTGTTATTATACAATATCCTCTTCATCACTAGGAACTGTTTTTCTTGTTGCTGTAAAGTCAGTTTGTCTGCTATTAGAACCATTCCAGCTTGTTTGTTTAGTGTTTACACGGTGCATCTTTTCCTATCCTTTTACTTTCATCCTTTATTTATTCTATATAATTGGTGGAATTTATTCTATCTTTTATATTTTTAAAAAATTTCTAGAGAAGAAAAGAGGAAATGTACATGTTTGTAGAGCTTATCGTGTTAACCTTAGTAAGCTTTCTGATTCCCTTTTCTCTGTGGATTTTGATCTAAAGCATGTCTCTGGTTAGCATATTATTGGGTCTTGGCTCAGAAGTTGAGTAACCAGGAATTCAGACTGGGCGCACAGATATGAGGTGTGGGCATCCCAAGTGGCAACTCTAGCCTCTGTGCCAAAAGCTCATCCCTAAAGGACATCTTCTGAGAATTTGTTCTTCTGCTGCACTGGCTGTCCTGTTTCCTGACCCTGCCAATAGGTTGTCCTATGTAGAGAGATAGATTCAGATGAACAGTAACTCTGTTCTGTATATTCAATACTTAGTAAGCATGGAGCATACGTTATAATCTCATATTCCCCCACACACCAAACATTGAAATTGTTCAATCAGAAATGTGTTTGAGAGGTGAGTGGCTACAGTGAAGGTGCTTTCTTCCCAAATCGGAGTGGTTGAGTTTGATAGCCCAATCTGCTTCTGATTCCAGTTTCCTAGGAATGTGAGTACTCCAGACCGCTGTGATGGCTCAGTTAATTGAGTGCCTGCCACCCACGTGGAATACCTATATTGGGTTCTTGGTACCAGGCTTTGGCTTCAGCTGGGGGCTCTTTTGGATACTGAGTGAACTGATAGGTGGGAGTTCTCTCTGTTTTTGTCTGTTTACCCTAATCCAGTAAGTGGTGTCTTGAAAAACTCAGTTGCATAAGATATGGTGTTACTTTATTGAAAGGTTACTTGAACCAGCCTGGCTAAACTTGTACCACTAAAAGGCAGTGAATTCTGAGAATCTCTTGCTCTGATTCATATTTGGTGTAGTGGTAGCTGTGGTTTGGTATGAGCTGATGATTGTTGGTTGGTCAGCTTCATTGTGTGAGGATTAGTTTCTGGGACTTAATGGTGCAGTGATTATGGCCTGATCCATTGAGGGGGAACTAGGAAATGCTGCTCCTCCTAGCTTCTCTTCTCTTCCTTACACTACGCCTTGAGCCTGTTGCTATTTACGACCAGAAGTTGAGTGAAGGTTGGGATCAGTTGCCAATTGCATTATCTCTGGCTTTTATTTTCTCATGGTTCCATTGTTGTTAAAAATATAAACAAAATGTTTTTATTCTTACTGTGTTCATATCAATGAAGTATTGTTACTGTTTTGAGGTGGTTTTTAAAATGCTTCGATTACTAGTGGTGATCTTAATATGTTTATTGTTTCAAGGTATTTGAAGTGGTGGAGCGTGTGGAAGAGTTAAGAAGGAAGTGGCCAGTAGCATGGGGGAAGTTGGATGATGGCAGCATTGGTGTGGTAACTCCGTATGCTGATCAGGTGTTTAGAATCCGTGCTGAACTTCGAAAAAAGAGGTTATCTGATGTGAATGTAGAAAGGGTGCTAAACGTTCAAGGTGAGTATTGAAATAAATTCATTGTCCAGAATTTTTAAACCTTAAAGTCTGTTCACATTTGATTTTTAATTCTCAGGATCTTTTTTCCTGGGCCAACAGTTATGTATTTGTTTCATACCAAATTCTTTAATGTCAAATTTAGTAATTAAACATTGAGCTGATTTATATGTTCATTAAATTTTTATATTCAAATAAAAGGAATATTAACAAATGACCATAATATTTGTATGCTTTAGTTACAGTCAGAATAGGATGCAGTGCGTTGTCATTCTACCTATACCTAAGGATGGATTTCTTCATAAAGATTTTATGGAAAAATGTTCCTAAGTGGATAGTCAACAGCAGCTCTTTTAAATTGTCTTCATGTAATTAATGGCTATAAAATGTATGCTTTCAAGTATATGAAGAAACAGTCTGATGTGAATGCTAATGAAAGCTCAGTATAATGTTGAGTTTCATGGTAATACATAACAATGAGTAACACAGTGTCACACTTTGGAGGAACTAGCCTCAACTCTACTGTGTCTTTTCTAGACCACACAGAATTCAGGCAGATGATCAGAAGGAAGATTACAGAGGAGACCAAGGATAATGAGTGGCCTAGAAACTACCATATGAAAGCCACACATGGTCAGAAGAACTGGTAGAATTGTTTGGCCTGGAATAGGGAAGACATGGGTCTGACATGCAACCTGTATTCATGTATTTGGAGACCTGTCATAGGTTGAGGGAATATCTGTGTTCCTGTAAGAAGAGCGTAAGAAAGAGTGTTATACAAGTTAGACCCTTTGTAAGGTTTCCTTATGGAATTAGTTGGGCAAAGCTAAGTTAACCTGCTTCTAGGGAGGGACGTTGTATTGGGCAGGGCTCTAGATTAAGTCATTTCTAAGGTTGGTTCCAGTAATACGATGAAACTTTTTTCTACTGTGATAGAGTTTCTCACGTTAAGCATGCTTGTGTGTCTAGCTCTGTGCTGCTCTGAGGTGCATTCATGTTGTCTGTATACATTACCACCATCCATCTTCCCAAGGTGAAACTCTATACCATCCTGTACAAGCTCCCATTCTTCCTCCCCTCCTATCCCTGACAATGACCATTCTACTTTTGGCATATCAGTTTTTTTAAAAACAATATTTATTTGAAAGGTAGGATTACAGTGAGAGAGAGAGACCTTCTATCTGTTGATTCAGTCTCCAAATGGCCACAATGGCCAGGTCTGAGCACCAGATCAAAGGCAAGGCATTCATATACTCATATGGGTATAGGAGCCCAAATAGTTAGACTGTCTTCTGCTGCTCTCCCAGGCTCATTAGCAGGAATGGGATTAAAAATGGAGCAACTGGGACTCGAACTTGTACCGATATGGTAGCTTAAGTTACTGTATCACAATGCCAGCCCCCTGGACTGTCTCTAAGAGCCTTATGTAAGTTCAGTTACATACTATAGGTTGAATATCCCTTATTTGAAGTGTTTAATCCCAGAAGTGTTTCAGATTTGGAAGTTTTTTAGATTTTTAAATGTTCAGATTCAGAATGCCCAGAATATATATTTGTTCTCTTGTGTCTAACTTATTGTACTTCGCACGATGTCTTCAAGAGTAGTCTCTATGTTATAACGTGTGTCAGAATTCCATGCCCTCTTGAAGCTCAGTAGTTCATTTTACCTATATGCCGCATCTGTGTGCCAGTCTGCCTGTAGACACTGGAGTTACTCCCACCTTTTGCTATTGTAGACAATGCTGCTGTGAATGTGACTGTACAAGCACTCTTTAAGACCCTGCCTTCAGCTCTTCGGGGTCTGTACCCAGCAGTGGCATTGGTGGATCATGGGCTGGCATGTTGTCTTTCAGAGCTGCACCATTTCACATCCCCACCCGCAGTGCATGACTTCCCTATGTCCTGGCCTCTGCATTCCTGTGTTTCCATTTCTCCACGTTCTTGTAGACATCTGTTATTTAGCAATTCCATTTTTTAAAATGCAATGCTTTTATTGTGTCAGTGGTTCAGAATGACAATCTGAAGTCTTTGTTTAAAATTTTTTTTTTATAGGAAAGCAGTTCAGAGTTTTGTTTCTTAGCACAGTACGTACAAGACATACATGTAAACATAAACAGACACCAATTAAAAAGAAAGAGCAACTTCTGGAAGATTCCACAGAGGACTTAGATTATGGTTTTTTATCTAACTACAAGCTACTCAATACTGCCATCACAAGAGCACAGTCCCTGGTTGCGGTGGTGGGGGATCCCATTGCTCTGTGCTCTATTGGAAGATGCAGGTAATTATGTGTTCTGATTGAGACATTCAAGGGGGCCTGGGAAATCATTTGTGTCCTTCTATGTACATGTATCTGTATGACCTCCTGGCTAAGTAAGATCAGGTGTTTTTATTACCCAATATCCAATGGAACACAAAAGTGTCTTACTTTTGATCTATTCATTATATGCCTTCTTCTGTGCTCCTTTATTCGGTTATCATTGGACAGATATTTTCTGATTACTTTCCTTAATGTAAGCATTTTTTCAGCCACTGAAGACAATAAAATAGACAAGAAGCATGGGCTGAAGGAGGAGAATCAGGCTGACAATAAGCAAAGAACATTAAATGGCAAAAACAACAACAACCAAAACACCCAGAACATTGAGAGGAACTGGGAGTGGTAACGGTGGGACTGACTTGATCATGAGTACAAAGTGTGATCAGAGAGGCTTTCTTGAAAAGTTTCAAGTTCTTAAAACATTTAAAATATATTTTTAACATTTGAAAGGTCTTTCATCTGATATGTCCCTTTCCAAATGTCAGCCAATAGGTAGGACTGGTTCAGGGTGAAGCCCGGGGCTGGAACTCAATCTGAGTCCCCCACAAGGGTACTAGGGTACTGTCTGACCAGATGTCAGACATATTTGAGAGATCTCAGGGCCATGCATATGTTAGCATGAAGTTGGAATGGAAGTGGAGCAGACAATACTCAAACCAGGCACTCTGATATTAAACATGAACTTCTCAAAGAGCAGCTTGAACCACTTAGCCACTGTGCCCGAGTTCTGCTCCCCTGAGAAGCTGACTTTGGATGTGAAAGAAGGGTGCTGATGCCGGAGCCAGCAGTGCTGCAGGGAGAGGGACCAGGTGGCATGTGGGTCCTGAGGTGGCTGTGTGTACGTGTGTATCTTTAATGGTGATTCAAGTTTGTGTTGCCTGCTGCCTCATCTTTTCCCCTTCTTTATTACTTTAGTTCCCCTTTTCAAAAAATTTCATTTATCCGAATGCAAGGAGAGAAAAAAGAGACAAAAAGAACAACCTCAAAGTCTTGAAATAGTTAGGGGGCTGAAACCAGGAGCTAGAAACTCAATCCATGTCTCCCATGTGGGTGGCAGGGGCCCATCCTTTTGAGCTCTCTCAAGGTCTAGATTAGCCAGAAACTGCTTTAAAACACAGTTATGGAATGAGATGATATGTATATGTAAATTTTAAAGGACAACTGAAAACAGTAGAGGGACTCAGGTCTAAGACTAAGTTGGACTGTTAGTTTTGAGCTCTCTTTATATATATATATATATTTTTTTTTTTCTTAACCTGAATATTTTTAAAGAAGCCGTTCTCCTGTAGAGTCATACACTGTGAATTGCATGAGGTCAGCGTTTTTCACCCCTTCTCTGACATAAGTGGTTATTTTTCCCAGAGCAGATAGGTGAATAATTCTCACTGAGGCCGTACTGTCAGAATTACCCAAGGCTAATTTTTAGCTGAATGCTGAGTATACTGCTTGCTTGTTTCTTACTACTCAGCTGTGGTGTGCCAAGGACTGCAAATTAATTTATAAGATAAGTGTTATCAGGAAGATAAATATATTGTGTTGTGGGAAAAATAATGCCACGTGTGGTTAAATGGGAATGTTGTTTATCTGTTTTATTTGGACAATTTAATCATGGCTGTAGCCCAAGAGTGGGTAATTGGAGATGTGGATATATTTAAACTTTAGTCTTGCTCGTCTTGGTAGAAGTTGATTTAATCTGACAATAAAAGTGAGATTACAACCCAGAGAACATAGTGTAATTCTTGGGTTCTTTAAGAATGGAAGAGTGAAGTCTTAGAAGTTTGAATCCATAAGGATTTTGCTACCCAATTTTGTTATAGAAACCTAATATGATATTCCAAAATATCAAGTTTTCAAGGGGTAGTTACTATATATTCTATTGCTTATGTATTGTTGTATTTTCTTCCCTTCTTCATTTGTGAAGCCACCTACACTCATGTCATGGCTGCTGTGTATTGACTGAGTTCTCTGCCGGGTGCCATTTTAAGTGCTTTGTGCACAATTGTCCCAACACTTCTGCAGTATGGGTATTTTATTTGCATTTTAAGTGAGCAGCCTGAATCCAAGAGTTTAAATAACTACCCTGGGTCACATGGCTGTTATGTGGTTCACTCTGCTAGATGGCAGATTGACTTCCAAACCCACGCTCTGCTCTCTGAGTTACTCTGACTTTCCCAGGAAGTGACAAATAGGCATAGATGATTCTGACCTAAATGAAAGCTGTGGGGAAAATGACTGCATTTTCCCAAGTGAATGTAGTTGGGGAAAATCTTTGCTTTAGCTGAGTTTCTTTGTTGGAGCAATTATTTACTCAGCGAATATGTAAATGTGTGCACGTAGAGTGATGTGTATATGTCTGGGTGTATTTACATACATAAATTCCCAAAGAAGACCTAAAGATATCAGGTTATTCATGTGCCTTAGATGAAAGGTGAACATAAATCCAAAATGAGATGTTATATTCATGCAGTGATTGAAAGTAAGGTTATGTCCTTTGAAATACTTAAATCTGTGACACACTTAGGTTCTCTAACCAACATTATTATGAAAAAAAGAGAGAGAGAGATTGATTTGATAGTGTATTAGCGTCCGAGGAGAGTTGGTTAAGTCTTTAAACACCATGCATAGTGGTGTAACTGATTCTTCCACTTAACAAGTATTCAGAAATGCCTTAATGCTGGCCAAGAGACTTCAGCTAAGTGTAAGAGAATTAAGTAAGGACAATGTGAATATTCTTTGAACGAGCCTTCACTAAGATAAAAGGATTCTTAGCTTTATAACTAAGACTTGTTAAGGGAAAAATATATTTCTCTCATAATTTGTAAGGGATAAGCAAATTCTTTTCTGCAATAAGGAATAATAATAACCCTGCTGGTTCCCTCTTGTGCACGTAAGAAAATTGAGATAGGGAGGTTAAAGTAATTTGCCCAAGGTCACATGGCTACTGGGTGGAGAATCACAGTATCAACCTGATCTACAAGTCCTAGGATCCGTGCACCTGACCATTTAACTGTGTCAGTGAGGCAGTGAAAAGACATGTCAGATTTAAACTTCATTAACAGTGGGGTTAACTTACAGCTGACGTACAGTAAGTGCCTCACGTTGTTTCCCAGTCCACCCCTGGGCTTGAGGGCTGTGGCCTGGAGACCCCTGAGATGACACATTGTGATTGCTGCCGATCCACCACTAACTTCCGGTGAAATGGGAGGGGTCTGGAAGGTTCTGCTTGATTTATTCTTACTTTCGATCCTGGTCAGTGTCGTTGAGGGTCAATGTAAGGACAAAATACAGAATTTTAACATAAGGAGTCGATGCTAAAAACTGAACTAGATAGAATAAGAGCCAATCTATTCTTGTTCAGTTTTGTCTTAAAGTCCAGAACAAACACGAAATGCGACTTTACAAAGCTTCGATTTTGTCACCTGGACTAAACCAAAATTCTTTTGGAACAGTAAGTATACTCATATAGTAGAGCTGTGTTGATAAATTATGATACACTTAAATGTATGAATTTTGGATACTGAATGCTGTATTAAAGAAAACCTTTTTGTGGGGTTTCTCATGTCCTTGTTTGGGGTAGGAGGGCAGGGAACTGGAAGGTGAAGAGTTCTTTTTTAAAGATTTATTTGTTTATTTAAAAGTTATTTATTTTTAGTGAAAAGTCAGATTTACAGAGAAGAGAAACACAGAGGAAGATCTTCCATCTGCTGGTTCACTCCTCAAGTGACCCCAATGGCTAGAGCTGAACCAATCAGAAGCCAGGAGCCAGGAGCTTCTTCCTGGTCTCCCACACGGGTGCAGAGTCCCATGGCTTTGGGCTGTCCTTGACTGCCTTCCTAGACCACAAGCAGGGAACTGAAAGGGAAGCAGGGCCGCTGGGACACAAACTGGCACTCATATGGGATCTCAGTGCATGCAAGGCAAGGACCCCCACCACTAGGCTACCAGGCTCCAGGCCCAAAGATTTATTTATTTTATTTGAAAGAGTTACAAAAAGGGAGAGTCAGATCTTACACCTGCTGGTTCACTCCCTAAATGGTTGCAATGGCCAGAGTTTAGCTGATCCGAAGCTGGAAGTTAGAAGCTTCATTTGGGTCTCCCACATAGATGCAGGGGCCCAAGGCATTGGGCTGTCCTCTGCTGCTGTCCTAGGCTATTAACAGTGAGCTGGATTGGAAGTAGAGCAGATGGAACTAGAACTGATGCCCATTTGGGATCCTGGTGTCTCAAGGGGAGGGATAGCCTGCTATGCCTCCACACCAACTCCAGAAGGGTTATTAAGAATAAAAAATTGTGGGGAGGGAGAATCGAGATGGCAGAATAGGGTAAGGACACTATTAAACATATGGAGAAACATTAGCCAGTGTAAAGCATATAGGGCACATTCCAGGAAATGCAAGAGGACAGAACCATAGCAGAGGGGTACCTAAAGACTGACAGACATGGGAAAGTAGTGGATACAACGGTGTGGTGTTGCAGTGACTGGTACTCCAGCAGCATTCAGCGGGCGGTGGTCTGAACTGCAGCTGAAACTCCACCAGCAACAAGGTGGGAAGGGGTGTTTACCAGGAGCTCAGGAGGTGAGTCCAGACAAAGAATTGCCCATCCTGCTGGTCTGTTTGATTTGACCAGGAGCAGAGGTAGAGCGGCAGGTCCCAGATGGGCAGTGAGGGAACAAGATGGGTTTCACAGCCCAGTCCAGCCTTTAGAACCATATCAGGCGCCATTTTGTGTAGGGAGGCAAAGGCTATGGGACAGGACTACACATGCACTGAGCTGGGAGTGGACTCATTTCTGGCTCAGTGAACTGCAACAACGTGGCATCCTAAGGTTTCCCCCAAGATAGGTCAGGGTAGCCCTCAGACATGATGGCCAGGAGACCAAGAACTCTAGTAGTGGCACATCAGATGCCATTTTGTGCAGTGGGAAAGGCTTTAAGACTGCAGGGGCAACAGTGAGCTGCTCATACGCTGAGCTCAGTGAGAACTCACTGAAGTCAGTCACTTGCACTAGTCCCACAGGGAAAATAATACCAGCTATGGCATTGTACAGGTCAAAATAGGTCTATATGGCCCTCAGACCTAATAGTCAACAGGTTCCAGCAAGATCAGCACCACCAACAACTTAGCTATATAGGATACCTGGTGTCTCCCTAATTCTGGGAACTGCTTGAACTGGAAGTGGGAGAAAGGTTGTATAGACAACGGTGCGGCCTCAGCACAGTATCACAGGAAATGGAGAGTGGTGAACTAGGAACTGTGACTATGGAGACCATGGTGGAAATCTAACATAAGGACCCAGACCTGGAACTCTCTGGAGGGAGTGGCACAAGTGACTGCAAACAAAGAGCGGTGTATCAACCACAGTAAGTAAAATCAAGCTCTCTTCAATCAAACATAAGGAAAAGATCCTTAAATGTGCACGTGAAAAAAAAAAATCAGTTGACATATAAAGGAATGCCAGTTAAATTCACAGGAGACCTCTCAGGAAACTCTTCAGGCCAGAAGAGAATGGAGTGACATTCCAGATTCTAGAAGGAAAAATTGTTGGCCCAGGATAAAATGCTCACCAAGGCTTTCCTTTGTCTTTGAAAATGAAATAAAATTCTTCCACAATAAAGAAAAGTTAAAAGAATATGCCTCTTCCAAACTTGCCCTACAAATGATACTTAAAGATGTCCTTTTGACAGAGAAAAGAAATGCCACCCACCAAAACCAAAGGTAAATATGAAGAACAGCCCAGTACAATAACAAGACTAAATCAATGAACAACCCACGGCTGAAATGACAGAACCAAATCACTGCCCATTCATATTAACCCTGAATATAAATGGCTTAAACCATTGATCAAATGTCATAAATAAGTAGACTGGATTAAAAACGAAACCCATCTATTTGTTGCCTACAGGAGACATGGAGACATATCTCACCAACAAAGATCAACGGAAACTGTATCTCATGGATTTTGATTTTTTTTTTAAATTTCATCTCTTCAAAACACCTCATTAAATTCTTCTCTGACTCAGAGCATGCAGTAGCATCATTTTATACAAGAAGGTTCTTGATTTCCATTTCTTCAGTGACACACTAGTCATTCAGTAGCATATTATTTAACTTCATGGCGTTTTCATTTCTTTGTTTTTTTCCTGTTGATTTTGTTTTGTGGTTTTTCATTACAGTAACTGTGTAATGGAGACTCATATCCAGTAGCATGTTATTTTGCTTCATGGTGTTGTAAATTTCTGTTTTTCTTCATGTTGCTGATTTTGTATTGTGGCTTTTTCATTTAAGGGGATGTATAGTCACTATGTAATGGAGACTGTCATATCCAGTTGTGAGGATACAATGCAGTATACATCTCTACTTCTAGCCAAAGATGGACTCCCAATGAAACTGTTTACTATATCTTGACGATAGGATGCTGGACTCTCTGGCATTGTCCATGCCCACAATGATGGGCATATATCACTGTTTATGAAGAACTATAATATAATATAGTTCTTCTTCATATTACTGTACTATAGTAATAATATAAGGAAACTCAGTGGTGGGAAGGAGGGAACTTGGGGAGGGGTAAGGGAAATCCCAGTGCATATGGATATGTATTGTAAAATTTTAATAATAACTAAAAAGAAGTAAAAGAAAAAAAAGAATGAAAATCTGGAACAGCTTTTAATATATGTTTTTAAGAGGGACATAATTCCTGTAACTGAATGATTTGATTTAACCATTTTGCCTTATGATCAGAAATATATGTTTAATATATTTTATAATATATTTTATGGCATTTTTAACCTTTTCTGTTTATATAACAGGCTTAACTTTTTTTTTCTGGACCTATTTCTTGAGCGTACTTGTAAGGATCAGGAAAGATGCAGAAGCAATATGTCTGACAAACAGTATTCAAAGTTCAGTTCTACAAAGTTCATGAGTGTATTGATATCACAGGTCCCATTCATTTACTAATTCTTTGACATGATATTTTCATTTATGTTTCTTCTAGTGTTCTTGATAATCTGTTTTATACTTAGATGCAAAGATACAAATGTGGGAAGAAACCGTATCCTATTTTATAGCTTATTAAAGCATTATTTGGGCCTTATATTAAACTTCATTTAAATATATATGCATATGTATTTATTAGCAGCATAAGATTTCAAGACTTCTTATAGCATAAGATTTCAAGACTTCTTATATGTTACTCTTTGTAATATGTGTTTAATAATTTTAGTGTTTAGGGCCTGGCGCGGTGGCGCAAGTGGTTAAGGTCCTCGCCTTGCACGCCCGGGATCCCATGTGGGCGCTGGTTCTAATCCCGGCAGCCCCGCTTCCCATCCAGCTCCCTGCTTGTGGCCCGGGAAAAGCAGTTGAGGATGGCTTAAATCTTTGGGACCCTGCACCCACGTGGGAGACCTGGAAGAGGCTCCTGGCTTTGGACCGGCGTAGCATTGGCCGTTGCGCTCACTTGGGGAGTGAATCATCGGACGGAAGATCTTCCTCTCTGTCTCTCCTCTCTGTATATCTTTGTATATCTGCCTTTCCAATAAAAATAAAATAAATCAATAAAAATAAAAAAAATAATTTTAGTGTTTAGAGAACAATTTTCATACTTTTAGGAGTGACAGTATACAACTTCAGAAAGTTTTTCATCCAGTTTTCTACTTTAGCATTTAAGTTGATTCAGAAATGAACAATCAACACGAACAGTAGCAGTCCAGGTTCCTGTATTTTTTGGAAATTCTTTGAGCTCATAGCTTAATGTTGTGCCTGTGATATTAAGAAAAAAACATTTGGGTAGCTGGATATTTCCCAAGACTCCTCATGAGGGCTTTCTACTCTGTGGCTCAAATTTGTTTCCCAAGTTGGGTTTTCTTGGTCAGGCAGCACAAGCTGATTTCACCTTACAATTCAGATCCATGGGTATATATGTGTGTGTGTATGTATGTACAGTGTACCTGTGTGTATGTCAATTCTAATTCTGTAAATCATATTGATGTATATATATAGGTGGTATATGTATGCAGCTATATGAGGAGACCTGTGAACTTTTTGAATCTGTTGTGCATGTGTATATGAATATATGTATACCTACTATGAAATGTTTTCTATAGTGAATGTCTCAAGTTTTAAGATCATTATGTGGACAGCAAAAAGCATCATTCTGGAGACATGGATAATTGAGTGTTGACTATGTTATGTGCACTTAGCCAAAATCTTGAGCGCCTGTTTTGTATGTACTGTTAATATGAGGCACATCTGGGCCTGGCACATTAGTCTAGTGGCTAAAGTCCTCACCTTGCATACACTAGGATCCCATATGGGTACTGGTTCTAATCCCAGCAGCCCCGCTTCCCATCTAGCTCCATGCTTGTGTCATGGGAAGGCAGTCGAGGATGGCCCAAAGCCTTGAAAACCTGTGCCCATGTGGGAGATCTGGAAGAGGCTCTGGACTCCTGGCTTTGGATCAGCTCAGCTCTGACTGTTGCGGCCATTTGGGGAGTGAATCAATGAACGAAAGATCTTCTTCTCTGTGTCTCCTCTTCCATGTATATCTGAATTTCCAATAAAAAAATAAATAAATCTTTAAAAAGTATATAAGGCACAACTAGGTTTTAGAACCAAGCTTCTGCAAGTCTTATGATCTGGAAGAAAGATTATAGCTAAATCTTAGATAGCTCTGGGTCTTAAGACTTTGGGGTGGTAATAGTGGGAGAATTTGAAATTATCTTTAAGTAACTTATATTCATTTCTGTGAGCTCATCCATCAAAATTATAAATTGATCCTTTAAATCTTTTCTGTAGGAAATTTTGGGAGCGGTTTATTGCACTGTGTCATGAAAATAATAGCCTGCATGGGATCACTTTTGAGCAGATCAAAGCTCAATTGGAGGCTTTAGAACTGAAGAAGACTTATGTGTTGAATCCACTGGCACCTGAATTTATCCCCCGGGCTCTGCGACTACAGCATGCGGGGAGCGTCAGCAAACAGCAGCAGTCACCACCCAAGGTAAAGCCACTGCAGGTGACACTGAAGGAGGGAAGGGATGAGAATGAGCCTGAGAATGTCAGGGGCCTTATTGGGTTGCAAGTTGCTTTAAGTACTGGAGTTGCAGGTTAGTATAGTAGCAAATGATTTCTGTAAGGAACTGTCTAGATTTGGACATGTAAGTGAAAATGCGGAGTAGTGTTTAGCCATGCTACTGTCATAATCATCCTCGTGATGCTTTCAGGCACCTGATAACGTGAATAAAACCGGTTTAAAGATTATCACCAGCAGCTTGGGTTTTTGGCTTAGGGGTTGAGACAGCCACATCTATCAGATGACCTGAGTTTGAGTTCTGGCTCCACTCCTGACTCAGCTGGTTTCCTGCTGATGTATACCCTGGGAAGCAGCAGAGGGGCTCGGGTAGTGGGACAGCTCACTCCTAGCTTGGCATGGCATGGGACTGGTCCTTGTGGTTGTTAGGGGAGTGAACAGCTCATAAGGGCTCTCTCTGTTCATTTGTCTGCCTACTTGCTGCTTTCTCTCTCTCTTAAAAAAAAAAAAGTACCAGTGAAATAGTGTAGATCCAGCCTTGAGTGTGCTGGGATCCCATATGGGCATTGGTTCTAATCCTGGCAGCCCTGCTTCCTATCCAGCTCCCTGCTTGTGGCCTGGGAAAGCAGTTGAAGGCACCCAAGGCCTTGGGACCCTGCATCCATATGGGAGACCCGGAAGAAGCTCCTGGCTCTAGATCAGCTCAGCTCCAGCTGTTGTGGTTGCTTGGAGCAGATGAAATCTCTTTTTCTCTGTCTCTCCTCCTCTGTGTATATCTGCTTTTCCAATAAAAATGAATAAATCTTAAAGAAAAAAGATGTTAAATATCATCACATGTACTCAAAATATGTCCTAACAATTTATTATTTCCTAAGAATCATGTGGTGGGAACATTATTGATTTAAAAACTAATTTGAATCCTTTATTGATGATTGTTTCACTATACAAGTGGTATTTGGCACAGAAGAAAGTTCGGCTGCCTTCTTGAAGGTTTTATTTTATTGCTAGTGACCTGTAGTTGACGGATAATGGGAGTTGGGTCGAAGGGAGTGAAGGCGGGGCAGTCGAGGCTTTCTCCACTGGGAACCACAGTTATCTTGGACATAGGCAACTCAGTTTATTTACTGCAGTGTTTAAAGAAGGTTCTGAGAATGGCATGCTGAGTGTTTATTCTAGATTTTTAAAAATTTATAGTCATCAGTGTGGCCTGAATTAAAAGATTATGTAAGTTTTGAACCTCGGTTTAAGAAAGGAAAGCCTGATGTGTAAGGAATGATAAATGGCTTAATGTTTTGAAAAGTTTTCAGCTAAATAAGTATTAAGCTAAGAAGGGAATTACTTTCTTTGTTAATATAATGTTTCATATTCTTAGTTTAATAAAATGGATCTAACATGCAATAATGCTTCAGTGCTTTGGCATTCTTCAGGAATGCAATGTTCCAGAGAAGTGAGTTTCTTTCAGGTGTCAGATATCATGGTAGGGTGCTGGGAAAGCACAGAGAAGCACTTCCACACCCACCCCATCCCATCCCAGTCCTCCTGGGACGGGTTGTAGAAGAGTGCACGGATGATGGTCAGGGAAATATTTAGATTCAAGGCAATTGGCACCTCAGGGATTGTCTTGAATAGTTTATTGGCTGGGTGGAAATAGTGGAAGATTGGGAATATGCCAAAATATAAGGTCAGTTGAGGCAGAGCATTTTTGCCTTTTTTAGATACTATGTTAGTCTCTGTGCCTGGAACAATATTTGATCTGAGACAGGTGCTAAGAAGTAAATCTTAAACAGTGAGTAAAGCTTCAGGAAGCCTTTACAAGAAGCAGGAGGTATCAGAGAACACGAAACATGGCTGCCGGGCACAGCAGGCAGCTTTGGTAATGTGAGGAGTAGGGACCCAGGGAGACATTTTTCTAACTTTTAGAAAAATGTAGATGATACAAAATTATTGCACTCATTTTCCCATTTTAAAATATAATATTATAATTGCTACAAACTCTTCATACATAATTGTGCAATATAGCCATCAATTCAGGTCCTTTAGCTGAATTCAAAGCATTATACCAAATGTGCCTGACCTGGAGCCAGATCTGACAGTTTGCTTTCTGTGTCTGCTTTGAAGGTGAAGAATGTATTTGCTTTTCCTGAACCATGAACCCACTGGGGACAGAATTCTGTTCTGTATACTTGCTGTGACGTCTTGTGCCTTGTCCCACTTTTTTGCACATAGTGGGTGCTCAGTCTGATAAGTGAATAATGGTTACGGTACCCCCAGTAGAGTGTAAGTTGAGTTTTTCTTGTGAAGGAAGATTGTGTGCCTGTGGCCAACACAGCTGTTGCCCAGTTTTAAAAACATGTGGATGTGTATAGGTATGCATTTTCATTTAATGGGAAGGCAGAAAGACACAGCTCTTGCATCTGCTGGGTCATGTGCAGAAGCGCCAAGCTCCATCCAGGAGGGACACAAGTACTTGAGTGATTGTCTGCTGCCTCCCATGACGTTCATGAACAGGAAGGTAGGTCAGGAGTGAATCAGCTGGAACTCAAAGCAGGCATTCCTAGCCAGGATACAGGCATCCAAAGTGGTGATTCAGTCATTCTGCCAAATGCCCATTCCTCCTAAAATTAAAAAAAAAAAAAAAAAGAATAAAAAAACCCCACCATATTTTAGAAAATTTTCTTCAGATATTTTCTATGTCACTGACACAAGTAGCTCACCTATTCATGTGCTCTAGTATTTAGAATTGTTATTTACACACACGGTGTTATTAGTACTTTTTATGTAATAGAAGTATAGTGGGTCACAGGCTTTCTTTGTTATCATAATATTCCCCCTGCACGTATTCTGTTTTACTTCCCTTAAATTATTCCATGAGGTTTGAGTTTGTACTGTTATCTTTTTTAACTTTATTTATCTTAACTTTGAAACAGCCAGATTAGCCAAGATATAAGATATTCAGGAGTCCAGGGTGGGTCATGGCCGCACTCTATCCAGGTCAGTCCCAGCCGAGGGCACGTGTGTCTCACGGGAGCCTGCAGAATTACACAGCAAAGTCATCTGCCTGCCTTTGCTGTTTTCCTCCAAGGGCAGCTACTGGGAGCAGCAGTTTGACGCTTTGCTGAAATGGACTAATTTCATTTGTCTGCACCATAAAAACTCCTCAGAAAAGGGATAAGGCATGGGTCCTGGGAAGGCCATAGCATTGTTTTATAGATGTCCGTTTGTCAGTTTTTCACTACCTATTCCTCACTGCTAATGTTCTGTGTCACTGTCCCATGTCAAAAAGTGTGTCGTCCCTGCTTCCCTCAGACACCTCAGTGCCCAGCCGGGGGGGACATGTGGCAGGCCCGCGGCAGATGTTTGCTGAGTGCTTAAATGGAAAACTCTGAATGAGTTGATGAAAAAGCAAGTATTTGAGCGAATAAATGGTAGATGTTATAAACTACATTTGCTTATAAAAGTCCTTGCATTAAAAGGCATTCTACAGAAGTCCATGTAGATTTATTTGCAGAATGAGATTAGTTTGGAATTATTTTTATGGAATGAGTAGTGAACTGTTAACTCTAATTTACCGCTACATTATTATTTATTTTTAAGCTATCAAATACTGTGTATTTTATATAAACCAAAGTAAATTTACTGCTATATAGTTAGCTTCTAAGTCAGAATGTGCCAGAGGATAATAAGCTCTAGAAATGTGTTGAATGCTGAATTATGCTCACAGACATGCCACTGTCTTTTTCTTGTGGGAGCCCCCAGTTTGGTTTTGTATCGAGTATGTCAGACAGTGCGCCCGGAAGTGCTGATGTATAGCAGGCTTCCGGTTTACAGTATAGGATCGCCTCAACTGTGGTTACTCCGTGTTAGTTTTCTGTTGCTGCTGTAACAAATTAACAGAAACCTGCAGCTCTAAAACAACTCAAACCTTTTGCCTCCCAGTTCTGTTGGGTCACATGTCCACCGTGGGCCAGGTTGGTTTCTCAGTTCTGAGCTTCAGAAGGCTGAGATGGAGGTGTTAGCGGAAGGGGCTCTTATCTGGGAGCTCGGGGAGTCTGCTTCGTGCACCCCTTCCCCTACCCACCACTGCTGGCAGTACCTTGCTCCTCGTGGTTGTTTCCTTGCTGGCTGTCAGTCAGCAGTCATCCTTAGCTTCCAGAAGCTTCTCACTCGAATGTATCCCCTAAATCTCTGAGCCAGCTATGCTTGAATCCTCTCCCTTGGAATTCTCAGTCTTCCCTTGTCCTATAGCTTTCACTTTCTCTGCACTGCAGATCTGGGGCTCCAGCTGAAGAACCCTTCTCCCGTGTTTTGGCTTGCATAATTAGATTGATTCCATCCATGATAGTCTTCTGTTTCAAGTCCACATTTCAATTATTTCCACCAATTCATTTTGACACATGACTTGACGTATTCACAGGGTCAAGGTGCCTTGGTGTGGGGGCTTTCTGCTTACCACTTTATCTAAATTGTTGGGCTTTGTCCTCAGGCTCTGTATTGGCCCTGGTTGATAGGTAGTTAACAAGTTCCAGTCATAAAATTGGAGGCTAAGGAGTTTGAATGGGTGCTGTCCTTTGTGGAATGATCTCTGAGGCTGGTTCTCACCTCTCAGGTGTGCAGCTGACTGCTCATCTAGCCACTTCTATTGGCCCTGCTCCTGACCTCCCCCTGCTTCTGCCATCTCTGCCTTTTCCTTCTCTCTGCTTTTCTTGTCACTTCTCTGTTCCTCAAAAGTCTGTTTTTGTAACTTGTGCCACTCACTGTGCCAGTGCTTTTCTATTTCCAGTTAGTGGACCAACTATGATTCTTTTTGGCTACTTTTTTCTGGCTTTTTAAGGGTTAGATCTTAGCTACCCTTGCCCATCCATAATCAGTTGACTTTAACCTGCAAAATTGACCTTAACCACTCATCTGAATATTTAAGGTTCCCGACTATTAATAAATAATAAGTAAATAATGTGAAGCATCGCTTATTTTTTCCACCCATGCTATCAATACTATTCCTATTTTAGTTTTCAGATGCAGTGTACAGATAGTTTTGTGTGTATATAGGTGAGTTGTGTTACATTTAACCAACAGAAGGAGAAATGTGTTGATAAACTTCTTGAAAGGCAGAGAGAGCAAGTAAGCAAGTGCGGTGCCCAATCACTGGTTGGCTCCCTTCTCAGATTCCTGCAGCAGCCAGTAACTGGGTGTCCAAGCCAGGTCCCCCACGCGGGTAGTAGGAACCCCATTTCTGTAGCCTGCTCTCCTGCTTCTGGAGCCCAAAGGTGAGAACCAGAGTCAGGAATTGAATGCAGGTCCCTTCCAGCCACTTCACTTAGTATCTACACCCAGGATTTTTTTTAAATGGACTAGGAACTCCTGATCATTGTCTCTTCAAATACTGTGTTTGCCCAAATATTATCAATTTTAGTGCTAGACTAATATACCACCATGTGAATCTGGCATTACTTATTTAATAAATCCTTCATTGATAGATATTTGGATAGCCAACACTCATCACACATATAAACCATACTGTGATGAACATCTGTGTCCAAATCCATGATTATTTCATTTGGATAAGTTCCTGGAAGTCCAATTACTATATTAAGGAATATGCACATTCTTGATGTTTTTGATATATATTGCCAAATTGCTGTCTAGCAATTAGCTGTATTCTTTCTGAAGCAAATTAGGCACTGTCCTAATTTGCTGTTCCTTCAGTAAATTTTATACTTTAAGATGCCATGAATCGGGCCTAGTGCAATAGCACAATGGTTAAGGTCCTCGCCTTGAATGCACCGGGATCCCATATGGGTGCCGGTTCTAATCCCAGCAGCTCCACTTCCTATCTAGCTCCCTGCTTATGGCCTGGGAAAGCAGTTGAAGATGGCCCAAAGACTTGGGATCATGCCTGCGTGGGAGACCCAGAAGAAGTTCCTGGTTCCTGGTTCCTGGCTTCGGATCGGCACAGCACTGGCCGTTGCGCTCACTTGGGAAGTGAATCATCAGATGGAAGATCTGCCTTTCTGTCTCTCCTCCTCTCTGTATATCTGACTTTGTAAAACTGAATAAATAAATCTTGAAAAAAAAAGATGCCATGAATCATATTAGAATGTAGAATATTACAAATACAGAACCATCTTTATGTTTTCAGACTCTTATTCTCCAGGTATTAAAAACTGACGTATTTCCCTTGAAAAATTGTTTTTATGATTTGTCGTTTAATTAGAAAATTTATAGAGAAGCTACACAGGAAGAGAATTTAGTTTTCAGCCATAATGATTGCATGTTTCTTTTATTAAAAAAAATCCATTAAAGAATTTTGTTCGTTTTAACCTGGAGCAGCTCGAGGTTCAGCAGTATTGCTTGAGCTGGGCATGACTTAACATTTAAAAACAAAGTGTGGGGCAGACAGCTGTAGTCATTGGTGCTGCAGTGTGGCCACCCCTTGAGTTGTCCATATCCCATCTCAGAGTGCCCAGTTCAGGTCCTCATTCTTGATGACGGCCCAGGCACTTTGGTTCTTCCCACCCATGTGGGAGAACTGTGTTGAGTACCTGGCTCTGGGCTGAGCCTAACCCAACCTCAGCTCTTCCAGGCATTCAGGGAGTGAACCAGCAGATATGAGGTAACATTTGTTACTTAAATATTTCTTTTCTGGGTGAAAATTGGTTTAAAGCAGGCTAATGGTTATTAATTGCCTACTCACAATCTTGAATTTTAAGTGTTACTGTTCACATCCAATTTGTATATCAGTGGAAAATGGTTATTTTCTAATATTAAACATATTAACATTCTACATTTGTCTTTTTCTTTAAAGGGGAAAAGCCTCCATCATGCACAGAATGATCATTTCCAGAATGATGGGATTGGTAAGTAGGAAAATTAACTCTCTAGAAATATGTTAGGATGCAAGAAATTGATGCCAGATTTCATTATGAGAAAGAAGAGGGTGGGAGAGTCTGTTTCATGCACCAACAGTCACTTTGGAACCTTACCTAATTAATTTTTTATTAAACAAACCTGGTCTTGATAAAAATGCAAAATGCATGGGTGTGTAATTTTGGAAAATAGTGCTTTTTTTAAAAAAAAAAAGGAATCAATCAAAGGAATCAAACTCAAAGGTTTTGAGAAAATGCGTTTCAACCTTTTATGCAAAATAAGTTTTTGGGAAATATTTATGTCCTACAAATACCAGGTTACTTAAATTTCCAGATTAAGTTTATTTAACTGCTATGTGTTTCGCTCATCTTGGAGGCCTCTTCCTGGGGAGGGGATGTGTGCCTCGTTTGCTTTCCTAAAGGAAGTGTCTCTGCTTCCCCAGACATAGTCCGGCTGAAATGATTTCAGGAAGATATTGTGTACTTCCACATAATCATAGAGACCCTTTTAAAGTACTTAATTTTTTGAAGTGTGCCTTATTCTTTGATATGAATACTTTTTTTTTAATTGTAAGATTACTTCAGGCAAACCTGGGAAATCTATCTTACTGTTGGATGATTTAAATTATTTTGGTCTAGATGAATATGTACAGCTGTTGAGTGCCGCCTCCTTCTCTGTTTATTTTCCAGTTCAGCCCAATCCTTCCGTACTTATTGGCAATCCTATTAGAGCATTTACTCCTCCACCCCCTCTTGGACCTCACCCAAATTTGGGAAAATCTCCAAGCCCCGTTCAAAGGATAGATCCTCACACTGGGACGAGCATTCTTTATGTACCTGCTGTCTATGGAGGGAATGTAGTTATGTCGGTGCCTTTACCTGTAAGTGGACATTTAAAACTCTTCCTATTGGGCAAAGCAAAACTGGTTTCATTAGATTAGTGACAGTCCCAAAGACTATTCCACCAAGCTCTTTCTATCTAACTTTTCATTGCCCATAGCTGCTTCTAAAGCAACTCGTATCTTTAAGCTTCGCATTTTGAAATCCTCCAAGAACATGAATTGTTGCTTAAAGTTTGTTACTTATCAGTGACTGTGAAGAAATGTATGAATTGTGTTTTGTTTTAGATCCCTTTGCATTCTTTTAAAATATTTTCGCTGGAGAAAAATGATCCCCTGTTTTGTAAAGTGATTTTTTGTTTTATTCTGTTTTGGTTTTAGTTTTGCTCTTTATTCCTCTGGAAGTCAAAAACTGTCTGAGAAAGACAGCTCATTGAAAGAGGTAGATAGATGGATGGGATTACTCTAGTTGCCTTGTGTTTCAATTTATCTGGGATGTTCCATGCCTTATAAAATGTTACCTTATAAAATGGTACTTAAAACCACTATGGAGATTGCAGATTTTTAGAAACCTTCAATCTTGTTTATAAACCCACTTTTATTGTCTTCGACATTTTTTAAATTTTGGTAATTTTGCTACTTTGCAATTAAGCAGATGTTTCTAAATCCAGAAACATTAACCTGGGAAATAATTTCTTGCATTTACTAAGGCTACTGTTGTAGTCTCACATAGAACTGTTCATTGCCAAAGATGCTTGGCACGCCTGTCCACCCTCCAAGTTGGAAAGTACTTAGCTGCAAGTGTAGCTGATCCTTGCTGGCTGTGGAGGTTCACAGACGGGCAGCCAAGGAGGAGTGTAACTGTCAGGAAGCAGTCTGTGCCTCCTGCCCACTTCCCGTAGACTGTGCACTTCAGTTATCGCTTCCCACACAGCCTGCTAGCATTGTACATCATCTTCTTTATATAGTAAGTCCCTTAGGATTTATTTTTCTTTCCTTGGCCAAAGTATATCATATTTTATAAGCTTTCTAAGAGATTATATTTAACAGTTACATTACAATCAAGTAATAGAGGCTCAAATGTCATTGTGTTTATTCTTTTTATGTAAACATGCAGAGATGATATTTAGACATCCCTAATCAAGTTTTCTGCCTCTGTTGTCAAGGTGAAGTTGAGTTAATCAAAAGCACAAATTATTGAACTTTGAATTTTATTTATAGTAATTGAATATTAAATAATTTGGTTTATTCCTAAAATTGAAAAAAAAATTCTTAAAATTATTCCAAAATTGAAATACCTAGATTTTGAGTTGTGACTCCTTGGACTAATTTCTTAACTTTTCCCCCTTCTCTCATTTTGTCTATTAAACTATGTAACTGTGCACTTAATGGCTTAAAGAAGCAATTTTCATGGTGATCTTTGACATGTAAAAACTCTTGTGGAAGGGAGGTGATTCAAAGAATGTGAAATGATTGACTGCCTCCAAGAATAATTGCTGATTTTAAGCCCTCAATTTCTTTGTAACCTGAAAAATGATTAATTTTTTCTTTATGCTAAAGATTCAGGGACCATTTTCTGGCCAGTAAAGACAGCAATTATTCTACCAACTGCTGTTAACATCTATCTTACAGCAGTTACTTTTGATCAGATTGACATGTGTCTGTGCACCTATGTGTATGTGCAAACTTTTCCTGCTCAGCAATACTAGGTTTGCCTTTTGAAACAAATTTAGTGTAATTACTCTATTTTTTGTAATATCCTAGGTACCATGGACAGGATACCAGGGTAGGTTTGCAGTTGATCCTCGAATCATTACGCACCAGGCAGCAATGGCCTACAATATGAACCTGCTGCAGACACATGGGCGGGGCTCTCCTATACCGTATGGCCTTGGGCATCACCCTCCAGTCAGCATAGGGCAGCCACAGAGCCAGCATCAGGAGAAGGAGCAGCATGAGCAGAATCGGAATGGTGAGTTGCTTCACGCTCTTCTGAATGTAGGACCTGCGCGCCTGATCCAGAAGGTTCCTGCAGCAGCACGGGTGTTAGCTTGCTCATGGCTTAGAGATCACCTCGAGAGAGAATCTGATGGAAAAAATTGTATTATGTTTCCTTTGTGTTTTTATGTAACTCTTACATAACTCTTACTATTTTTTTTTAAAGATCCATTTTTTTTTATTGGAAAGTCAGATATATAGAGAGAGGAGGAGAGACAGAGAGGAAGATCTCCCGTCCGATATTTACTCTCTAAGCGGCCACAACAGCCAGAGCTGAGCCAATCAGAAGCCAGGAGCCAGGAACATTTGGGTCTCCCAATTACATGCAGGATCCCAAGGCTTTGGGCCATCCTCAGCTGCTTTCCCAGGCCACAAGCAGGGAGCTGGATGAGAAGCGGGGCCTCTGGGGTTAGAACTGGTGCCCATATGAGATCCCAGTGTATGTAAGGTGAGGAGGACCTTAGCCACTAGGCTACCACATGGGTCCCAACTTTCAGTATTTAGTTGCTTTGGGATTAGTAGTATATATTAACTTACTGTAATCTATATTTAAATTTATATTTTCGCACTTATACACAGTAAAAGAGCCCTATGATATTTCATTTTCCTCTTTCCTGTTCTTTATGCTGGTGTCAACCTATATTTCAATTTTAGCTGGTATAGCTTACCTCTCACCCAAACATTGTTGCCAAAATCTTTTTAAAGAGATTATTTTTAAAAGGTTTTTTTTTTAAATTTTATTTGAAAACCAAAGTTACAGAGCAGGAAGGAGAAACAGATACAGAGATCTTCCAACCACTGCCTCATGCGCCAAATAACCATGGTAGTTAGGCCTGAGCCAAGAACTTCTTTGAGATCTCGCGTGTGAGTGCAGGGGCCTAAGTAGTTGCACCATCTTCTGCTGCTTTCCTAGGTGCATTGGCAGGAAGCTGGATTGGAAGTAGAGCAGCCAGGGCTTGAACTGGTGTCCATAAGGGATGACGTCACAGGCAGTGACTTGACATGCTATCCCATGACACTGGCGTAGGAGTTCATGCTTATCCATGCATGTAGGATTTCTGTATATTTGTATCTCCTAAAGCGTTCCTCTGCTTCAATGGCTTAACATTCCTTGTAGTCAAACCTACTGGTGATGAAGTATTTGATTTTTTTTATCTGTCTGATAGTATCTTTAGTCTTCTTTCGTTTTTTTAAATGATGCTTTTGCAATATTTTTGACTGGCTGGTTTTATCACATGTACTTTATTTGAAAGGCAGAATTATAGAAGAAGGAGAGGCAGAGAGACCGTCCATCTGCTGGATCACTCCCCAAATGCAGCACCAGCCCAGGGGTAAGCCAGACCAGAGCCAGGAACCTAGAACTAACTCCACCTGAGTCGGCCACGTGGGTAATAAAGCTCCCAGCACTTAGGCCATTTTGCATTGCTTTTCCAGGTGCTGGACTGTAAGTGGGGCAGCCTGTGCTCCTGTGGAATGCTGGTGTGGCAGACTGTTACCTGTCCCACTATGCCCCGGCACAGGCCCCAGTAATGATGTTCTATTGGTCTTTAAGTTGCATTGTTTCCACTGAAAATACTGATTGCATTATTATCCTTGTTTTTCTGTGTGTAAGATATCTTTTTCTCTTTGGCTGCTTGAAAGAATTTTTATATTGCTTTTAGCAATTGAATTATGGCATGCTTTGCTGTAATTTTCTTCTTGTTTGTTGGGGTTTGTTGAACTTCTCAGATCTTTCAGTTTGTGCTTTTTATCAAGTTTGCAAGTTTTCAACCTTCACACCTTCAGATTTTCCGGGAAGGGGTGTCTGACACTCCTTCCTTTTTAGGCATTCCAATTCCCCGTAAGTGAAAGAATGGTTAGTGTTCCCCCATAGTTTGCAGTTACTCTTTTGGTTGATTTTTTTTTTCTAGAAAGCTTTTTTTCTTCTTTATGTTTGACTTTTTTGTACCATGCCTTGAAGTTTATCCAGCCTTCTTCTGGAATGTTTTAATTCTAGTCCACCTAGTTTATTTTTCATCTTAGGTACTGTAGTTTTTATTTCTTGGGGCTTAGTGGCTAGGCTATTCTGGCATAATTAATCTTATGAAGTTCCAGTGACATTCTCAAAAGAATGTTTCTGAATAAAAAATAAAGGATTCCTACAAAATACTTAAAGTATCCAGCAGTTAATTCTTTTTCATTTTATTTTTTAAAATTTATTTTTATTGCAAAGTCAGATTTACAGAGTGAAGGAGAGATGGAAAGATCTTCTTATCTTTGGTTCATTCCCCAAGTGGCCGCAATAGCTGGAACTGAACTGATCCAAAGCCAGGAGCCAGGAACTTCTTCCGGGTCTCCCATGCGGGAGCAGGTTCCCAAGTCTTTGGGCCATCTTCCACTTTTTTCCCAGGCCATTATCAGGGAGCTAGATGGAAAGTGGAGCAGCCGAGAAATGAACCAGCACCTGTATGGAATCCGGGTGCATGCATGGCAAGGATTTGGCCACTGAGCCATCACGCCAGGGCCAGCAGTTAATTCTTAGAATCAAAACACATGTGAAATTATTTGTCTATTGTAATTGTTTGTTATTTGTGCCCCTATTGTTTACCATTTATATACACTAGTTTGATAACTGTTACTTTTTTTTTTTAAATATTTCTTTTTATTGGAAAGGCGGATATACAGAGAGGAGGGGAGACAGAGAAGAGGATCTTCCATCCGATGATTCACTCTCCAAGCGGCCGCAACAGCTGGTGCTGTGCTGATCTGAAGCTAGGGAGCCAGGAGTTCTTCCAGGTCTCCCACGTGGGTGCAGGGTCCCAAAGCTTTAAGCTGTCCTCAACTGCTTTCCCAGGCCATAAGCAGGGAGCTGGATGGGAAGCAAGGCCACCAGGATTAGAATCTGTGCCCATATGGGATCTTGCCACATTCAAGCAAGGACTTTAGCTGCTAAGCTATCACGCCGGTCCCAAGATACCTGTTACTTTTAAATGGTGTAACTTTCCTTCAGAATATCTTTATTCAGTTTAGAGGCTTTACTAAATTGACTTGATACATCATTTGTATTTTTGCTAAATACTATTGGTAAGTGACCAACGCCTTCATGAATAGTCGAGAATACTTTCATATATCTAGTTCAGGAAGATGAGGCTGGGAGCCAGTGTTGTGGGATGGTGAGTAAGGCTGACGTTTGCAGAGGATGCATTCCCGTGGATGCTGCTCTGCTCTCGGTCCAGTGTGTGCTAATGGCCTGGGGCAGAGCAGTGGAATACAGCCCAAGTGGTTAGGCCTCTGCCACCCAAGTGGGAGACCTGAGTGAAACTCGTGCCTCCTGACTCCAGCCTTGCTAAGTCCCACATATTGTGACCACTTGGGGATTGAACCAATGAATGGAAAATTATTCTCTCTGTCTTTCCTTCTCTCTCTGTAATTCTTTCAAATAAACAAATATTAGCTAGGGAGGGGAAAAGCAACAAACAAACAAAAAACCAAGACTGAGACCAGCACTGTGGCATTGCATGTAAAGCTGCTGCCTGCAGTGCTGACATTGGTGCCAGTTCATGTCCCAAATGCTCTAGTTTCAGTCTAGCTCTCTGCTGCTGACCTGAGAAAAACAATAGAATTTGACCCAAGTTTTTGGGCCCCTGGTGTGTGTGTGTGTGTGTGTGTGTGTGTGTGTGTGTGACCTCGGATGATGCTCCTGCATCCTGACTTCAACCTCCTTCAGCCCTGGCCATTGTGGCCACATCTCCCCATCTCTCTGTAACTGTGACTTTGAAATAAATAAGTAAATGTTAAAAACAGAAAGTCAAGGCTAAGCTAAAGCTGTGGAACAGCAGGTAAAGCCACTGGCATCTAGGTGCCGTAGGGGTGCTGATTTGAGTCCCAGCTGTTCCACTTCTGATTTAATTTCCTACTAATGTTCCTGGGAAAACAGTTGGAAATTGTCCAAACCCTTAGGCTCCTGCACCCGCGTGGGAGAGCTGGGAGAGGCTCCTGGCTCCTGGCTTTGGACGGGCCCAGCTCCAGCCATTTTGGCCTTTGGGAAGTGAACCAACATGATCTTTCTCACTTAACTCTGCCTTTCAAGTAAAACAAATAAAATCTTCAGCAATTTCCTACTAAAGGAACCGAGGCTGTAAATTTCTCGAGATTGACATCATAATCATTTGGAATTATTTGATGTTTTAAGCTTATTCTTCTATTGAGCTTTTGCTCAGTGAGGTGTGCTTCTTCCATGCATATTCTTTTTTTTTTTTTTGCAGAGAAATGGCCACTTTGCAAGTTTAAGAACAAATCCCAAGTCATGATCTAAACTGATAACAATGGGTGTAAAATGTTTAAAATATTCTGCTTCTCTGATATCGTTTGGTCATTGGAAATAGATCTACTATAGGAAATTCATAGAAACTTTTAAATATTTTCTTAGGTAAAAGTGATACAAGCAATCCTGGAGCTGAAATTCCTAAGATTCGAACCCCAGAGAAAAAGCCTGCAGACCCGAAGCAGGTAGGCTGTGTGTGGGCAGTGAGCACGTGGTTCCATGGGCTTAGCAGGTGCGTCTTTTATGGATCCTGGTGTTTTAGGGGGAAAAAAAACTCTCCATTTCTGTATGTTGCCTTTTATAGTTATTGTTTTACCAGGCTCTGATAGGTCGTGTTTTTCCCTTTGCTTTTGCTGTATTATTTTTTTATTTGTTAGACTAGTTTTTTTCAAATTCTGTTATTCAGTAATATTCTTGAAGTTAGACTTTCTATGATAGAGCACAAAATGAAAATGGAGCTGCAGACAGTGAGAGTCATCTCAGGACAGGGAGACCCATCCTCCAGTGAAGAAGGAAGATTGGTTCTCCAGTCGCTGGCTGGTCTCATCATCCCAACGCTGTGTTGTGTACCTCTCTGTGTGGCCATCCCCTCTGCCTGGTTCTGTGCTTGTGAACCATTTGAAGGAAAGCGGGCTTTTGCTTGAATTAATACCCCTGGAAATGCAAGCCTCCTCATCTCCCTGGAACCTGTGAGCTACCCCGCTCTGCCAACACACACACACACACACACACACACACACACACACACACACACACACACACACACACACACACACACACACACACACACACACACACACACACACACACACCCACCCCCCCCCCCCCCCCCCCCCCCCCCCCCCGCCTTTGGTTCCCTCTGCTCAGTTTTCTCAATGGGTTTTTCAAGCCCAGTTCCCTTCATCTTGTGTTATCTTTGTTTTCAGGAGATGACTTTGTCTTGGACTTGGAACGTTAGGCTGTGTCTGGTAATTTGTAACCTTGGATGTATCTTTTTTCGTGTTCTTGATTATTATTTTCAATCTCCGAGGAAGCGCTCCCATCAGCACCGGTGTCTCTGCCCTCCCGCTCTCCTCACAGGGTTTGTCCCTTTTCTCGGTTATCTCTAGGTTCTTCCATCTACTGATTGTTCCTCTTCAGCCCGTGAGGTGTATATGCATCTCCTTTAGCCTAAAATAAGCACATGGATTCATTGATTAAAATTTTTTTTCCTTGTTCTTTTATAGCCAAGTTTCTTATTTACTCCTATCCCACACTGTCCAGTAGACGTTTTCATTTCACGGAGACTATCAAGCTGCTAATGACCACGTGTTGCAGACACATTTCAGTGAAATGGCCTGTGACGTTCCTTTGATAATTTGGGACTGTTTGCTGCTTCTGTCTTGGGCCATATTATTCTTTAGTTTCTGACAGACCAGCTTTTCTCAGCTCTCTGTCATAACCTGGTGTCTTTTTTATGTTACTGTCAGCCCTCCCCATCTGCTCATGCTCCTCTAGAACTTTCCAGAGTTCTGTCCTTGTGCCATCTCTCTATTCTGAGGGGTATCACTGGAAAGTAGCCCAGTCTGTGATAAATGATTTCCAAATATGTGTCTGTGGTATCAGCCTAGCTTTAAGCAGCCATTCCCTACATTTCACTATTTAACATCCTCTAAGTATCTCTCACTCATACTTGCTGCATCTGGAAGGACTCAGGACCTGTTGGAGGAGCTGTTGTACAAATGAAGCAGCCAGGGGAGCCTCCTGCTAGAAAACAGAGGAGCTGCTACGAAAGTATAAGTGGCATGTCTTTGAAAGGGGTCAGAGAGCACGGGCAAGCAGCAGGTCTGGGTGGCTTTCTGTGACACACACCTGGCTTCTTGTGTGTGTCAAAAGTCAGAGGTGATGGGCACAGTTAAAACAGTAGACTCTGCATACATAGCTTTGATGTAAAATCATGATCTCCCGCGTGTGTTCAGAATATACATAGGAACAGTATCTTCTGGGGAAAAGGCATGCGGGTAAATTCAGTCAACCACAAAATGGAGATTTCTGGGAGAAAATGTTTATGTAGAGATCTTTAATCAGGATCTGAGATATGAGAGATATGAGAGCAGGTCCAGCAGCTGCCCGGGAAGACTGGGGCACACTGGCACCTTTCTCATGCCCAGGCACCTGAAGGACCTGGCTGATCAGAAGCATGGTGACTGGAGATGCGAATGCTTAGTATCACAACTGTTTGTTGGCCTAGTTTGGTCACCAGGCGAAGGTCAACTTCAATGGAAATAGCAAGCTGCTTGTTTTCTGTTTTTGGGGGGTGGTCAACCTGGGGTCTCTCTTTGTGACAATAGCCACCGCTTGAAACTTTTGGGGATAATGAGGGACCAGAACAGCTTGCAGAAAGTTCTGACAAGCTGGAAAAGAAAACTTTCCTCTTTCCATCTTCCGCCTCATTTTGCACATTGTCACTGCTCGTGGTCAAACTTGTGTTTCAGAAGGATGACAGTGTTCTTTAAAAATTCTGTGGTTTTTTTTTTTTTAAACAGTAAATGGTAAATGTTTATACTCAGCATTGAATCATTCTGGGTTTTGCAGCATTGGGCTCCAGTAGGTTCATCTGATGTTAAGCAGGAGAAACAAACGTATAAATAAGGGAAGCCACAGCTTTGTGTATACAACACTGGGTGTGCTCTCCAAATTTCCATATTTTCAGCTTTGTTAACCATTGTGTGAACTGTTAGTTTTAACAACACTGTCCTCCTTGCAATATTCTAGCTCTTCTTAGCTGTCTCAGGTACTAGGTTCTCTTGCAGCAACTCTAATTGTGTGTTTGCATGTTGGCATCCTTTGCTGGAGTCTAAGCCAGGCATTGGCAAATTTTGTTTGCTTTTTTAAAGAAATAGTTATTTTATGATATAGTTCCACAAGCTCTGGGATTTCTCTTACCCTCTCCTATATCCCCTCCTCCCCCCACTGACTTCCCCCATATTATCACAGTAGTATAGTTCCTCACAGTCATAAGTCCATCATTGTGGGCATGGACAATGGCAGAGAGTCCAGCATCCTGTTGTCAAGATAGCAAAGTTTGTTTCTAAGGCCAAATGGTCTTTCTTGCAGCTGCTCAACTCTGACACTGAAGTACAAATGCAGCCACAGACAATCTGTAAACCACTGAGTGTGTCTGTGTTCTAACAAAACTTGTTATAAAAACCGAGTGGGGGTAGGAAGGCATAGTTCACAGGCCCCTGCACTAAGCTCTGGAGCATTTAGGCTAGGTTGATTGCTGCTTTTTAATTTCCAGGCACAGGCACAGTATACTTGCTGAGTCCACAGTGATATTTAAGGGGAGGAATGTCAATGCTATATAATGTCAAACCATAACAGCTGATTGTCAAAGGTGACGTAGTACTTGTTTGCTCATTTCAAAGTTGTTTAAATGGAGACAGATTTCTTCTATTAATATAGAACACCTTGAAGAAATAGATGTTTAAAAACAAAGTGTCAGTAGAAAGGAACACATTTTAATGATTCATAGCAGAAGGAAATAAATGGCTATCTTTCCAAGGAAGAAAGTGTGAAATTAAAAATAATATGCTTAAAGGAATTAAAGTGGATATGTTACTACAATGATGGTGTGTTTGTTATGACTCAGATTTAATATATTGGTTCTTCTGTGTTATCTTTTTTCATTTAGCAGATACTTCCTTATGTGATTGTCAGAAGGTGATTGTGCACCCAGCCGTCCTGTTGTTGCTACTAAGAATGTGTCACATCTTTTAGCTGTGTTAGGGCTGACGGAAGGCAGAGAGCCACTGGCCTTGGGTCTTTTGTTTAAAGAAACCTTCTTCTTACTCTTTTCTAGGTTGATCTGGAATCAAATCCACAGAACAGAAGTCCGGAATCACGCCCTGGTGTTGTTTATCCAAATGCCAAATTTCCTCGCAAAGATAATCTCAACCCCAGACATATAAATCTCCCTCTCCCGACTCCCCCTGCGCAGTATGCAATCCCTAATCGCAGCTTTCATCCGCTCCCCCAGCTCCCGAGACCACCATTTCCAATTCCACAGCAGCACACCCTGTTAAATCAGCAGCAGGGTAGTTTGCCTGAGCCACCGAATCAGGTGCCACCACAGCCAAATCAGCTGGTCCAGCCACAGAGTCCGTTGGATCAACAGAGCCAGCAGCCTCCTCCTCAGCTTTCTCCTGCGTACCAGGCAGGACCCAGCCCTGCTTACTTTAGTGGGGCAGTTGCTCACAGACCCCAGACTCCTCCTGCTGAGGCCGTGCTTCCTGAGCAGCAGCCCCCTCCCATGCTGCAGGAAGGCCACAGTCCCCTGAGAGCCATCGCCCAGCCGGGCCCCATCCTTCCTCCGCACCTGAATAACTTCATTGATGAGAATGCACCGGGACTGCCTTTAGGGGAGGCTTTGGGTGAGTCCTGATACTGCTGGATGTGAGAAAATGACATGTGCTGTACAGTATTCATTTGGGTAAGGACTGGTTCATAATGCCAGCCAAAATCTGTTAAGGTAATAACCAAAATATAGTTCCAAACACTGTGATATTAGAATTGATGGTAGGATACATCATTATCAAAGTAAGAAAGAATTGTCGTCATCGTCGGCATCATCATCGTCATTTTCACATCCCCAGTCTGTAGAAAATTTAGAAAACAGATGCTGTCCACCAGAACCAAAGTATAGCTGATATGTTGTGGGGAAAAAAACCTGTTTATAAAAACTTTTCAGAAAATGTATTAGAGCAGCAGGTGTTAGCTTGTGGTTAAGATGTTAGCTTGTGGTCATCTCACTGGAGTGCCTGGATCCCATTCCCGGCTCTGCTTGCCTCCCACTTCCTGCCAGTGCACTTCTTGCAAAGCCGTGAGTTTAGTGCATGTGGGAGACCTAGGTTCAGTTCCTGCTTCGAGGCTCTGGCCCTAGCCCAGCCTTGGCTGCTGTGGAGTCTTGTGAAATAAGTCTCTCTCTGTTTCTCAAATAAGTAAGTTTTAAAAATTTAAAAATTAACTTGAAACTCCGAGTACATAAAGTCTTAGAATTTTCACAAATGCTTTTGCAGATCGCGTACATGGGAATGTAGCTCTGGAGACATTGAGGCAGCAGCAAGCTCGGATACAGCAGTGGAGTGAGCATCAGGCCTTTCTTAGTCAGGGCAGTATTCCATACCCACACCATCAGCATCCTCACCTCCAGCATCTCCCTCAGCCGCCCATCGGATTACATCAGCCACCAGTGAGGACAGACTGGAAGCTCGCCAGCAGCGCAGAAGATGAAGCCGAAACGACGTACAGCAGGTAACCCCGCTGACTGAGCTGTGTGCCCCTCTGCCACTGTCTTCCTTGATGGTAGTCCTTTTAGCTTCCGGCTGGAGTATTGGCTCAGAGAAGTTAGGTGCTGGCACTCTGGGCACATGCTACAAAGTTCCCATGATCACTACTGAAGGTGGAGGGCTCACTGAGTAGCGGTTCTTGTATAGAATGTGCTCATGGAGGATGCCTTGAGGATTGTACATTAGCTCAGTCCTCTGCTTCTGTGAGAGAAACACCTCATCACTCTGGATGGTTTTAAAAAATATTCTTTGGTAATACCAGCACAGAGAAAAGCCAAGTTAGGGCTTAAGAGTTAAATAACAAATTCAGTAGCAGAGGCTTCCACTCCTTCACTGTGGGCACGCAGGGCTGTTTTAAATGTTCATGGTCACGTGAAGTCTGTGAAGTATTACCCAGTCTCTCTGAATAAGGTCCCCCATTATAATAGCCTTTTATGAACTCCCAGTTATCAAAGACAAGGAGAGATAAGGGTGGATGTTCAATGTGAAAGGAAATGAAAGAACACAGATAATGGGGCATATTTGGTGTCTTCAGTTCAGCTCGTATTAATACTGCATTTGACATTGATCAGTGCTGGTTCTAAGGAAGTGTTATGACTCAGGCTGTAGCAAGTACACATGTTGTCAGCTAAGCTCTCCTTAATGTGACACGGCCTCTCCCTTGTCCTTGTTTTTTCCTTGTCTCCATGAAGGTTTCAAGACTTGCTCAGAGAGCTGTCCCATCGTGATCCGAGTGAAACCCGGGAACTAGCTGAAATGCCGCCACCTCAGTCAAGACTTTTGCAATACAGACAAGTTCAGACTAGAAGCCCACCAGCAGCCCCTTCTCCCCCGTCCAGCACAGATCACAGTAGCCACTTTTCTAACTTTAATGACAGCAGCAGAGACATTGAAGTAGCCAACAGCCCAGCATTTCCACAACGCCTCCCACCCCAAATATTCAGCTCGCCTTTCTCCCTGCCTTCGGAGCACCTGGCCCCTCCCCCCCTGAAGTACCTGGCACCTGAGGGAGCATGGACTTTTGCTAACTTACAACAGAATCACTTGATAGGGTCGAGCTTTCCCTATGGCCTACCTCCATTGCCTCACCGGCCACCACAGAACCCTTTTGTACAAATCCAGAATCATCAACATGCTATTGGTCAAGAGCCTTTTCACCCACTGTCATCTCGAACAGTATCTTCTTCTTCGCTCCCTAGCTTAGAAGAGGTAATGTCTTTTTAAAAAATTTTTTTTTAATTTTCTTTTTAATATTGTTTACGTAATTGAGAGGGATACACACACATATAGGCCTTTGATTAGGGTGGGGAGGGTTGAGGTATGGAGGAAGGTGGATAGAACAAATTATTTTTCCTGTGTCCCCGGGGGAGGGGGGGTGGGGGGCGCTCCTTGCTGTCAAACTGCATCAGCACCTGGGAATGAGGGACAGTCCTTTGATGACGCCTCAGAGACCCTGATATGACGAAGAGTGTTCTGAGGGTGTTAACTAGTGGTTTTGATAGTTCTGAGATGTTACCAGCTTTGTTGCACCAGAGTTGAAAAAAATCTTTCCAAGGCCTATTAGTTGACAAAGTCCACCTTAGTGCATCTACAGACCCAGGAACATGCTGCAAAGCTTGGCTAGGACAACTATCCAACCTGTTCTGCTTTCCATCCTCTGACGAGGAACTCCTTGTTCTCTGCTGGCCTAAATGAGCTGGCCATCATGTCCCCCATGTGCATCTGGGCATGTTGTCTACTGCACAGGTATCAGTAACTGAGAGGCCCCGTACCGATACATATACTCCAAGGTTGGACCACATATATTGTGATTTTCCCTGTGGCTGGGGTCTGAATCCAGCTGTCTAGTTGAGAAATCCCCCAAGAAACCTCACCTGGGGTGACCTCAGACTTGACTCTTGTGCCAGCTAGCGCAGGGTCAGGTTTGATCTGTCCCCTGTACCAGCTAGTGTACATACCAGTAGATGCAACTGCCTGGCCAGTTCTGCCCCAGCCCCATACCTCCTGTGAACCAGTGGGGGCTGGAACCCAGGCCTGCTAACCCATAATAGACCCAGTCATCCTGCATACTAGTGGGTGCCATGGCCTAGTCGGGCAGTGCCAAATAACTCCTCCCAGATCTGCTGCATCCCGTTTTTCTGTGTGCCAGCCTCTCCTATGGCCTAACCCAGCCCAGCCCACATCCCTTCAGGTTCTCATGCATACCGATGGGTGCTGTGGCTTAGCTCAGCCTGCCTGCCCTGCTCCTGCACCTGACCCTCATACATGCCAAGTCTGGCCCAACCTCAGCCCTGGTTCTTGTGCTCACCAACAGTAATTACAGCCTAGTAGGGGAGTGTTCACAGTTCCCCTGCCAGGCATGCTCCCAGCCCTGGATTTTGCACCTGCCGGGGATACTGTAGTCCAGCCTGACATGACTTGTGCCCAGTCCTGGCATTTGCCAGTTGGTGCTGCAACTTAGCCTGGCTGGCCCACACCCTTTCTGACTTTCATGTGAGAGCAGAAACCCAGTAGGGAAGTCCTAGAGGTTCCTTTACTAGCCTTATTTCCAGCCACAGGTCTTGTTTGTACTAGTGGGTACTGTGGACCAGTCTGAGATGGCTTGCCCACAGACTCAGCATTCAACAGCAGGTACTGAGGCCTGGCTCAGCCCAGCCTATTGCCAGCCAAGCTCTTGCCAGCGAGTGCAGCAGCCTAGCCCAGCCTGGCCGACTCCCATCATCAGCTCTCATGTGAACTGGTGGGTGTTATGGTCCAGCCATGCCAACCTGCACCCTATCCTGGTTCTTGCTCCTCCCAGTGTGTGCTGTGGACTGGGCCAGACCAACCCATCCCCATACCTGGCCCACATGTATACCAATGGGTGATGTAGCCCAGCCTTGTCTTACCTGTCCTCAGCCCTGGCTCTTGGACTCAACAGCGGGAGCTATGGCCTAGCAGGGTCTTCCCCAAGTTCCCCTACCAGGCCTGCTCCCAACAATGGATCTCATGTGTGTTGGTAGGTGCTGCTATGCAAACTGGTATGAATGGCCCCTGTCCTGGCATCACTGGTGGATACTGTGGCCTAGCTCAACTGGTCCACACCCATTCTGGGTCTTATCAATGGGTGCTATAGCCTAGTCTGCCTAGCCTACCTCCACGCCCAGCTCTCATGTGATCCAGCAGGTGCTACAGCCTAGCCTGGCTTGTCTCACACCCATTCTGGCTCTCACAAGCACTAGCAGGTGCTGGAGCCCAGTCTAATCTAGCCTACCCTCAGAACCAGCCCACATGCATGCCTCTGGGTACTGCAGCCTTGCCCAGCTTGGTGCACCCACAGCCCTGGCTCTCACACTCAGCAGTGCTTGCTGCAGCTTAGCAGAGGAGTCCCCACAGTTCACCCACAAGGCCCATTCCCAGCCATGGGTCTTGGACATGCTGGTGAGTGTTGCAGCCTAACCCAGCCAGGTATCTCCAAACCCTGTCGAGGCTCATGTGTGTGCCAGTGGGTGCTGTGGCCTGGGCCAGCTCAGCCTGTTCCCAGATCTGGCCCACACAAATGCTGATGATACACATAAGTGCTGCAGCCCAGCCTGGCCTGGCCTGGCATGCCCCCACTCTGGCTCTCATGTTCCCCAGCAGGAGCTGCGTTCCAGTAGGAGAGATCCCCAAGCTCCCCTACCAGGCCTGCTCCTAGCTCTGGATCCCATGTGTGCCAGCAGGTGCAGCAACCCTGCTTGGCATGATCTATTCTCAGTCCTGGCCTTTGCATGTGCCAGTAGGTACTGCAGTCTGGCCCTGCCTGGCATCCTCCTAGCCACAGCTTTCGTAAGTATCAAGTGTCTAAGTGATTGATCTTTTTCCTTTTGAGTTAAATGAGTTATTTACAGGATTGTTAATTAGATTTTCAAAGCTGTTGGGGCCAGTTCCTAGTGCTGTGCTTTCTTTTGTCACTCATCCCGGGGTTCTGTTGGGCAGAGGTGGTTGATAGAGTTGATAGAGTAAATCCCTACTGCATTTGTAGATGTCTCACGTAAAAGTGACTACTTGACTCAGCATTCTAAAGTAAATGGAATTCCATAGGGAGAACACCATGGCCTTATTGGCGGGATTTCAGAGATAATTTGTTCATTTTGTTTCAGTATCGGTGATTGGCCTTTTCTGTATCATAACTGTCATTAAAATGACTCAGTGGCTATCTTGGGCTCCAAAAGGAAGCTTTGAGGAAGTATTATGAAGATTAATTGATATCTGTATGTATACAGTGTGAAGATCTAGAATTTTGGAACAGTGCCTTACAAAGATTGGACATACACCTGACATTATTTCAAGTTATAAAGAAAGGTCTTAACAGCTGAGCAGAATATTGTTTATTCATTACTACCATCTAATTGCAGAACACTTCATCATCCCTAAAAGAAGCCCCATAACCATTGAGCAGTTATTCCCAGTCTTTCTCTCCCAGTCCCTAGCAGCCATTAATACACTTTGTGTCACCGTGGAGCCACTTTGCATCGATGGAGTCATAGGATACGTGGCCTCTTGCTGCTGGCTTGTGCAGTGCATCCCCACTGCCAGCACTGCACTCTTTTTTTATGGTTGAATAATATTCTGTTGTATGCCACAGTTTGTTTTTCTCTTCATCATTTGATGGACATTTGAATTGTTTCTGTTTTTTGGATATTATGTATAATTCTGCTATGATCATTCATTGATCAACTTTTATGTGAAGATGTGTTTTCACTTCTCTTGAGAGTGTAACTAGGATTTGGACTCTTGACGTGTGGTAACTCTGAATACTTTCTGAGTTACTGCCATTCTGTTTTCCACAGTTCTCTGTATATTCCCAGTGGTAGTGTATGAAGATGCCAGTTTTTCCACATACTTGCATTTTTTAAAATAAAGCCATTCTAGTGGTTGTGCAATGGGTATCATTGTGGTTTGATTGACATTTCCCTAAGAGTAAGTGAGCCTCTATGTGCTTATTGACCATTGTTTATCTTCCTTGAAAAAATGTGTATTCTAATTCTTTGACAATTCCAAAAAGTGGTGTTCTTTTGGTTATTGAGTCATATGACCTTTTTCATGTACATTCCAGACGCTAGTCTCTTAATCTCACACGTGTTTTAAAATTATTTCTCTTGGTCTGCAGTGCCTTTTCACCTTCTTGGTAGTGTTCATCCATAAGCAAAAGCTCAACAATTGAATCAGATACAACTTATCTGTTTTTTCCTCTTGGCTACTTATGTCTAAGAAATTGCTGCTCAGTCTGAGGCAACAGAGATTTGCTTTTGTATGATTTCTTTCTTAGAGTTTAGTTTTAGCAGTTACACTTAGTTCTTTGATCCAGTTGACTTTTATCTATTAAATGAGGCAGGTGTCAGATTCATTCATTTGCATGTGATTATCCACTTACTTTGTTGAAAAAGACTCCTCTTTTCCCATGGAATGTGGTAAGCCATGCTGAATATCTCTGGATGTCTGTACCACACAGATTTGCATATTCAGGCCTTAGCTCTGTATTAAGTTTTGGAATTGAAAATGTGACTATTTTGTGAATCATTATATATTGTTCTTTTCCAAGATTGTTTTGGCTATTCTGGATCCCTTGAATTTCCATAAATGTTTTAGGACCAGATTATCAGTTTTTGCAAAGCAAAACTGCAATGAGGTTTTTCTTCTTAATTTTCATTTTTTGACAGGCAGAGAGACTGACGTACACACATAGATTTCGCATCTCTTGGTTCACTCATCAGATACCTGCACCCTCTGGGGCTGGGCAGAATGGAAGCCAGGAGCTCAGCAGGGACTCAAGCACCTGTGCCTCCCAGGGAGCACACTGGCAGAAAGTGGACCAGACACTCTGATGTCCCCTGTGGCCATTCAGCTGCTGTGCCAGATATCCACCCCCATATAGCTGAGAATGAAAAAAAATATATTTTAAAAAATGTGTCTATTTGTGGAGTATTGCTGCCTTATTGATAGACTTCAGACTTTCTAAGACTTTAACATGGGACATCTTTTCCATTTACTTAGATATTCTTAAGTTGCTTTCAACAGTATTGTGTGATTTTTTTTTCCAAGTCAAATTTTGCACTTCCTCTGTTACATTTATTCCACAATATGTTTTTTCTTTTTGTACTGTCATAAGTGGAATTGTTTTCCTAATTTCATTTTTGAGTCACTTATTTCTAGTGTTTAGAATTACAACAAGTTGTACATTGTGTTTT